CAGAATTACGATAACTTTATTTGTTTGTAAATTTATCATTTTTTATTAACCTTAATAGTTAATTAACTAAAAATTGTAAATGTTATGTAAGTAAACAAAAAAAATTTTAACATATGGGTGATTCTCCGCGTAGCGCACAACTTGCTTTTTTCATGTTGTAAAAGAAAAATCACAAATAATGTTCACATAATATTTCGATTCCAATGTAAAAAGGTAATTTCTGTGATTACAAACAAAAACCAATAGTTACTTTTTATAATTTTTCGTGAAAAGTGGTTTTTAAAGCTGAAAACGTGAAAATTTGATCTGTCCCCACAGGATGTTTAAACAAAAAAGTTAATATTTTTAGCAATGTGCACTAATAAATACAATTTCTGCTGCTATTTTAGTATTGTATATTGTAGTGGAATTGAATAAAAAAAACGTTTGATCATAAAAATTATTATTTTCTTTTTTTTTTGCTATTTATACTTTACGGCACTTTTGTGTGTTATTCTGCATTTTATTATTAAACATTGAATTATTTAAATAAAAGTCAAATGTTAATATAGTTCTACTTCAGTAACAGCAAAAGTTATATTCCTTAAGTTGATCCATGAAGAAAGTAATCAATTTTCTAATTGATTTATTCTTTTTTTTACACATTTCAAGAATCAAATTTGTACAGGGCATCACAAAATCGTCTCCACCGGCATCCACCAACCCTTCAATATTAAAAAAAAAATAGAATATAATTAAACAATAAAGGTTAAATAAAGTGTAGTTATATTATTTTACTCTATATATATGTGAAACATATGAAACCGATTAAAAATAAATGATAATTTTCTCAATAAAAAAAAACTTATCAACGCCAGTTCCACCGGTTCCACCGACCCCAGCGTCTCCACCCGCCACAGAATTTCGACCGTCACTAGTGCAAGTTTAATACACAATGAAACAAACGAAATTAAAATTATTTATTATAAACTATCATAGCTCCGGTAAATTTTACTATAACTTAACAAATAAATTTCTATAAATTACCGTATTAATTTCCATAAATTACCAAATAAAATTTTTAATTGTCGTTCGTATGTATATGTTCGTATATGTTTTTGTAAATTACCGCGAAAATTTCCGTAAATTACCAAAAATTATAATTTTTTATTGTGATTTATGCTTTACATATTTTTATGAATTTTAGACAAAATTTCTATAAATTACCGCCTAAATTTCCATAAATTGCTTCGAAAATTTCCGTAAATTACCCAAATAAAAATTTTTCATTGTCGTTCGCGCTATATATATATGTGAATTACCCCAAAAATTCCCATAAACATTTTAAATAAACTTTCAACTATTTTATAGAATTCAAAAAGCAAAGAATTTTTTTTTAATTTGTTAAAAAAAATTTTTAAATTATAACAAATTTTTCCGGCCCACCATGGATATTTATTTCTTGACACTTTATCTTCAAAAATATGTATTGATATTCATCATTTCGATAAAAAAATTTTTTTAAAGTTTCAGACACCAAATCGTGCGCTACGCGGAGAATCACCCAAATGTGAATTTTGCCCATATTGGCTTTTGGAAAAATCTCCAAACGGCATATAAATTAAATATAAATGTAATTAACTAATTTTATTATTTCTCATTTTTTCTCAAGTTTTTTATTTATTTATAACAGAATATTAAATTAAATTTCAGTTTGAGAACACTTTGGGAAATCCCAGTTTGGGCTAGATTGGGTTGACCCAAACTTTGCCCAAGTACAATGAAAAACAAACATTTTTTTCAGCTTTTCACAGTTGCATTTTTTTGTATATTTGTTCAGCATATTATTTAAATAATAATTTAATTAACTTAATTCTTTTATTTCTTCATTTCTCAAACTTTGGAAATTCAAGTTGGGCCTAGATTGGCGCCCAGTCTCACTTTGGGCGACTTTGGGGTGATTTCCACACAGGTTTCAAAAAAGGGTCAAAATTTGAATTTTTTGGAAATTTTTTTGCACCATTCGAAAGAGCAGGAAAAAACTCACCCCTAGGCCTAATTTATTTGCAAGTTACAGCCCCATCCGATCAACTTTTTTTTTCACTAACTTCGCTACAGGAATTTTACCCCCTTTATATTTACATTAGTGAGACTGTTTGCAAACGTTTAAAGGTGAAGTCATATTATCTCAAGCATGCACTGTGCACGCATGTATGCAAAATGATAAAATCTAGTGAATGTTTAGTAACTTTCCAGGTACAACTACTAGAAAATTACTAGAAAGTTACTAAACATTCACTAGATTAGATTTCATCGAAGTATAAATGGCTAAATGCAATATTTGGAATATTTAATTGCAATGTTTATTGAAAGTTATGTAAAGATTTAAATGTCCCACTTGAATAAATGTTCAGAAAAGTTTCACACTAAACATTTATTTAATCGGGACATTTAAATCTTTACACAATTTTCACTAAGCTTTGCAATAAAATATTCCAAATATTGCAAGTAAATATTTACTAAATTTTCAGGAATGTTTCGGTGCTGTGTGAGGAATTTATTTATACCTCTCCCCCCTATAACGTTACAAATCTATAATTCCCCCCCCCCCCCTTCAACGCCGTGACGTAGTTTTTGAACGGCCCCTAAAATCAAGTTCATTATTAAACGGGCTTTAATTAGGTATACGTTTAATACACTTGCTCTATAATAGAACCTTTTTATGTTGAGATATTTGATGGTGCATGCTCTTAGGCTATCTTACCTTAACCTCAGTTTCGATTATTGTTGTTTAATTTCAATGGAAAATTTTATAACATTAATTTATAGTTCTCCTATTTCTAATAACTTCGCACGTGTGTTTGTTCTTAAAAAATATTGTAATTTTAATTTTACTTACTATTTTTTTTGTTTTATTTGTTTTATTGTTGCTTATTTTATGAAATAAAAGAGAAAAGTTCTCTTTAACTTTATACCGTCTTGAATTTTGAAAAATATTTAAAAAAAATATTAATATTAAAAAATATAAAAATATGTTTTTCAAATATGGATATTTGTTTAGAAACAAATTGCAGAAAGATATTTTTTTTTCTTTTAAACAAACATCCATATTTACACAACAGTAAACTTTCATAAAAATTCAACTCTGCAAAGTTGTAGAAATCCTTATTTTCTTAATAAAATAAGCCATTATTAATTTTAAAATTGCAATATTTAAAAAAAAAACTCACAAGCGAGGATGTTACATTTTTTAAAAAATAATTATAAAAAATTAATTATATCACGTTTTAAGCTTTAAAGTTTAAACATTTATGTTTTTAGGAGGAAAATAATTGATTGATGATTAATATTTATAACAATAAAATAAAATATAACAGAGAATATTCGACAAATACGTATTGGTACTCTCAACTTAGAGATTCCACACTCGAACTAAGAAAAATATATGTTTAATTTTTAAATTAAGACAAAATTTCTAAATTGTACTAAATAAAAAAAAAAAATTTGTCTAAATTTCTTGCTCTTTCGAATGGTGTAAAGGTTTTTTAAAAAAATTCCAAATTTACCCCTTTTTGGAAAATCAAAAATATTTTAAACTTTTTTTTAAGAAAAAACCCCTTTTTTCTTTTTTTACGCCTTAAAATGAAACTTAGAATGTATATTTTTAATAAATAAATGAAACAAAATGCTTATTTTTTGTTTTCGAGTTATTAAGTTATAAACTAATGTTAATAAAAAATGAAAAATTTGACAAACAAATAAAGTTACCGTAATTCTGAACTTACCAATCAAAAACTTGAGTAATTCCCGCATCTAACGAGCTCTATATGAAGTACTTTGTATTAATGGATTGTTAATAATAATAATAATAATAATAATAATAATAATAATAATAATAATAATAACAATAATCTCGAAAACAAAATAAACGTCATTTTGTTTAATTTGTTTATTAAAAGTATACATTCTAAGCTTCATTTTAAGAGGTAATAAAAAGAAAAAGAGAAGCTCCTTTTAAAAAAAAAATTAAAAATATTTTTGATTTTCAGAAAAAGCAGTCAATTTTGAATGTAAAAAAAAAGTTTTTTCACCCTTTTATACAATAGTTATGAGTCTTCAAAAAAATCCAATGTTCATTTTTTTGGTATAGGATAACTTCATAAATTTTGCTTCATACAAATTTTCAATTTTTTTTGTTCTTGAAAGTACTTTTAAATACACATTTTGAAAAAAAAGCTTTTAAAATTGATGCATTTTTAAGAAAGTTGTGAGCATTCAAAAATAAAAACATTAAAATTCTGAAATTTTGAAAAATTCATATCTCGTAAACGACTTGCTAAAAATAATTGAAAAAATTATGAAAGCCAGTCTCAACTTCTGACAATACAACTCATTTTTGACAACTATTTAATAAAATTTTAAATGCCTATATTTAGCTCCGAATTTAAATTTTAAATATAAATTGCAAGAAAGAAAGGTTAATTTGACAGTTGTTAAAATTAATTTATAAATCACAAATAATAATTAAATCAATTAATATAAGTAAATGAGACTATTTTAAACAATTATCAATTAAGAAATTGACATTATCTATATTTCTTTGATTTTTTATAAAAATTTTGCAGCTATCAAATTAACCTTTATTCAGTGCCAGTATTCAAATTCCGAGATAAATAGATACATAAAAATTTATTAAATAAATGTCAAAAATGAATTATGTTGATATAAAAAAATGATTGTTACGAATTATAAGATTTTTCTAAAAATAGACATTAACGTCTTTAATTAAACTACTGTAATTCTAAACAATAAATTAAACGTTAATTTTTTATACAACTTATATTTCAAAATATTCAAAATTAAAATTATTCTTAAATTAGGACATAAATATTACATTATATAAATCCACGCACATTGCTGCCATTCTGATGAAAAAAATAAATAATTGCCTACTGTTGATACTAATTTTCCTCATCAGAATGGCAGTTTGGATCATAACGTTATCATCTTTCGTCAACATAAACATCCTTAAAAATAACAATTACATGAAAAAATATTAGAAAAACTTCTAAATTTGTTTCATGAAACCATAAAAATATAGATGTGTGATTTATCGTTGTTGTTAAATTTTAAACACATTTCTTTTTTCAATTAATGATTTTAGTCGTTTAGTTCTCAAGAAAAGATACAAATTGTGTCAGCTTATATAGTTGTTCTTCAGTAAGAGCTTCTTGTGCCGGTGTGCTTTGTTCTCTGTCGAGTTTTCTAGGTTGAATCATAGATCCATCTACAGCCCAGCCTCTTTCAAGGGCTGCCTTCTGAGTTTGTTCTCCAGAAAGACCCGTCATTCCAGCCAAGACATCCACATGCAAAGATGAATATGCTTCCGATACAAGTACCATGGCACGTTCACGGACATTTTCTAAAATTAATATAATAACATTCTTATAAATTAAATATATAAAATTCAATAATTCTTTATTTAAATAATGAATTAACATTTTTACCAAAAGTCAGATAAATTTTTATTAAAATGATCAATAAATAGATTTCATTATCTGAAGAACATGAATGTTTAAAATTCTTAAAATAAATGTCAACTATATGTCAATTTTTAATAAGAGAGTAAGAATTTCTGAAACGTGACACCCAAATTCAAAAAATGTTCTTTTTCGTTAAAATGTGAATTCTTTTACAGTATTTTATATGAAAAATCACTGTACCATATGATTTTGCAAAACTTCTTTTTTGTTATTATTATTAACAAGTAAAGTTTTTATGCACTTTTTTAAAAAATTAATTTCAGAAAAATTTGTCTATCGATTTTAATGATTCAAACGCCATTCTCTTTGTTCAGAATAAAAGTTTCAAATATTCTTTTTATAAAAAAATATTGCGTCTACTCCAATTCAAAACGGGGAAAAAGAAGGCTTTTTTAGGATGTATTTCTAAAAAAATCTTGGACTACAAGTGAAAAAATTTTTTTTTTTACATATTCTTCAATAAGTTGTTTATAACATGTAAACAAAAATTTCTGAATAAATGTCATGGTTTTTTTTAGAAATATATCCTAAAAAAGCCTTCTTTTTCCCCGTTTTGAACTGAAATGTCCCCTTAATGACTTTTTTTCACAAAATATAACATTTTTAAATATTTACATTTTTTATTTTTTGTTATTAAATTTGAACTCCTTATTTTCTAGCGATTTCAGGCATATGTTATTTCACTTAAAAATGTTAAAATTTAATATTATTTTCATTTCACACGTACAGACGTTTACTTTTTTTTTTATTAAGAAGCAATGTTTAATATTGAATATATTATACCTATTATATATATTCAAACACTTCACAAGTGTTTTTTCTCTAAAACAAAATTATAATTTTATTAACAAAATTGTGATTGATAAACAGAAAATGGGTATAGTTTCTATTTCTTAATCATAATTGTTTAATAATTTTCTAATTTTGTTGAGAAATAATAAAAAAAATCTGCATAATTTCGATTTGCTAAAAAACATTTAACAAAACTTTAGTCATTTAATGAAAAGAAATGGAAAAATTCCCATGATTTATACTTTTAATGAATAAACAATGAAAAATTATGAATGAAATGATAAAAAGAATAAAAAAAAATAATAATGAAAAACACAGTGTTAATTTAAAAAAAAAAAAAAGATTTACATTATTCTCTCAATAATAATTTTTTTCATTTAATTAGAAATAATTATTTTGAATTATAAAAAAAAAATAAAATAAAAATAATTATAGTGTGAGGGACAGAAAAAGTGAATGAACGAATGAAAGAACATTCAAATTAATATAGTTAATAATATAATATAGCTCTTTTACAGTTGTTGCATGAAGGTGTAAAAAAATTCATCAAAAATTTATACAATTTTTCAACAATTTAAAAGATTTTTCACAATAATAAATAAAAATTAATAATTTTCGTTTAACTAATATAATAATTCATTTACATTAATTAAATAATTAATTAATAATAATCAATAAAAGATACGGATAATCGTTACGTGATTTTTCATATAAATAAGAGTAACCACATTTTAACAAAAATGAAAATTATTTAATTTTTGGTGGCACTTCAGAAATTCTTACTCAAGGGTTACTTTAATGTATTTAAATTTAATTGAAAATTAGAGTAATAAATTAGTTTTACCTTTAAGAGCGTTCATGACTTCAATCACGTCTTCGCTCCAATTTACATTAAGAGCAGCATGAACAGCAGGCCAATCTCTTTTCCACATATGCTGACCAACAGTCCAAACATGACATAATTCAGCACTGTTGCTTTTTACATTATCTGGAATTCTCTTCCACAAATACTTGGCATAACACCTACAATAAATAAACAAAAACGCATAGAGATTCACTTATTTTCTATAGTTTATAAAATTTTTTAAGTTAAATTATTGATAATTAAGTATCAGGAACTACATAAACAGTTGAAAAGTTTAATATCTAAAACAGGGTTACCACAAAAATTTTATTCTATTTTTCTCTGACTTTTCCTTGATTTCCAGTCAAAATTTTAATTTTTTTCCTAACCCTAATGAAAATATTTCAAGAAGTTTTCAATTATAAAAAATTAAAACAATATAATTTTTAGAAGCAAAAAAGTGAATTAAAAATTTTTTTAATTATAATTTTAGTAGCATTTTTAAAAATTTGATATTCTCCAGTATTTTTCATAAAATTGCTTGACTTTTTCCTGATTTCCCTGACCCGTGGCAATCCTGTAAAACTGATGCAATACTTATTGCTTAATTTTCTATTTGAAAGCCAACAGTTTTTCATAGTCTAGTCGTAGAAGATTTGCAAAGATTAATCGTTACATTTTTAAAACGTTTGACTAATGTAGTAACGAAATATTACAATTTTAAAAAAAACCATAATTCTTAAAAATATCGTCAACCAGAGTATGTTCGAGATAATTTTTTTTGTGTAAATTCTTTATAATAAATCCTTTAAATTCGATATTTTCATTAAATAATAACTCAATATTTTGTCTATAGAGTAATTAAAATGTTATTATTTTTATTTTTTGTGATATGTTTAAAAAAAATCCAAGTTGAAAATTTTTGGTATTACAATACTTCCTCTATGAGAAAACAATTTTTTCATCTAAACGAATAGCTATTTTACTAATTTAGATATTTTTGTAAAATTCAAAGGAAAAATTTTAATTTTTTGAATAGTTGAGAATCAATATTATTAAATAATATATTCTCAATACTTACAATTCATTTTGATATAGGTATATTGCTAGTAATCGAGTATAAACTTGTGAACTCACGACTCCATCTTCTGCCTTATTAAAAACATAAAAAATTATTAATATTTACCTATAAAATATTGGTTTTTAAAAATTTATCTACAATGATAAAAAAATTATTTAAATTAATATAATAAGTAGATACATGAAAATAGAAAACTACAGCTACTTAAAAATATTACTATTTTTTTATAAATAAACTTTCTTTTATTCCTTTATAAATACGTAAATATTCTTTATCATTCGAAATAATTTATTATTACTTTTTTGATGAACTTGTAATTTTACGATTTATCAAAGTTTTCAAAAAGAAATCAATTGAAATAAATAAATAAATAAAAAACATTCTTAGTTAAGAACATAACCTATAAACCTTAAATTAATCACTATAACTTACCTCTAATTCGGCTCTTTCAAGTTCTCTAAGCACGCCATTTATTTTACTTAGAACCATAATGTAATTGTTATTCTATTATTAATTATAAACTAAACGACAATTATACAAATTTGAAATTGTCGGAAACACCTAAAAAGAATTGTCAAAATTAACAATAATACAAAAACTTTAAGACCTGTTCTCTTTAAATAAATATTAAGCTAGGTTTTCAACAAAATCGTAACATTTCGGATGTTCCACCGTATACGAAGTATGTTACGTTCCCATCTCTGCTCAAAATATGTAAATACTACGTAATTTACGTTAAAAATTTAGATCAATGTTGTTACCTCCTCACCCTGATGACAATTGATCAAAATGCGGTTTATACTACTGCAGATAATGTGTACAATTATTTATTAATTTATTAAAGAATAAAAATTTTCAAAAATATAAACAATTGTGCTTATGTGATTTATTGGATTTTTTTTATTTTTAAAGATTATTACGTTTGAGTAATTTTTATAAGCTTCTTGTAGCTTATAGAATGTAATATAGAATTATAATATTGGAAAATTGTGAATATAAATTGGAATTATCAATTAATTTTGGTAAAAATGTCTTCTCATATTGAAGCTTCAGAACAAGTCGAAGAAAATGAACCCGAAACTATTGAAAAATGTGTAAAAAATCCTGAGGCTGATGAAAGTTGCTCGAAAAGCGACGACTCACAAATAACATCGACAAAAGACGCTCCAAAAGACGACAAGGATGACTTAAACAAGAGTCCTAACTGTAGGAAAAGGAAACATTCAGATGACTCGGAAGGCAGTAATAAAGTAGTAAAATTGAATGAAGGACAAATTGGACATGTGAGTAAAACCAATTCTAAACAAAATTTCAAAATTTTTATTTTTTTCAAATATTTAATTTATTGAATTTACCTTAGAATTTTTGTTTTTTAATTAATAATTTATTAATTATTTTAATAGAACGTCAATGTACCATCAGATTTATCAATAGGAAGTTCTAGAGAGGAAAGAACTACAACGGAAGATGAAAAGTCTTCCGAGCATTCAAATGTCGTTGCAGAGCATTATAATTCCCTTGAGGAAAAAGGTTTATCACAGAGAAATCAAAGTCGAATCGTTTATATGCGAAATTTTAATAATTGGATAAAAAGTATGATTATAAGTAAGTACTCGAAAAATTTTCTAAATCTCATATTTTCTTAGAAATATATTGTAAAAATATTCTCTGTAGATAGTAGAAACATTTTATTCGTTTGCAGAAGAAAATTTTTACAATATTTACTTTAAAACTATTGGTAATGACAATAATCGTCCTAAAAAAATTAAAGTGTCATCTTTTAACTCGTGTATTTTTGTTGAATGTTAAAAAAAATAATAAAGTGCCAATAAAGTTTAAATTTCTCCTTTATTATTTTTTTTTTTTTTATTAAAAACTCATTTAAGACAGAAATACGAATTCAAAACTTTTCTATTTTGTTAAATTCTTTAACTATATGTAATTGTGAATAAAAATTTAATACGAATTTTTTGAACATAATTTTCTATTTAGTAACTATTTAAATTTTTGGAATTTTTACTTTTTCAAATTTTATTTTCCTAAGGTAAGTAGAAGTACAAATTAAATTTTCTTTAATTTTCTACAATTCAAAAATATTTGATACAAAAGCTATAGAGACAATAAAAATTTTGTGAAAAAAGACGATTAATTTTTTTTTTAAATTGTATTTAATGAGCAATATTTTGTGTTTTAGATGAGTTCATGCAAAAGATAATACAAGACAAACGTGTTGGCGATCCTATAAAAGTATTAGACATGTGTTGCGGGAAAGGGGGAGATCTTTTAAAATGGAAGAAAGCCAATATTACACATTTGATAGCCGCTGACATAGCCTCTATTTCAGTAGAACAATGTCAAAGCCGTTATAATGATTTGACATCAAATAGATCTAGGGATTCAGGATTTGCACCTGTTTTTAGGGCTGAATTTATCACTGCCGATTGTACAAAGGTATTTTATCTCTTTTAGTTTTTCTCTTATTAAATTTTAATTTTACTATTATTGAAATTGAGAATTCGTTAAAACATAAAGATTTCAGGTCCGTTTAAGAGAGAAATTCAAGGACCCCAGCATGGAATTGGATCTAACAAGCGTTCAATTCGCTTTACATTATAGTTTTGAATCTCTACCGCAGGCAGAGTGCATGATAAAAAATGCCAGCGAGAGTCTACGACCAGGCGGTTTTTTTATTGGAACAATTCCCGATGCCTATGAATTAGTGTTAGTTTCATTTTGATAAAAATTATCTCCTCTTAATTTTCATTACATCCGAGTATTTATAGATTTAAAAACATTATTTCAGATCACGATGGCAAAAGAGTGAGGGAAATAAATTTGGAAATGAAGTTTTTAGTGTAGAATTCCAATCAGACGAGAAAGAGAAACCGCCTCTCTTTGGTGCCAGATACAATTTTCATTTAGAGGGTGTAGTAAATTGTCCTGAATTTCTCGTACACTTACCGACACTTATTAAATTAGGGGAAAAATTTGGCTTGGAACTTGTACTTTATGAAAGGTAAATCATATTCAATTATTAAAAAAAAGAAATTCCAACATACACATGAAAAAAAAATAAAAATAATTCTATTTTAATATCAGATTCGAAGAATTCTTCGAAAGAATGAAAAATGAGGGTAAATCGTTACTAGGAAAAATGCAGGCTTTAGAAACTTATCCACCTTATCATGAAGCACCGCTTCTTGGTCAACAGACTGTTGATTATCAGCACGCAAATAATTATATGCAAGATTCGGTGGGACACCGAAAAATTGGAACACTCTCGCAGTCAGAATGGGATGCGATATGTACGTAATTTATATATTTTATTTAAAAGGCGATCGACTTATTGACATAATTTCAAGCCAGAGAAAGGTAAAGCTTTCAATCCTGTGAATAAAATGTAATAATGAAGATATCATTAATACAATACTAATTCTCTTCTGACAATGATAGCTACAATCGTCAATAGTTTTCGAAGGCTTGTTTTTTATAATATCGTCGTTAGAAACAATGGTAGGTAGTTACATACTGACACTATTTTCTAGTAATTTTAGTCACAATCATTGATAGTAGATGAAATTGTTCAATTCAAAAAGGATTTCCGTGAACAATTTTCTCAACTATTGTTGATTGTAGCTTTTAAAGATTGCAATTATCACCAATTGAAACTATCATTGATTTTAATTATTCTTAATTATAAATTACAAAGAAAAAATTGAAAATTTTTATTTTACAATTAATGATAGTTTCAGTCAGTAGATAGTTACAAGCAAATAATTACAAAATAAAAATCAGAAAATAAGTTATAGAGGTAAATTGATGAAAAATTTTTCTCAACATAAAATACTAATACTAGTAAAGTTTGAGATTATGTCAAAAAAAAAAAAACTGTATTCAAATTGTAATTTCTAATAAATTAAATAAATTTTTTTAGCCCTATACGCAGTATTTGCGTTTAAGAAGAAAAGAACAACATGGACTGCGGATGCAAAACCAGAATATACGTAAATTGAATTTATTTCAAACACCGTATTACACGAAAATTGTATAAAAAATTATGAAATTGAATCAATTTGTTTTAAAAAAATTGTGCATTGATAAATAATATGAATTGTGTGATGTAAATCGCGTCTTGTTTTTAACTATTTTGTTATTGTAGATGCATACGTCAATTAATTGTAGAATAATTTGTTTTTTGACAGCGAATTTTTCTTGGTGAATTGTATACAAATTTTTAAACAATGAATTTTTAATTTATAAACTGTTTTTTTCTTTACAATATCCTATCATCTTTTTTTAGTTTTATTATCTAGTAGAATTCAACAGTTTTTAAATAGATAATAAAACAGAGTAAATTTAAAAAATGATTTTTTATAATATAAGAAACATGTGCAAATTATGTATATTGGTTATTAAAGAAATCAATTGTCGACTTACAAAGGTTATTTTTTATTATTGTAAATAATGTAAAACAGATTTTACATCCACAAAAAATTAACTATAGGCAATATTTCAGGTTATTGCCATCATCACCTTGGTAATTAGTTCTTCTAACCTGTATGCTAAAATAAAATTTCGGTTAGATTTTTTTTTTATCCCTGGTTAATGAAATGAATAATTATACTATTATCTTTCTTTGCAACCTGTTTACCGTGTTGCTCTGGAACACCAAAATGATTATTACGATCATGGGAGGAGGGATGGTCTCATTTTTTACTATAATATTTGAAATGTAAGTAAGCGTCAGTGACCTTCAGTTTGAATTTATTTATAAACTTATATAGATTAATCTAAAGAAAATATCAATGATAGAAATTGAGTGAAATTTTTATAAAGTAGAAATTAATAGATTCAATCTCTTGATAGTTGAAATTTGAGAAGTTGAAACAAAATAAACTTGGAGTCATTGTCCTCGTTGAAAAGGAGCGAGGCACCTTGATTATTTAGAGACGTACCTGGGCAGTGGGAGGAGTGAATCGACGCTTGCGCAGTCGCGCAGTTTCGGCACTTAGCATCTTTAAACCTACTGTTGGCGACTCCAACTTAACACTCGTTCGTTAAGTTCGTTTTCAGTCTTCAAGCCACTGAAGTGAGTTTGAAACTCTTGCTTTCTGTGCCAGAGTCTATCACCCTCGAGCATACATGAGAAATGGAGCTCGTTCAACCATTATCTCAGCAAACTCTCGAATCGGTAAGTATTCATTTCTTTTTTATTCAACGAGCTGCATTCGCGTAGGTGCTCAGAATTTCTTGAAATTCCATTATTTCCTCGCTTTTCTCTTGATGTTTTACTCGTGTAGGGACGCGAAAATTTTCTAAGTCCCAAAATGGCGTCTGCGGCTAAGTCCCTACGAACTCTTACGATGCCAACAATCAGCTTGCAATTTAATATTCAGCATCGTTCAGAATGTTTATATATAAGCATTAAATTGATTCTAAATGCAAGCATTTTATTTGTTTCAGGAAAAAGTATGCAAGGAGAACAGCAGCGTAATAGAAAATCATGGAGGTAAGAAAATCTTTGCAATATTTAGCAAGTGGAAGCACGTTTCTTGTACCGATGTGATTATGCATTAAATTCAGAAAGTGCATCAACTTATTTCATTAGTACACGTGTTTGCTTTAATCCTATCGTTTCTCGACTTTCTATAAACGTATAGTTTTCTTTTACTTTAAATTAAATGTGCAGAGATTAAAAATATTCCAATTTTAAAATGCAGATCACTGATCTTTTATTTTATAAATTGCAACTCAAACGGGATCTTGTTATGTATCTTTTTTTTAAGACGAAAATTCTTATGAGTTTATTCATTAAACGTGTTACTTTAAAACTTTAATTTTTGAATTTTCCCACAGTAAAAAAAAAATGTTTTGTAAAATATTCTTTTATTACATTAAATATTCTCTGCATTGAATTTTAAATATCTTATTTGTTTTAATTCAAACTGTGTTTGAACTGTAATTTTAATTAAGTTATTTAACATTTTTTTCATAAAAACGTACTGTCTGTATTTATCAGAGTTTAGAATCTTTCAAGATTTTACAATTTCTCTTATTTTGTATATTATATTTAATATATTTTTTTAATTATTGGATTACGTAAAATGTTTAGTTTTTCAGAAGATCTGAATAACATTATTTATATTCTTTTAGACGGTCATTTGAATGGGATGTCGAATGGATATGATCGAAAGAAGGAGCACAAGTCTGATCACAAGGACAGGGATAAAGAACGATCCCATAAATCGGAGCATAGAGATAAAGATAGAAGCAAGGATAAAGAAAGAAGTCATAAAAGTGAGCATAGAGATAAGGACCGTCATAAGGACAAGGATAAACATAGTTCAAGGTCTTCTAAAGACAAGGATAAACATGGAAGTAGCAGTAGCAGCAGGGATAAGGATAAGGATAAGAAGAGCAGCTCCTCCTCGAGCAAGGATAAAGAGCACAAGAGCAGCAACAGCTCCAGCAAAGACAAGGATAAGGAAAGATCTAAGGACAAGGATAAGGACCATCATCACAAGTCTAGTTCTAGCTCGAAAGACAAGGACAGGCATAGTTCCAGCTCAAAGGACAAAAGTAGCTCGAGTAAAGACAAAGATAAAGAAAAGAGTTCTAGCTCTTCGAGTAAGGATAAGGACAGGCACAAGAGTTCGTCCTCATCGTCTCGGGATAAAGACAAGAGCAGGGATAAAGATAAAGACAAAAAACATTCGAGTTCTCATTCATCCTCTGATAAACATCGATCTGACAAGGATAAACATCGTCATGACAAGGATCGTCATAGGCATGATAAAGAGAAATGTAAGGTTTTACAGATATATTATCTGAAGGCAATTTTGGAGAAATGCTATAAAATTATAGAAATCAAAGAAGGGCATATAACCCATTTGAATTACATTAGTTATGTGCCCTTCTTTGATCCGGCAGCTCAATTATAAAAACAATTTTAGAAAAATTTTACTAATAGTATATTTTTTGGAGATAAAACTTACCTTCAATAATTAATTTTTAATTAAGATCAAAAATTTCAAAGACAGAAACATTTAATGTTTTTTTTTCTTTATTTTTTAAAACTGTTTTGCAATATTTTTTCCATTTTAAATTCTGTTGGTGAAAAAGTCATTAATATTCATGAACAAATTTGGATATTTCATACAATAAATAAAATGTCTCTTTGTAAAACAATATTTTGAAGTTAAAAAAAATGGTATTATTATTTAACAATAAAAATTTTGCATTGATCTGATACAAAGTTAATAATTGCGCATTTTTTCCTTTTAGCTAAACATCGAGATGACAAGGACAAAAAGGAAAAGATAAAGGAAGAACCTAAAATTAAAGAAGAAATGGAAGTTGAGACTAAAATTGAAGTGAAAGATGAACCTTTAACCAATAACTATAATGATGTCAAAAAGGTATACTGAAGTAAAACTGTTGTAATTTAAATAATTATTTAAAAGTCCAATTTTTTTGTATTCATGTGAAAAATTATTTTAGGAACCAATTTCTCAACAAGAAGATATGTCGCAGCAAGATATGGATGATGATGACAGTGGAGAGGAACGACCTCTTTATATTAAAGAAGAGGATGATGACGAAAAAGACGAGAAGTTTAAAGGGAATGATGATGATGATGACGATGATGATTCTGGCAATGATACCAGACTTTCTCAACTTCACAACACTACTGTGGAAAAAACTGAAGATTCGGACGAGGATATGCCATTGGTAAATAATATTTTATTATTAGGATACTTTAAATACCTATAAAGTGATTATTGTTTAAGAATTACATGCTTTTTTTACTTTTTCAAAGTCTTAACTCATTTGTTTTTCTCTTTTGATGTACTTCAATTTGTTTTTATCAACTTAAAAATAGTTTTTGTATTATTATTTATTCGCTTGCATTTTTGGCAACTAAATTTACAAGTATTAAATTTCAAAGTACATATTTATCTGTAAACATTATCTAATGGAAATCAGTGTAAAGTATGAATTGGTTTCTTTTTTAAATTATTAGTTCTATTTGAAAATTATGCAAGGGAATTCTATAAATTTTCGATTCTTCTAGAAATGAAGAACGTTATCCTTTCACATATCATCACTCCATATTGGTTTGTAATTTGATGATAAAATTAAATATTCATCACTGAAGACAAATAGGAAATCTTTTTTTTACAATTGTGTTTCGAAATAATGTGAAAATAATATTTTACAGTCGTCACGAAAGAAACCGTCCCCGAGCGTTAAAAGAAAGGTAGAATCCTCTGATGAAGAAGAAGAAATCCCACTATCTGCTCGTAAGAAGCCCAAGAAAGAAGTTGCCAAGAGCAAAAAGAAGAAAAAGAAGGATTCTGACTACGAAGAATCGGATTATGAAGAAGATGAGGTATATTATTATTTATTTGCATCTATAATAATCGAAATCTTTGAATTTTTTTTTATGTTTCAACACTGCTTGTCTAAAAATTTAACAATTTTTCTTTGCTTTGTAATCAGCGTGAGAAAAAAAATCTATTAAAAAGAAGAGAATTAATGAAACCTTGATTTCTTTCAGAAACCCAAGAAGAAGAAACAGAAGGCTCAAAAACCTGCGAAGGCTGTGAAAAATGAAACAAATACTCCCAGTCCGAGAAAGAAAAAGAAAGAAGAAGAAGAGCAGAATGTCTGGAAGTGGTAAGATACTAAGATTTATATTTTCCCGCTAAATTTTCAGTGCGTGAATGTGAATGACCTCGTTTCCTTTAGGAGACTAGTGAACAACCACGATCAGATAAATGCGATTTTTTTTCTTTGGTTATACCTTTTTTTTACTTGAACATTATGATTGTAATTTTACCAAAGTTTAGTCGAATTTTTTCCAAAAGTATGTTGCAATTTCCATTTCTTCGACAATTTATGGCAACTAAATCTTTAAAGGAATATAAGCTTGAATCATTTATGAGGTTATGTTCTTAAAACAAATTGAATTTATTTATTTATTAGTTTATTAAAAATACATATTTTAGTGATAATTTGTATACTTTGTTTAGTAAAGAATTTAATTTGATAAATTTCGTGACAATAGATAATTATAATAAATTTCTTTACGAAATCAATATTACAGAAAGTAGGTTATGTTAACCTAACCTATAAGAATTGAATTTTTCAGTTTCCTATTTTATTATTTATTTTCAATAATTAAATACATTGAGAAATTAGGGACATAGATTTTTAAAAAAATTGTTTTTAAAATCAAATAATTTAATTTTTTTATTATTAAAAATTTATTACCAGCTCCGAAAGTCGCGAACTTGCTATAAGATGAATTACTGTAATGAATCATGTAATGTTATTATTAATTATCCGGTCAGTTAATGTACATTTGAATAAAAGTGAATTGAATTTTAAAGGTGGGAAGAAGAGAAGAAAGACGACGGAACTAAATGGAAGTTCTTGGAGCATAAAGGACCACTATTCGCACCATTATACGAACCACTGCCTTCGAGTGTGAAATTTTATTATAATGGCAAGGAAATGAAATTAAGTGAAGAAACTGAAGAAGTAGCGACTTTTTACGCTCGTATGTTGGAACATGATTATACCGCAAAGAAGGCATTCAATGATAATTTCTTTAAAGATTGGCGTGATGTTATGACTGATCACGAGAGATCAAAAATCACAGATCTTTCGAAATGTAATTTTAGAGAAATTCATGCTCATTTTATACAGAAGAGTGAAGAACGCAAGGCAATGACAAAAGAAGAAAAGAAAAAGATCAAAGAACAAAATGAGGAAGTGCAAAATGAATATGGTTTCTGTACTATTGATGGACATAAAGAGAAAATAGGTAATTTCCGAATAGAACCACCGAGTCTTTTTAGAGGTCGTGGTGAACATCCTAAAATGGGTAAATTGAAGAGAAGAGTTCAACCTGAAGACGTACTCATTAACTGTTCTAAAGACTCGTATATTCCGAAACCGCCGTCGGGACACAAGTGGAAGGAAGTGAGACATGATCCAAATGTCACCTGGTTGGCATCTTGGACTGAAAATGTACAAGGCCAAGTTAAATATGTCATGTTGAATCCTTCGAGTAAATTGAAGGGAGAGAAAGATTGGCAGAAATATGAGACAGCAAGAAAATTAGCAAAATCAATAGACAAAATTCGTGACGAATATCGAGAAGACTGGAAGAGCAAGGAAATGAGAATTAGACAGAGAGCCGTCGCTTTGTACTTTATTGATAAACTCGCCTTGAGAGCTGGTAACGAAAAGGACGAAGATCAAGCAGACACTGTCGGTTGTTGTTCTTTGAGAGTTGAGCACATTAAGTTAGAAGAACAAAAGGACGGAAAAGATTATGTTGTTGTGTTCGACTTTTTAGGTTTGTTCTTTATAAAGTTTTCAATTCATTTAATTTTATTTTCCTCACTTCTTTTTTAAAACAATATTTCGTTTACAGGTAAAGATTCTATAAGATATTACAACGAAGTTCCAGTGGAGAAGCGAGTTTTTAAAAATCTTCAGTTGTTCATGGAAAATAAATCTCCAGGCGATGATTTATTCGATCGTTTGACAACGACAGTGATGAATAAACATTTGAACGAACTTATGGAAGGCCTTACTGCTAAATGCTTCAGGACATATAATGCTTCTTGGACTTTGCAACAGCAGTTAGACAAATTGACCAATCCCGATGATTCGGTAGCTGAGAAGATTCTTGCTTATAACAGAGCAAATCGAGCAGTCGCGATATTGTGTAACCATCAACGTTCCGTTCCAAAAACGCACGCTAAGTCGATGGAGAATCTTAAAGCAAAAATTGACGCTAAGAGGGAAGCCATTTCTGAAGCGGAAATTCAAGTGAAAGACGCCAAACGTGACGCGAAGAATGGATCAGTCAAGGAGAAAGTGTAAGTGACAAGAATACAATTAATATTATACAAAAACGCTGCCAAGTTGAACCTTAATATGTTTATTTGGAATGCATGAACACATAGAGATCACTTCATTTTTTGTTTATTTTTTTTTTTTTTTTCATTTATTTTACTAATTAAGGGACAGTTTCACATACCTACCAGAGTTTAAACTTTCGATTAACCAATAAAAATTCTGCTTTAGCTACTTAAACCTTGATTTTAAAAAATAAAAGAACACAAGAAGGCATAATTTTTAAAAATTTCCAATTTTTCAAATTCAGTATCACCCCAAATAAATTTATATTTCCTAATTTTCTAGTTTTTGGGATACAAAAGTAGTTGTATAAGAATTAAAAACTAATTCTCTTAAAAATAGCACTTTTTTTAAAATAATTTTTTAATTTTGAAATAGTCAATACGTTCACAATACTAAACCGTAAAAGGTTCGCAAATAAGTCAATTGACTAAGATGAATTGAACGTATCTGAATCAGATTTCACTTTTGAAAACATTAGGTTTATATGATACAGTAGAAACAAATTGTTGCATTAAAAATAAAAAGGTTCTTTATATTTGGATAATAGTCGAGGCACCTTGAAATTGATTTGATTTAAAAGAAACTGAAACTTTGTCAAAATTAAAGATAATCTTTCCCTCTATTATGATAGTAGAAAATTGAGTAATTCAAAAAATTTTAATTATCGTTAATGTGCAAAAAGTAGTTAAATATATAAATTTTATAGTTACATGAGAATTTAATAAAAAAAATTTATTATTGTAATTATTCGATTTTATAATTTGAATTCTACATAAAATAACGATTTAGTTTTGCCCAAGAAAATTATAAAAATAAATTAGTTCTGGAGAAAATGACAAATTGAAAAAAACATTCAAAATTCAAATTTTCTTATAATTATATCTAACTAAAAAATTAATTATTAATCAATAATCTTCGGTTAGGTGTTTTTCATATAATTTCCATAATATAATAAAAATAATAAAATAGGGTAATATTTGCGAGTTTATTTTTTTTAAGTTGTTATTTACGTTCCCAGGATTAATTTTATGCAGGAGAAAAAAATTTAGATAAGCTTTAAACGCATGAAACTGACTGTCCCCATGTACCCCAAAATTTAGAAAATTTCATAAAATTTGGGGTAGATGGAGACAGCATAGTTTCTAAGAAAGTTTTAAGAAAAAAGTTTCCCTAAGTATATTACTGTATTAAGGGATGAAAAAACTTGAAAAAAATTTGTAGTAGATATATAATAGTTGAACCAATTGAAATTTTTTTTTTATTTCAGTATTTTGTCTCGCATTTGAAAAAAACAGACTTAAAAATCATACCAAATTTTTTTCTTATTCCTTATGACTCCCATAACAGAAATTCACTTGAATTTTTGATTTTCATTAATTTGGTTAATAATGACAAGCTGTCACCAAAAATTTGAAAACTCCGGGTAAATGGGGACAGTTTGTCATTATTAACCAAATTAATGAAAATCAAAAATTCAAGTGAATTTCTGTTATAAGAGTCATAAGGAATAAGAAAAAAATTTGGTATGATTTTGAAGTCTGTTTTCTTTGACATGCTTGACAAAATACTGAAACTGTTTGACATTGATTTTCAAGTTTTTATGCATTGAGCGATAACTTTTTTTATCTTGCTACCAATTGTCAAGATAAAAGCTTGACAATACTCAAAACCTCTTGCAGGTGATCTGAGGTTAAAATATTGACGTTGAATTTAATTTTAAAACTGTAAATAGCTCCAAAACCTCTCGTCCCCATTTACCCCAACTGTCCCTATAAATGTAATAATAATATATAATATTGGTAATCTCATTTGTTTTAAAATTCTTTTTTTTTTTTAATTTTAATTTTAAATTATAAAACGTAATACATATGTTATGAATACAAGGAACTGATTTTAATAATTTTTTAATTATATGAATTTTAGTATATTTGACAAGAAAAAGAAAACGTTGGAACGATTGAAAGAGCAGTTGACAAAATTGGAAGTGCAAGCTACTGATAAAGAAGAAAACAAAGAAATTGCTTTGGGCACAAGTAAATTGAATTACTTGGATCCTCGAATCTCAGTGGCATGGTTAGTAAATTATTTGAATGACATACTAATTAATTAATTAATTATGTTTACTCTTGAATAAATAGTATAATTTCTCACTTCTATATTGTAGTGAATCTATAACAAATCTATTTTTCAGGTGTAAAAAATATGACGTCCCAATTGAAAAGATATACAACAAAACTCAAAGAGATAAATTCCGATGGGCTATAGACATGGCAGGAGCTGAATTCGTCTTTTAATTGTTTTAATCATTGAGATGAGTCTGAATCTTTGTTTAGTAAATTTTCCTTAAATCGCGGAAACTTGTAAAGTAATGATTATCCTTTTTATGATCAGGACAATAGCCGCGTGATTGTAAGAAATATTTAACAGAAAAGAAAAAAAACAATGTGTGCTGTATCAATTTTTTTTAATTGAAAGCCCCTAGTGATGTAATTAGTGCGTATAACTATTTTCATTGTAAAGTATTCATTCACGGAGCAGTGATTGAATCGTCCGAGTGTAATATGTAAAATGGTGATTTAATATTGATGAACTTTTTGCGTCAACTTTACATCAGTGATTTCAGTTAGAAATGAGAAAATGGAGGCAAAAAATAGTCAAGTAGCTAGAAATTTCTTGTGTGTGTCAACTAAAAGAAAATAGTGTAAATAGAAAGCAAAGGAAAAAAAAACTTAAAAGAAAAGACTTATAGATTTTTCATTGAAACTTGAAAGAAACAAACACAAGTCGTAGAATCATCTTTGTAATTTTACAATATATGCTATTTTGTCTTATAGATATGTGAACACTTACATGTTAGGAAAAATAAGCGAATCATTTGTAAAACTTTTTTTTTTATGTAAATCTGAATATTACGGTTATTCACACAAAGGAAGTTTCTCTTTACTAGTAAATTCTAATATTACAATAACTTAAGTTACATTAGATTAGAAACACACAAAAGTGTCACATTTGTTTGCAACTTGAATGTCATTTTCATAAAAGCATATTCTGTAGATTTATAGTTTGTTTTGAAATTTTAAATGTATGACACTTCGTACATCATGCTCATTATGCAATAAAAATGACATGCAAATGTGAATATATCTGAATGTCTGTGTTTTCACTTGCTTAAAAATGGAACCAAGTTTTATCTTTATAAAGAAATTTTTTTAATTCATCAAGACATTTATAGGAACGGTGAAAAATGTGAAAACACAGACGCTTATTTTAAAGTCTGTATGTTGCCTAGAATCATTACTCTAAAACTTACACCGAACTCTTCTATCGATTATTTATATGCGACTAGTAGTTATTATTAAATAACGTACGTAATTAATGAACGAACATTTGTACCCGCATACATAATGAATATGAGAGATTCTTTTTCAATCGCCCCAGCCCAAAAAGTCAATGTTCTGGGATTGGCTTCATACTTTGGTAAATTGTTGTCCTATATGATAGTAATAAATCCCTAAAATATAAACTCATTAAAAACATATTTGTAGAAAGTAGAGGGGGTTGAAGTTTTGACGTTAAGGGTAACATTGTCATTTTCAAATCCGTTTAACTATGACAAAAGTTAATGGATTTTAATTTATCTATAATGAATTTTATTGCATTTTTCACGTACTTTTCAAAAATGTATACGAAATTTAAAAAAAAAAATTTTTAACCCCTTTTTTTTCAAAATCAACCCTTATTTTTCGATTTTCACCCCTTCGGGTATTTTTTTTTTTTTTTTTTTTATTTTCATTGGAAAGCTGAGGTTTTTTCCGATGATCTATGTAAATATGAAAATGGGACAACAATAATTTTGTGAGAAACAGAATATTAAAGTAGGCGGTGCCGATAAGGGTGCCGTTAAGGGTAACATTGTCATTTTCAAATCTGTATAACTATGACAAAAGTTAATGGATTTTAATTTATCTATAATGAATTTTATTGCATTTTTCACGTACTTTTCAAAAATGTATACAAAATTTAAAAAAAAAATTTTTTGACCCCTTTTTTTTCAAAATCAACCCTTATTTTTCGATTTTCACCCCTTCGGGAATTTTTTTTTGTTTTTTTTTTATTTTCATTGGAAAGCTGAGGTTTTTTCCCATGAGTTATGTAAATATGAAAATGGGACAACAATAATTTTGTGAGAAACATAATATTAAATTAGGCGGTGCCTATCTAAATCCTCAAAGATGATCTCCAGGTACACCCCTTATCGGCACCGCCTACTTTAATATTCTGTTACTCACAAAATTATTGTTGTCCCATTTTTATATTTACATAGCTCATGGGAAAAAACCTCAGCTTTCCAATGAAAATAAAAAAAAAAAAAAAAAAAATACCCGAAGGGGTGAAAATCGAAAAATAAGGGTTGATTTTGAAAAAAAAGGGGTTAAAATTTTTTTTTTTTAAATTTCGTATACATTTTTGAAAAGTACGTGAAAAATGCAATAAAATTCATTATAGATAAATTAAAATCCATTAACTTTTGTCATAGTTAAACGGATTTGAAAATGACAATGTTACCCTTAACGTCAAAACTTCAACCCCCTCTACTTTCTACAAATATTTTTTTAATTAGTTTATATTTTAGGGATTTATTACTATCATATAGGAGAACAATTTACCAAAGTATGAAGCCAATCCCAGAACATTGACTTTTTGGGCTGGGGCGATTGAAAAAGAATCTCTCATATGTATTATTTAATTATTTAAGAAATGGTAAATAATAAACCAGCAGAGTCGTTTTGTATTTTTTTCAAAACGGCTCCGCTTATCAAAAAAAATAATAAAGAAACTAGTTCCCTTTTTTCACAAAGGGTTAAAAAGAAATTGAAGCCGTAATTTTATTTTATTTTTTTTACTAATGTCAACATTTCTTTCTAAAAAAAAGCAGCTGACTTGTCAAATGAGAAAAAAGACAGTAGCTCATTTGGAGATGCACGAGTCCCAAAAAGTGCAATTATGAATATAAAATCATCAGTGCGAGAGTAATTATTTTGATAAAATATAAATACAATTTTTTAATTGAAACTGCCGAACGCTCAGTCTATTTCGCTATTGCGAATTGCATTTGCATTCTCAGTATTGTGAAAACAATTTTATGTCGTCTACTTTTAAAAGGCTGAGGACATGGCATGATAAGAAGCAAGACTTAGTTATATATAAATTATAACACATAATAATTAAAAAGTAGGCAATGTGATTCTAATAAATATATAATTATTATTGAAATTATTGAATGGAAAAACACGTAAACTAGTTAAACAAGCATTAGGGATTTATAAGAATTTTAGCAATTTTTTTGATTTATACAATGATTTTTGGTTATTTAAAAAAAAATTCTTTTTTACATTTTACTATTGTACACGCTTTGATCGAATCAGAAATGATATATTATATATCGGTATAAGAAATTTATTTAATTCGATGCGTAAATGTTTATCATTTTTGATTAACAAAATAAAAAGGTTGTAACTTAATTTATATTGCATATAGAAATATGACGATTTTCAAACCCCATCATCACAGTGCGTTTGATTTAAATGTGTAAAAAAAATATTGGGAAAAAGCACTCTATATTTTAATATACCTTAAGAAATAAATTTGAAAAAATGAAAATACATACGTCGATAATTATGTAAACCAATGAAATTGAGTGGATAGACACAGTATATCATTAAATAGCAAGAAAACGACTGCATGTGTCTGTAAACAGAGCTCTAGTTTCTGATATTAGTATTAATAAGTATAAACAACAGATTGTAGGGTTTTTTTTATTTTTATCAAACATTTAAGAAATTATTACTTTATATATGAATAATATAGCAAAACTTGCACAAAACGTCAAAACTTGCATGACTATGTGTTTGAAACATCGCCACTTCTGTACATTACAAAAATAATAAATGTGTTTATTCAGAAAAATGTTGTCCTAGTTTTTTAGAGCCAATAAGCAAACATTCATTTTATTTATTATTTTAAAGTATAAATATATAAATAAATAAGGTGAATATGCAATCATTTCAAGTACGATTCAATAAGATTTTTATTTTTTAACAGAATTACAGTAAAAAAAATTTCTAACAATTTTCTTTTCATTCGAAACAATTACCTACACCTGATTTAATTTTTAATCTCGAAATTAATACAATTAATCCTTAAATATTACTATGAGAATTTAATTACAAAAATCTGTAAACAATCATTCAAAAGACAAACTTATAAAATTCGTCTATCATATAAAACATAAAATAACTTATAGATTTATCATACATTTAATTAATTTGGTTTAGTTCTTTATTTAAAATTAGATAATCAGACTAGACTATGTGAATACTAAATCACGGATGAGTGCTTTTCACAGAATTTTGCTACTGAAATTATGTTAATATTGAGAGTGTGCAAGAAAAAGCTCAAAAAATCAAGTCAAGTTCAAGTATTCGAATAATTATTCGACAACTTGAAAAAATTCAATAATTTCACTCGAAGTGGAGTTTCAAGCTTTTTATGCACTTAGTTAAAATCATGTATTAAAAATAAATGTTTTAACAATTTTTTAATATAAATAAGTTTTAAGTAAACTTAAATAATTAAACTCAATTTACTTTAGTTTCATTACACTTAAACTCTAAACAAGTATTTTAAGTAAAAATTTTAATTTAACTTTATTTTTTGACTATAAAATAATTATTAGTTTTTAAGTTTAAAAGCACTTAAGTTCCATGATATTAGTATTTTAAACATTTTCTTTTTTTTCATAACGTCTTTTTTCTCGTAAAAATTATTTATTCTAAACATTATGGTAATATATATAATAATTACATATTGACCTATGTCATTTTTATGATTCTTTTTAATGTTCAGTTACATTTTTAATTCTAAAATTGCGGTAAATGTGAGTTTTTATAAAAAATACCTTTATCATTAACTAATGCACAATTTTTATCTGATTATGCGGGATTATTTTCTTTTTTTCGAAGTACATACTATTATGTTGATACTAAAATGACAGTTAAAGCAGTTACTGTTTATGAAGGATTAGATTCAGTTTTGTGAGCTCTCTATTTTCAATGATAGTTGCATATTTTTTTTTTATTATTTCTTAGAATCTGACTAATTCTTTAATCTCCTAAGAAGTTAGACATTATCAAAAAATAAACTCAACACCTACAGAATAACAAATAATAATGATAATAAAAAATCGCACAATTAAAATTTTAACAATTATTGATTGATATTTTACTCAAATTTATTTTTACAAAATTTATTTTTATTAACTCATTAACAGGACAATAATTTTATAATTTAACAAATTAAAATTTCACAACGATATTTATATCAAAATATTAAAAAATAGAAAAATCCGACTGGTCAAAAATATTTATATATATATTTGCATTTGGGGTATTATTCTTGTACTGCCCTAAGCAAAATAAAATATAAATCTCAAAATTTCGAAAACTTTTCTTTTTTACTTGAGACAATTCTGAAGTAATGTCCCATTTACAGAAAATAAAAAATAATTAGGACGAGTAAGCCATTTATAAGAAAACTAAAAATGCAAAACAATAAAATAAAGTTATGGACAAATAAATTAATAAATAGAATATAAATAAAAAATAATAATGAAGAAGAAATAAATAAATAAATAAATACATTGAATAAAAATATAAATTAAAAAAACGTACATTTTGACAATTATATTAAAATAATTCGATCATTATTATAATTTACAATATAATTATGTTTGGCCTACACGTCAATTGTATTCTCAAAGAACATTTCTGAACTCATCAACAAATGATGATAAAATTAATCTCAATAAGATTGTATAAAGACTTACATTTTGTTTGTCCAAAGAAAAACATTTATCAATGTTATAAACGGTTGTAATCCGATAAAATTTCTAAGTCTTCCTTAATATTTTTATTCAGGATCGTTGTCTGCTTCACCAGCAGGTAGTATTGTAACAAGGCCAGCAGCAGCTACTTTTGCCTTATAAGTCTCCGGTTCGAACCAGCGAATCGGTGCCTAAAAAAATTAAATTAAAAATTAAAATTAATTTAATTCCCTAAAATTTCATATTTTTTTATTGAGACGAATCCACAAAACCATTCGATTTTATATTACTCATAAATATATTTATTTCTATGTGCATATAATTTTGAAAATTTCACTACTATATTTAAAATATTAAATCGTTTGGTTTTGTGAATTAGGCCATATGTATTAAAAAAAAGTCAAAAAGAAAAAGTATTATATTTTGTTTTATTCCTTGAATTAAGTTAAGTGCAGTGAAAATGTATGGAAAATACAATAAAGAAAATTAATTAAATGATAAGAGAAAGTGTGATTTTCATTAAAAAAAAAAAAAAAAAAAAAAAAAATTGCCTAGAGTTACGAGGAAAGGAAGGAAAAATTTGAATGTCTTACCTTTTAAATAGCCCTAGACGTGTGCTTTAAACGACAAATAAGAAGATTGTCAATCGCAGTGCTGATTATTAAAAGCTCTTTCAAAACAACATAAAGTCTTAAAATCTAGTAAATTAGTGCAAACTTCATTCAAACAAACTTATAACTAATTTTTTTCATTACCACTAATCTTCATCTTTATGATTCAGTTCATTATATTTTACATAAAATTTTTACCGACTAATTTTAAAAAAGTTGTGATAATTTGCACAAAATGATTCTGAATGTTCCAAGAATACAGAATTATAGTCGTTAAAAAAATAATAAATTTTATTATTCTGAACATAAGTATATCAACAATTTTTTTATGCATGTAATTACACTTCTCAATCTAATTACATTTAGAAATATTTTCTCCTGACTTAAAAAGTAGTCTTTGGCAAATCTTTCACTTTAAATTCATATTTTACAAAAACCATTCTTGCAAAGTACCATTATTTTTTAAAATTAATCGACAATGATTTTGAGCGAAACATAATAAATTGACTCTTTCATCGATTTATTTTTTACTTAAATTTGTTATTAATGATTTAATTTGTGTTTATAATAAAATATAAACAAATTAAATAAATTAAAAAATATAAATTAATTAAAATTAAAATAAATATAATGTAAGTCTAATGTTTAAATAGTTATTTTTTAACATTTTTTTCTGAACAAACAAAAATTTATGCAAGACTTTAATTTGTTAATAAAAATATGAAATTATTAGGATTTAAAGGATAATTTATTATCATATTCGAAATTTAAAGTAGACACGCACACTCATTAAATAATTCCATTTTAATAATTATTTTAATTATATTCTGTTTTTATAGTTTAATAAAAAAAAACTATTGTTTTTATTAAAGGTACTAATAATAATTTTTTATAATCTGACCATTTAAATTTGGAAATGTGACGGAAAAAATATATATATTTGAATAATTCAAAAAAATCTTAAATTTGTTAGCTTTTAAAACAAAAATAAAAATGCAGATTTAAATATATATACATGAGGTATTCCCTGAGAAAAACGCCAATCCAAATTTAAAGTTATTGAATTAGTTTAATATTTTGGTAAATTTTTGTTCTATATGAGAGTAACAAGTCCCTCTTAAAAAATTATGTTATTTTCATTAAAAAACTAAGATTTTTTTTCCAACAAAATATTTAAATTTAAAAATGGAACAACAATAAGTTAAAGAAAAAATGTGAAAAACAGAGCAAAAATTGTTTTTCTTTTTACATTTTCTCGCAAACCCATTGTTGTTTCATTTTTATATTTAAATAGTTTATTAGATAATGTCTCAACGTTCTAATGAAATCAAAGAACAACAACATTTTTCAAGGGGGAAAGGGTTTAAAAATAAAAAAATAAGTGTTAATTTTGAAAAAATGGGATTAAACATTTTGTGTTGAAAAAACTTTTTTTGATATTGAAAAGTACATAAAAACCCTTCGAATAACCTTATTGACTACATTCTATAGTTTATTTTAGATGAACCAATATTGAAGGGATTTGTTACTTTTATATAGAACAACAATATTTACCAAAGTATTAGACCAATCCAGTAACTTTAAATTTGGGGAGACTGTTTTCTCAGAAAAATATCTTATATATATGAATTTAAGCAAAAACGTGCAACATGTCAATAATGCGTTTATTAAATGCTTGCAATGAAAATTTGAATACAGTTTATTCTGATGATCAACTTTTATGATTTAACATAAACTATACAAAAGATAAACATTCACTTTCAGAGTTTTTCTTATAATATTAAATTTGTTAACATTGTTTGGATTGTTATATTTTTGATACTGTTTTCTCGTTAATTTTTAAGCATAAAAAATGAAAGAAAAACTCAACATTACTTCAACATTACTTCAATGTTTGTTAATTTAACAAAAAACAATTAGTTGAACAGTCGATATGTGTCAGTTAAAAAAAATATACAGAAAGAAAGATTTTTAACGGAAAAATCTAAATGAATTAATTTTACAATGTTATTACATTATGAAAAAAAAAATTCACGGTGAAATGCACGGTTAAATTATTATATATGAAAAAAGAGTCATACAAGTTGTGTCATGAATTTTAGAAAAACGAGCATTTCTGTTAAACTCTTTGGTTGTGAGTAGATATATATATATATCTTAATATTCTAATAGAGTATATGAAACATAATACAAAATAGATCTACTATCATGTAATACTGTTAACATGAGATACACTTTTTATAATACTTATGTAGGATAGTTATCTCTTTTTATAAATTCTTCACAACCTATTTTTTTTTTTTTTTTTTTTTTGGTTTAAATAAACGAATTTTAGTTATATCTATATAGAGATTCAAATATTCAAGTGTTGAATACTATTTTGGCATCAGTCGAATATTATAAGAGTCTTAACATGGTTATAAAAGCTTATACATACTTTTAAGAACAACAATAAAGTTAATTCTCTAAATAATAAATCTCTTTGAACAACAAAGAAAGTTTTAAACAAGTAATTCCTCAAACCGGAAAAAAAAACAAAATTAGTGAAACTTTCACTATGAAATTTTAGTTCATAGCCGTTATTAGCATTAATAGTTTCGTTTTTTTTTAAATGATTTTTTTCAGAGAATGGTAAAAAGTTTTTTAAAGTAAGTAAGTAAACTTGTATAGTGGATGTTTGTTATTTTCGGCGTCAATGAAGTAACTAGCCTTAGGCTCAACAATTTTGTTATTATTCATGGCAACCATGTTGTGCGAAATATAATTATCATTCCTGTCAAATACCTTGCGTATGATGTTGGGACACTCCTTTTGAATTCGAGCCCAATCTGCAGGAGCCCTCTTGGCATAGGGCCCTTCGGAGCACATCATTAAAAATTCGTACGATAATTCCCTTGATGCTAAAAGTAATTTTAATTTCTTTTAAGAAAATATCATTTTTGAGACTATTTTGTATTTGCTATATTTTAGACAATGTTTTTAAATTAGAAGCAAAATAATTCTACTATTAACAACTACAGGCCTCGAACCGTCTTCGACATTAAAAATTACGTAATTTACTTACCGAAATTTCTAGCTTTTATTATTATAAATTTTTCATTTCAAATCTATAAATGAAATAATATATACTTAAAAGTTCTAAGAGAGTGAAAATTATGAACCATTATTAATAAATAAAAGAAAAAACTAAGTTTAGAATAATTTTGAGAAACCTATTTTTGAATGAGACGTTTTTTACATACCAGTTTAAAAATGAAAAACTTTTCATTAATTTATGTACTTGATTAGAGGCCTGCAACTAATAATAATAAAATAAATTACCATTTTTCTTCGGCTTCATTTTCACGGGTTCCGAATTTGTAGTACGAGCTTTATAAGTTTCCTCATTTTCAGAAGTAGCATTACTTTCCAGACTTAATTCTCTGCCTGAAAGTTGAGGTTTGACGTTTGAATAAATCTGCGGAGTGGACTGATTATTAGGAGAGAATGCAGCCTCTTCTTCAAGACTGAAAAATTCAACTCCGCTATTGGATTGCTCTCCGTCTCCAGATAAAAGATCTTCGAGAATTTGTTTCGCGGCCTATAATTACAAACATATTGCTCTTTAATTTAAAAAAATAAAAAGCAAGCATTATAATTAAAAAAATATGCCTGTTTTTACCTTAACGAGGTTGTAATCACAGCCAGAAATTTTCAAAGATTGGTTACCGACAATAACCGTTAATTTATATTCGCCAATACTGGCGTCGTTGGTGGAAAAGCTGTGGGCAAGACGAGAACGTGAACTTTGCAGTCTGCTGCTTTCATCAGACGCACTGCTGTTCAATGATGAACTTGAATCGCCTATCCCGCTTTTTTCTCCTCCACCTTGATCAAGTCGTACGGGTGACGCATTTCGTTGTATCGTGTTTTTAATTAAATCCTTCGCATAACTGAAAATAACAATACTCTATATAACAATAGTATTTTAATATTATTAAAGAGGTTTTTTTTTAAAATATAATTTCAAAATAGTAATAATAATCGAACATTATCCACTTACTGTATCTTGTCCTCTGAAGTTCCCGTGATTTGGACAAGTCTTTCTTTCGCTCCAGGGTTCACTGTAAAAAAATATTACATAAATATTGTAATTATTCAATGTAGACAAAAAAATAAAACAAATTTGTTACATCATAGAATCAATATGTTAATAAACTAGTAAAAAAAAAGAAAAATTGCGAGCGATTAGTTTAATATTATATGGTAATTCAGAATGAACATTTCTGTGCAGATTTTATATTGTGTTACATGCTTAGAATTTTAATCAATCATTGTATAGGGGAAAAGAAGCGAATGCTAGAAGTCCGCAGCTGAAAGATTCTGTAAAAGGACCACACATCAAGTTGTTAATGTCAAGAAATTGTTTTTGTTAATTTCTCTCTTTTTTCAAATTAATGGATTATTTTCGATAATTATAGATAATTCAAATGTTACGTGATTATTAAAAATATGTAGTCGTACATTTTTTTTATGTAAAAATAGTCGAATTAAAGGAAATTAATTTTATTAATCTTTTCATCAAATTCAAATGGAAATTGATGAATTTCCTAAAAAAGTAAATGTGAAAAACAAATGAGCAACATTCAATTAATGCTTCCGAATGCATGATTAAATGCTGCAAAGCTGTTTGCACTCTCTTTCTTTTACCTCGCTGGAAGGAGATGATGGTCTCGCTGAGTTCTTCGATCATGTGAACTCGTCGCCCTTTTATTCCCATCACTGTTTTTTTTTTGTACAAACAATTTTTTAAAATTCTTACACAAAAATTGTACATGTATGTATACAGGCCTCAGATCGACTTTAAGGCACAAAAATAGTCGTTTTAGTCGATTTTTTTTTTATTTTAACAAAATTCAATTGGTTAATGAATATTTTACTTTAAATAACTAATGTTATTAGATTTAAATTCATTTTATTAATTCTGTAATAAGAATAATTCTATAAAAAAAATAACAAAAAAATTTATTTCTAATATTTCATAATCGAACTAACTGTAAGACAAATTTTCAAAATTTTATTTAAGTAGGACAAATTTCTAAAAAAATTCCTTAAAGTTCCATTTTTATAATTTTTCAAGTCTAATTTAAGCAATTTATTCGATTTAAAAATTTTGTCATAGTTTTTAGTTTTGATGGTCAAAAAAATGCCAGGCAATACTTAATAAAGTTTTACAGATAATTAAAAAAAATAATTTTGGAAGAGTTAAAGTTGAAATTTTTTAGAAATAATTGACTTTCAAAAGATTTTGTTAATTTTCAGACAATAATTAAATTTTACATAACTAAAAATAATTTATCAAATAATTTTAGATAAGATTTTTTAAAAGTAATTGAATTTTCGAAGAATATTATAAAAATCATTAAAAATAATTTAAATTTTTGCAAATAATTAAATTTCAAGTGATTTTGAATTAAAAATTTTTGGTAATTTTATTTGATAATTTTTTTTAAAATTATAAACAATTATTAAATTGTATTTGTAAAGAATTTCATTAAAATTATTAAAAATAATTAATTCAGTGAAGAGTTCTAGTTAAAAATTTGTTAAATAATTGAAATAAAGAGGATCTGAAGACGATCTGCATCATATTATACTAAAGAATCGTATTTTGTTTAAAATTTTTTTTAAAAAAATGTAAAAAAAAAAGTCAAAGAAGTCGCATTTTATTAAAATAAGTCGAAAAAGTCGTATAATCCGAGGCCTGATGTATATGAAATTAAATATTTGTGCAAAAGTTCAACAAAATCATGGCTTTTTACAAACAAAAAGAAATTTAAGCAAAAATAATATCTCTTTGTTGTAACTTAAAAATCATGTTTATACACATTAATGTTCATTACCTTTTCCTGAATCACTGTTACGAATAATAACTTCATCCTTGCAATAATTTTTGCCAGGAATCCGCGTTGGTTTCGCAAATTTTCCGCTGTTCTTAATCACCTCACCTGGTCTCAAAACTGGAGTTGAAGGCGACGGAAGTGGCATTGTCAGCAATGTTGGAGTTTCTGGACTTCTAGCTTCGTTATGATGGTGCTAAAATAACATTTTTTTTAAAATCATTTTTTAATTGACTAAATCAAGTACGTTTTATAATATCACAATATATATTTTGTAAACAAGTTACTTTTTTAAAGCTTACATTATCTAAATATGTAAATTTTTGCGTAGAATAACCATCCGATGAGTCGGAATAGTGCCATTGTTTGGCTCTGAGTTCGATAAGTTCCAGCAAGTGAACTCTTGTTGTCAAATCTAATCTTCCATCGTGACTGGCGTTCCTTATTACTACAAAGGCTCTGTCAAGCTGATCTAAAAAACATTAATAAATTTTTACAAATTTTATTTAATTGATTGCTCACTGACAGTAACATACTTTCTCATAAGTCATAGACGTAAGTTCACGAATTAGTTCAATTTTTGTGTAAATCATTTGTTTTTAAATATTTAAAAAGTTTTTTTGCTATTCAAATTTTTTATTCATTTTATAAATATTACTGAAGTTAAAACTAAGGTAAGTAAGTATATTCGTTGTATTCGCTGTATTCGCTGAGGTTTCATTTTTTGTTATGCACAAGAATTTTGTTTAAATGTAACGTGATGTAACTGATATTCATTAAAAATCTACTATCAAGTTTGGTCCACTTCCCGACTTACCCGTACAACTTTGATGATGTCAATTTTTAGTCTTTTTAAAAAATTATAAAAAATTATGTCATAAAGAATTCATTCAACTGAATATTCCTGTCATTGTTAAATACGTATTTCCATGCTCTTTACGATAGTCTTCAACTTTACGAAAAATTCTTTTTTGTTTATTCAATGAAGCTAAATAAAAACACTACCCGACATGGCCTTAATTATTTAGAAAATAGTTTATTTATTAGTTTTTTTTTGCACAATTACATTATTATTCCAATTATTTTATATGTTTTTTCTATCGTATATTATTCTTTTCATTCTTTTTATTTAAATTTATGGCAAACCTCGTATTTCTTTAACTAAAATAAAAATTTATATTTTCATCTCATATAAAATAAATAATCCAAAACATATGATATTCGAATGGCTGTTTAAACCGAAATAATCTTTATTGTACTTAGTTTTCTCAAGTATTTGAAATTGACCCCAAGATCAATTTAAAAAAAAACAAACGTCAAATCAGACCCACACTCTGTGGGGATTTTGTGATCATAAATTTGAGAGGGTCGTATTGCAACCCGAGAAAAACCCAACCATAAATCCCTGTGCCCTTGAAAAAAAAATAATTTTTTTTTAAAGAAAAACAAACCATAAATCATTTAAATTAAATTTTTTAACCAGCTAAAGAATAAATAGCATTAAAAAGAATTAAATTACCCAATAAAGTTTGTTTAAGGTAAAAAAAATAATAATATCAATGATCATAATAATTTAACAAAATCAATATGCAGATAACAATTAACAATAATATTAAACTAAATTCTGAAATATTAAACATAAAATAAAATTCAACAACTTTAGAAAATAATTTTTCGTTTTTGAAATGAGCCTTTTATATTTGTCAGAGATTCTGACACTTGATTCTGAACCACTCATGAATACAGGGACAGATCATTTTCGGGGAATTTAAAAATATATATTTTCCAAGAGCTGAAACACTATTTTTTTATCTACCTCATATATTTAACACTATTAAAATAAACTGAATATTAATTGCTTAATATTATTAATAATGCTACTATTTAAAATTTATAAATTTTTTTTATATTTTATTTAATTCATTTAAATGTTACAAATTTCAATGTTTTACTTAAATAAATTGTCAAAATTTTTTTTTTTAAATTAATAAATAAAAAGGCGATATTAGTTTGAAGATGAAATAAGAAACAAAAAGATTTTTCCACAAAAAGTATTATTTTATACCTGTTGATTTTGAACATACCTTTGTAAATAGTTTCCAGCTGCGAAGAATACAGCTTCACGTGATTACACATTAAAATCACTTTTGGTTGCAACATTTCATCGTGGTAACCATTGCTTAACTGCATGGTTACATTGTCGATTAAGGACAAACTGTCCTCAACTATTTAAAAATTAAAAAAATGAGTATTAAAAACGTGTTCATATTAATAGAAAAAAGAAAAAATTATTTAATGAAATAAAATTAGTAATTAATTCACATTCTTTGCAACTGTCACTTATTCAAAATTTTCAAAAAAAAAAAAAACTTTATAAAAAAATTACCTTTTTTTGGTCTGGATATCATAATATTTTGTAAAAAGTTTTTCTTTTAAACGAATTTTAATGTCTAAATTTCTTATTGCATATATTTTTTCAAAAGATAATATGTATAAAAAATGTGTGCAATTCTTTTACGTCTTAAGTTTTGTCCATGTTAAAGGAAAAAAAAACAAAAGACATAAGAAATAAGAGAAGCAAAGCCATCTTTCGACTATTTAAAATAACTAAGTATTATTTTTTTCATCAAAAGGTTAAAACTTTTTAGTTTTTACCTACAATAAAAAAAAAGATTATTTTAAATTAATTAAATAAAAAAATTTCAACTAAGAAACAATTAGTTTTCAGTGTTAATATTATAATAACTTTGTATTTCAAGATATCTTGGAAGCTGTGACATTATTTATTTACATAAAGTATGTTTTACCGAATAATATTTAGAAAGCCAATTAAATTTAAAATTATATCTTTGTAACGAAAAACTGCTTTTATTTCATTTAGGAAACAAAAATGGAAACGAAACCTTTTAAGAAAGAACAAAAGAATATAAATTAATTATACAATATTACCAAAGTGTAAGTTATTTACGAATATTATATAAATGAATAAAACATACTTGTCGGATGATTATTCCGCCGATTGTCGACGGTCGATTGGGTCGATTGACGCTGAGCCAGCTTTAGCGGCCGTGGCTTCTCAAGTTTTTTAACACTTCGAGCTCGCATTTGTGTTGTCGCCATTATTTTGTCTATAAAAATTTATTCAAAATATGCTTAATATTATATATATATATATATATATATATATATATATATATATATATATATTATATGCGAGTAAAAGACGAAATAAAGATGAAATAAAAGTTTTATTTCATTAAAACTTGACTAAATGTTTTAAGAAAACACAACCCCACGCGCGCTTTCATCTCCTTTGTTCTTAAATATTTATTAAGAACGAATCCATTAAATATAAGTATATAACTTGAACATTTTCTGCGTTCATCATCAATATTATGAAGTAAATTTTTTTTTATAAAAATCAATTTTTATTGGATGGACAAAGCTGATGATCTCGAATTAAGTAAAATTTGAATTGAAAGATTATTTTTAGTTTTCTTGATTAGTTAATGCAATAAAATTAAATAAGAAAAAAATTATTTATAACAGTATATTTATTTTAAAATAATATTGTTATTATACCAAATTATTGACAAATTGATATTAATTTTATCGTAATTTTATTTTGCATTCAAAATACTTATAAAATAACCGAGGTTTACAGTCTAAACGGTCAATATTAATCGTCGGATATTTGGGATAATTAAATTATTATTATTATCGAAAATTAATTTTTACTTTAATTTTCATATATGAATACTGACTTTGTTAATGGAACGTATTATTAACCTCGTTCTTCCATTCATTCATTAATTTTATTAAAAAAATTATGCCATAATATTATGATTAATGATCTCAAAAATAGATAATATGTTAACATAAAATTTTTATTCTTTATTTACAAAAATTTTCCAGGAATTTCAGATGCGGTAGACAAGGTTGTTATTATTACTGTTGTAGTAACCAAAAGTTTTATCACATATTATTTAAAAAATTAATAAAAAATAGAAACACGTTTTTTTTATTTATAAAGATTTAGCTAATAATAATAATAATAATTTATGATTCTTTAAAAAATTAAAATCATTTAAAAGATTGAGTATTTGGAAGACAAAAAATAATGAAAACAAAACTAAGTAAAAAATATGTGAAAGATTTATGTAATGGTTAGAAAAACACCAGCTTTTGGACTCTTGGTTACGCCGGCTTTCCTTAGGCCGCTTAGTATATATGTATATATATATAATTATCTTTAATTCTTTTTGTTTTCAGTGTCAAAACAACGAAAGATCTTAAGTTTGAATACTCAAGTTTAGTGTATACTTAAATGTAAATTCTACATTATAACTTTCTCTTTTATAAACATTTTTTTTATTCTTTCTTTCTAATTGTATATCTATGTCTAAATGGTACGAAACTATTTACTGATTTTTAAAAGGAGAAAGCAGTAAAATATATTTATTGTATGCCATAAATGTTGAAAAGAAAATTTTTTTATCATACAAAAATCATATTTATTGGTTAGTTGTAGAAAGAAAAACAAGCAAATAAAACCCTTTAACTCATTGACACAAAAGCACATGTGCTACTTTGGGAAAGTGCCCAAAAATATTTTAAAAAGTTTTTGAACAAAGAAACATAAACTTAGATTGAAGACTATAGTCAAAGACTTCACCTTGATTCTAAATCAAATTGAATCTGAATTATTCTCGAAAATTGCTAATTTTAATAAAGAGAGGTGAAATTTCAGTAAACTACGTTGTAGGAACTTAAAAATAACCAGCAAAAAGAAAGAGTGGCGCCCTTTTTGATGACAAATATACATAACACTGACCTTCGGTCAGTGAATTGCATTTTGGAATTTATATTTAAATACAACTCACTGAGCATTGTCTAAACCATTGTGAAAGTTGATTTTTTAATTACGATAATTGCAAGGGTCAATGACCAATGTTGAAACAAGAAAATAAATAGTTTTCTCAAATATAAAATTCCTATATAAATAAACTGAATAATAAATCAACGCATAAAATGTTAGGTTAACAAAGAGAATACAGCATGATTAATTGAGACCAAGAGAGAAAGTTAGATGCTAAAAAGAGTACGAAAAATAAAAGGAAGTCAAATCACTTCGAAGTTCTTATTGCATGTGTTAGTGGAAAAATCCATGTGTATGTAATGTATGTAATATAGAAAACGAATGACATTCATTGCAAATTATTCTTTTGGAAAAGTGTTATAGCAAAAATATTACAATATAGTCTCAAGTATATAGAAAATATATATTACAATAAAATTGGGGGATTTAAACTCTCTTCATTTTCTGAAATAATAAAGAATTAAATACTAGGATAACTATAAGTGAAATGTATTAAATAATGAGAATTTTCACCAATAACTAGAAATCCACGAAAACTATTAACAATTGCCACTTTTCGAGTAATAAATGAAGGCGTAGTTGGCGCGTTTTTAAAAATGGTTGCACTTGTCACACATCACAAATTCAACACACAAAATAATAAATTTGAAAAATAATAATGCACCTTTTGATGTTGTTCTCACACTCAGCTAACTCCAGCTACTCGGCTGCAGCAATGCTTGAACCACGATAAACGAAACACTGACAACAAGGGCAATGCAGAAAGTTTGCTGAAAATGAAAAATCATCAATTCTAGAGTACTGATTGGTCCGTCATTTAATGGCTGTTAGTGAAAAACACTAGTGAAAACAAAAAAATCACTAGACTAGTACAGGCAGCGGGAATTGAATTTAAACATTCCTAACATTCTCATCAGTTTCTTTTTGCTAAATTAGATAAACTTTTATTTTTATTGAATAGAGATGCAAAATTTTTGGTATAATTTAAAGTCCGGTTATATTCTCGAGAATATTATCTTTCCGAAGAATTTAAGAGTATTTTTTCTCTACAATTTGAACGCACTTCCCTATTTTGAAATAAAATTAAATTGTTTAAATAAAATTTTACTCATAAAATATTATAAAGCCGTTTAGGTCTTAATTTGATATTATATATTGTTCTTTAATTTTCAAATTTTTTTAAATAAATTACCAATCTTTGGAATTTATTTAAAAACTTTTTATTTTATTAATATAAAATTAAAAAAAATGGAATTTATTGAAAAATGAAACTGAAAAATTTTTTTTTTTTAAGAATAATTGTATTTTTTTAAATTTAATTCATTTTCTTGAAATTCAAATAACACTGTGCTCAAATCGACAACTTTTTTTTAACGATCTTGATACATATCAGGATATCAGATAAACATAATTCGAGCACGGCGAATTCAATGGCCTTAGTTGTTTTACAAAGTTAGGTAAAATTTTCAAAATATTCGCCATTTTACATTTTTTTTTGGTCCATTACAAAAAAACACTTTGTTTCTAATCAAAAAGTATCGAATTCACTTGAAACCTGTTACACGGAGGTTTTGAGGTTGCTGATTATGAATTTAAAGTCAATTTTTTAAAATTAAAAATAACAAGTTTCAAGGCTTATTGCAGTCATTAATACCTAAAATCTGACACAAGGAATTCCGAATATATCCACATTGTTTTACAATTTTTTCAAAATTTGACAAATTTATTTTTTGTGAAAAAATTTTTTTTATTGTAAATTTAATTTTGTTTGGTAAAAAAAACTTATTTCTTGCATTAAAATGAATCGATTAACCTATATAAAGTTCAAATATTTTACTGAAATCTATCATTTATATCATTTTTTTGAATTTTTTAAAAAAATTGTTTTTTTAAGTATTTTTTGAAATAAATTTTTTCTATGTAGAAATTTTAATTAATTCTTGTCAAAATTGTATTCCTATGACATTAAAACAAATGGACTGATGTATACATATAAAGTTTACGCGTTTTACCAATAATTATAAACTTGATCAATATTTTTATTTCTAACAAAAAAATGAAATTTTTAATTTTTTTAAAACTAATAATATAAGTGTTTATCATGATGAGGAAGCTGTTGTCTTGTTAGTCTATAAAAAAATGTGCAAAAAACATGCCTCTCTTTTTAAATCGATATCCTAACAATTAATGAAATTAAAGTCAGAAAATTAGTGAGAAACTTATTAAATTATACATAAAATGATAACAATATTTAAGTATTTTTTCATGAACAAAGATTGAATTATCGTGTGAGAAAGATCAACTAAATTTCTGCTTTTTGCAAATTTTTATTATTTCTATTTTATATGAGGTTATGTTCAGGGAAAGACTTGAAATACAGGGTGATTTTTATGTTCCGGACCCCCTAAAATTTTGTAGGGTGTCCGGAACATAAAAATCACCCTGTATAATAAAGCTTGCATTGAGAAAACTTGGAACTTCCTCTTAAAAAGCATAGTCGCGCAAAGTTTAAAATTACTTTTCAAAAAGCTTATAATATGACTATAATTGAAAAGAATTGGAAGCACATTAAAACATTTTTATTCAGTCAGTAAGAAGCATTCTACACAATAATGATAAGAATGTAATAATAATAATAATAGATAAGAATAGATAATTACAATAATAATCATTCAGTATAACCATTTGCATCATGCGGGTAAACTCTTTCATTCGTCGACTTATCGTACTGTATAAACGATTAAAAACTCACCAATCAACCAAGTACGATACACTCGTTAGACTATGAATGTAGTCAATAAATTATTCCTATTTGTCTTGCTGCAAAGATCTCATCTTACAGCAGAGTTAACTGAGTTTTGTAGTAGAACTATTTTTTTATTTTCTTCGGGATTATGTTTACACCGTCATTAGTATCTTTTTTTTTATTAAATTGTTGTACCTATAGTTCATTTTTGCCTATTTCGGCAAACACTAACAACCTAAGGCAAATGTATTGTTACGTACGGATAAATGCATCATCTTTATTTATGTATATGTTTATTATTTAATAAATATACAAGTGTTAAAAAACTGAAAACCAACTGTAAAAATTGTACTTCGATGTAGATATATAAAAACTTGTGAGCAAACTCCTATTACATATCTTACTATGTAAAACAGTGTAAACATAATCATATTGGCTTTTTATTTTTTTTTTATTACAATAAATCCGTATTCTATTGTTTTGAGGTAGTGTACTTTAATGTAATCCTATTATTTTTTCTTCCTGCTATATATTGTGTGCGGATATGTGTCTGGTTGAATTATTCACTCCTGAACCCTTTGCCACAAGTCCAAAAAGTTAAAAATTTATCGACAAAGAAATAAAACCATCGAAATCGATAAATACGTATTGCATATTATATACAATACGCATTACGAATATGAGCAACAAACTACTCGATATTTTTAAACGCATCTTTCATCTTCGTCATCATCATCAACACCATTTTTTTTTTTTTTTTTTTAAATAATCGATTGTTTTTTTTCTTATTGCATAAAATATTTTCACTCCCATACATTTCACTTTTTAATTTTGGAACCCTGTCCATTGGGAATTTTAATTTGGACTCATAGTGATCTCATTGTCAGGCGTGTTTTTATTTATCATCGAAGAGCGAGGCGAAAACGTCCAACATACGCGAGAAACTTTGGCACCTCTTTCTCTTTCTCTCTCTTTCTCTCTTTCTCGTTAAATCTGTTTAATTCAACTAACTAATAATACTTATCATTAATAGTAACTATTTATTAATAAACTAACATTTCCCTATCATTCTATATCAGTGACTATAATCATTTGCGTCTGCAAGCAACTTTGTGTTTTAAACAAAAACAGCATCCACTCATGCCAAACTTTCTCCGGTGTTCTGACTTAATTGACACCCCGCAATCTCGATTGATTCAACTGCTGATGATGATAGTCTTGCCAGCACTTTTACAAATAATGCCCAGCAATTGTGCTATTTTGTAAATTTTTTTTTTTTTTTAACTATTACTTCAAGAATAATTTATCACATTTTTTTAATCTTTGTCACAGATCAGCAAGAAAGGGACTCATGTAACGTTATGCCCAACCGTCTGGCTCAAACGACGAACGCCTTATGTAAAAAATATAACTATGGATGATCGAGCCACCAGTCGGCAAATAACAAACGTCTCACTGAAGCTATTTACGAATCACTCCCTAAGAAATTTCGTTTAATTCAATTTCACGACAATTTTCTTTGTCCGAGTCTCAACAAAAACAATTACTCTTCACTTCCAACACTTTCTTAAAGTTTACTTAACGCATCCACGACAAATTTATTCAAAAATTAAATTGAAAACACTTTAAATAATAAAAAATTATGATAATAATTTTCACATTCGTATTCTATTTATACGTAATTTAAAGTAACTAAGAATTACGAATTAACCGTTTAAGATCTTATAAAAAATGAATCAAGTTAATATAAAATTATTTTTTCATTTAAATAAAATCAAAATCAAAGATTTTTGAAAAAAAATTATTTTTATAATGCTTACCTTACTGTAAGAAAGCATAATAAATTTATTAAAATCTTCTAATTGAAAAATTTTATAGATACACATAAAAAATGCTCGTAAAAAGAAAAAACAGTTTTATCAATTTCCAGTATTAACTTTTAAGAGACTACTGTAGATTAAAACTATCTCTAAATAAAAAAAAACACTAATAAAGCTATAATATAATTCATTTAATAGAACAAATTTGATAAATAAATTTATTTTAATATTTTGTACTTCCTATTCATAACTCTATAAAACAAAACAATTCCAAACGTCAACTAAATACTATAACATATGTATAATATATATATATATAAAAACCGTTTCCATTAAAAGGAAATAAATGTTGTAAGTGAAGAGATGTTTTCGATAAATACCCGGAGGGTTATAAAAACTGAATCATGTTTCATTTTTTTTGCCTGTAATTCCAAAAGACATCCGAAAAAGTTTTTTTTTATAATTACCGAAAAAATTCGCCAACAAAAACATCGGGAATGATAATCGCGTTTTAATCTTCGCCCTATAAATTTGTACTCTTACGTTACATGCTCCCTCTCTCTCTCTTTTTTAAGAACTCAAAGTCAGTGAATAAAAAAAGAATTTGAGAAAATCTTCACATCAATTTTGAATTTTGACACATTCACGTTATCATTTTAGTTACTATGAATATAAGCTTTTTTCCACGATTAAACTGAAAATTCAAATAATAATCAACACACTGCACAAATATTAAAACAAAAGAAACTTAACACTAGTTCCAACGGAACCACAGTGAAATCTAATAGCCTCAACATTTTACCAGGGGGAAAACACGAACAAAACATACACGTAATGATCGAACTAGTAACTACGTTCCTATCCTAAAATAGCGAGAAAATCCGAAGACATGTCGATTCCGAAATTTGTGTAGAGAAATTTCTTCAATTTTAACTCTTCCATGTGCCAAAAAAGTTTCATTAACTTGCGTTAATAATCAGCAAATTTTGCTCATACATACATATCTTCAGATTTTTACGCTCTTATAACAATTAATTTAGTATCATTGCTCCTGTTGCGTTTTTTTTTTCTTTTTTTCTTTTTTTTTTTTGCTTTTTTTTTGTTTTCTGTCTATAGTCGAAAATTATTTCGAAGCAGAAGAGACTTCTGCATCGAAAACTTCGACATACGTTTTACAATTTCTTAATATGGAACCGGAGTATGTTGTTTAGTTTACGCATAAATATTTGATAAGTATAAAGTAAATTCTTTGATAGTGCAATTTGTCCTTTGGAACGGATGTCTTGAGTGATCCGTCCCGACGAAACAGACGGCTTCCAGAGTTTAAAAATGTTGTCCGACAACAGTTAAAGATTAAAACCATTAGTAACTATAATTATCAAGTATGCGACCATTACGATGTCTTATATCATTATAAATTACCATTGCGGTGTTTCACGTTTTTTTTTTTTTTTTCATCGATTTCTTTTGCTTATCGTTAAGTTTTAATCGTTAATTAATTAGCGTAACTTAGTAACGAGAGTATTATTGGCATTTTGGGACTGCCAAGAGGAGATGAAGTAAGTTTTTAGCGCTTTACCTGCTTTTTTTTACTCATACTCTTGCGGACGAGTTGATTAATGGCGTCGTTTCTTTCTGAAACCTGAAACAGATGTAAAAAAAAGTATTTAGAAACTAAAAATGAAAATCAAGAACATTTTAAAAAAAATGACTTACTCTTTTTTGCCTTTCCTTTGGGATCTTTTCTTTTTTTGGACAAAAGAGAAGATGATCCTCCAAAATTGGTGATGTCTGTTCCCAAAGTTCCAATAGTGGTAAGTTGGCGACGGCGATGTTTTTCCTCTTTAGTAACTGGCAAACGAGTCATGTAGTTTTCCTCGTATTCGATCTTTCTCTTATTTTCTCGACCCATAATCACCTGCTTTTCACTGATATCGTGCATGTCTTCTGTTGGAGCGCCCAAATATTCCTCTTTCAATTCCTGAAGTACCGCTCCGGAAAACGCACGCCTGCGTGCCCTTTCTCCCGCTTTACGCATCTTTTCTGCATTTGTCTCATCTCCATCTGTAAGAATAAATAATAATAAACTATATAATATAGAAAATACCAATTGAATGGTTTCAATTAAACAGTCCAATTAAAATACTGACCGTAAGGAACGGCAGCTAGTTTTGGTGGCACATAGACTCCAGATTTTTTCGGCTTGGCGACATCTTCCTCTGGCTCACTGTCTGAATCATCTGAACTTCCGTCAATTTTTCCAATGAGAGCGTCAGGATTTGCTTTGAAATTGCTTGGATCGCTGCTGCTTGCAGTTCCAGTCACTGCAGTTTTCACCAGTTTATCTATTTGATATTTAAGTTTATGATTAATCGGCCTGATTCTTTCTAAAACTGTTCGAATTTCAATCAAACGATCTATTGATGGATCCTCCTCGATTTTCTCTCCGGAGCACTTTCTCAGAACAACATAAGTTAAATTGATAAGGTAGGAAAGCAGTGAATAGTACTTCATCTCTAAGAAACTAAGACCCTTGTCTGTTGAAATTTCTCCTTTCTTCACACGATCCAACATGTTGTCGACAACCTGATTCACCAGCAGGACACTTGCATTCATCTCCCCCAAGAGGCGAAATGCCTGGGGCAAATCCCTCTGCTCCATCTCGTCGACTGCCTGCAATTTCATAAATTTACATCATTTAATTAACTAACAATTAATTTTCATTTATTAATTCCTTATTTTTTAAATATAAATAAATATCAATTTAAATATTGAAAAATATTTTTTTTTCTCTTTAAAATAATTTATCTAACATTATTCAAGTGAAATTTTCTATTGTTTTGATCGTATAATCTAACCTCTAACATTAGAAAATTTTCTAGTCTCATAAAATTTTCAAGTTCCAACACTTCTTGAAATTTTTGACGTAATAAAAAATGTCCTCTCTTTTCTCGATACCATATCCCACAATAAATTTTTTCGCAATTAAACTTTTTCTCTTTTAAAGTTTTTCAAATTGAATTTTATTGTAAACAACACGAAAAGTGCCGCAACGTGGTTTACGTGATACGAAATAGTCGCGACAATTTTAGATGAAAATGTTGCAAGTCAAACTTTTATTATCGGAACTTATCGTTTCGACGGCGAAAAATGCGAATAGGAGTGAAAGCCTTTGGGGGAGAAAAATCTATAGGGGTGCATATATCATTTTTCGAGGTTTTATAAACTTTTCGAATAAAGAATTTCTCTTGTTAAATACTTAAAGTTCTTTAAAATTCATTCGTAAAATCATATTTTGATTCACAATTTTCTTATTATTCACGTGGAAAATTTACACAAGTTTATAACTTTTTAGAAAAATGTCCGCCTCCAAACTCTCGGGGAAAAAAGCGCAATAATCTGCTGCCATCTTTCCTATTTACTAATGGATGACAGCGAAAAAAAAACAATCAAAAGTTGCCCGATTGAACTCGCGAAAAAATGCAGCCGTTTAGGTCTCCACGAATGAAACTGACAATTATAATATACTCAAAAGATTGTACTCACTTGCACCATTATTCTGAAACAAAAATTAAGGCAACAAACACATATTTAAACAACAAAACTTGCAATTAAACAGGCCCCCACGTGGGAGGATATTTTCCTTTTCAGGGTATATTTTTTCGCTTGGGGAACACTGGTCAAGCGAGTAACTGCTGAATTTCGTTCATATTTCTTACTAAAAAAATATATTTTATTATGTCAAATGATAAATAATAATATTAAAGTTTTATTTATATACATTCATAAACTATCTTTTTTTTTAATATTTCTATTTTTTTCTTTACAATAATTAATCTTTTGACTTCCGGTTTCAGAAAATAATCTAAAAATGGCGTTTGATATGAAAAATGTTGATTTTCGAACATAACCTCTCTAGTCGTACAGTGCATAATAATCACAGCTCACAGCTGTCATAAAATATTGTTTCTTAATCATTTACCAGAACAAGTACATCATAAATACAGTTTATCAGTATAAAATTGAGAAAATAATATTCACATAAAGGTATGAGAAAATAATTTAAAATCATTTAAATAAAATTATATTTGTAGTAAAAAGATGAACGTTGATCAACAAGACAGTTTTTGATGGACTATTTTTATAATTTTAATTTTTTCTTTTTTATATCTGTCAAACGGTATTTTTAATTTTCTTGAAATTTAAGAAGAAATATTCTAAATTTAGATATATTGAGAAATATTGTAATGGTTAAGAACTAAGAGAATATTTTTGAAAATTTATCACCAATCTTTGGAATGTAAAATATGAAAAACTTTAACTGTTTTATATATACCTAATACACATTTTTTATGTATAATAAATCTGATAAAATATTGATTAAAATTTACAAATTAAAAATTCATATTACTTTTTCTTATAATACATATATTATTTTTGTTCTTAAAATTATTATAAACATAATTCTTTTGTATTTATTTAGTTATACAGATTTTCTTATCACAATTTATAATCGCTTATGAATAATTTGTTTATTATTCAAGAAAGAGTTGATAATGTTGCAGATGTTAAATTTAATTTGTATTATGTACTTTGAGTCACATAAAAAGATAAAAAAAAAAACACACCCACACTTCTAGAAATAATCTCATCTATTTTGTTTGTAAGTGATTCAGAGAAAAAGTTAAATAAGTCTTTTTTCAATCACATGACAGTGACTTAGATTTTTTACTAATTTCACTGAATACGTAATAACTAAGTCGCTGACCAATTAATCATTTTAAATTGAATATTTTGTCTTCTGTCAAATTTTTTAATGTAGGTAAATTATATATGCATGTGCATATTTTTAAGATGTGCGTATAATTTATACTAAATATAATTTATGAAAATGAATTATTTTATGATAAACAATTTTTAAATCATTGATGAAAATCTTATTTTTGTATTTTGTACTCGTATAACGCAACTGATTTCTGGATTTCATGTTCATATGTTTCAAAAATATACCTCTTAGAAGTAATTTACATTAGTTATGTATTATTTTTAGGTCGGTTGATTATCTTCATTAAAATTCAATAATGTGTGAAGTAATCGTATTATTCGACGGATATTCCAAATACGAGGATGACGTAATGGAAGCCAACTGCAGTTGTACATTAATTAAGGGACCAAAAACAATAATTGTCGATACAATGACTGCCTGGGACAAAGACCGATTAATTGAAGGTATATTTAAAGATATTTATAACTGCAATAATTGTTATATTTCATAGGTCAATTTTAAGTAATAATCCTTTTAATTCAGTTTTAAATCCTTTAAATAGTTAATTTTATTTGATTCTCAAATGAATTTTTGCTTTGAACATAAGATAATTAAAAAAAATTGAACACGATAAATATTATTTTAGTTTTTTTAACATAGATTTGCTTACCGCAATATTTTGAAAACAATGTAAAAAAGTTTAAATATTATATATTAAACTTTTTAGTATATTTTCATTAAAAAATGTTGACTACTGTAAAAAATGTTTTTTAGCTTTGGCACAAAATGGTGTACAACCAGAAGAAATAGACTGCGTCGTTTGTACTCATGGTCACGCTGATCATATTGGAAACAACAATTTATTTACTAATGCAGAGCATATTGTTGGTTGCTCCGTTCATCGGCGGACAAAATTTTATAAAGATCTCAGAAAAGGTAACTTATGCTGAAACTCAAATTCTCCAATTTTTATTAATAATTTGAATTATTTTCAATATCATTACACAATTAATGAGAAAACTATTTTTTTTGTTCAAATAAAAACAACATTTTTTCATTCTTTTTGCAAAAAATCAGATTTACATATGAAAAAACGTCGATGAAGTATACAACATTCAACGATTAAAAATAAAAAATATTTTTCACGCGAAAAATAATAAAATTTTTTGCTTACAAATTTTTGTTCTAAAAATTTATTAATTGAGAAAGGTTGCAAAATTTTTTTAAATAAAAAATTATAATAATTTGTATAGACAAATAATTTTTCTTCTAATTCGTTGATCATAAACATTGTGAACTTAACCGGCGTCTCAAAAATGTTTTTCTAACTATCTAGTTAATTATATTATTAACATTGTTTTAATACAGTTCTTTTGCTTAAAATAAATTAAATTAAAATTATTAAATTTTTTTTCTTTTAAAATCTATTACACAAGTATAAAAAAAAACTTCTTTTCATGAATGAGAAATACCTTAAACTGTAAAACAATAGTTTTTAAAATTCTAACAAATCGATATTATAAAATTTATTCCCTAAGTGTTAAATAATTTTTTAATTTACATTTTAATAAGTTTTTTAGATCTTTGAATGTTAGTCCCATTGAAAAATGTTAATTATTTACAGAGTAATTTACAAACTAAAAATAATTGAATTTTTCTCAAATTACGTATTGAAAAATTAATAAACCCGCTTCATTCAGATCTCATTCTTCTCCTTATTATTATATTATTTCTTCCATTTTAAGATTTTCTTCATTCATACAAAAAAAAAATTGTGGCCTCAAATTTTCTAGGAATATTTTAATAAATATTTTTAATTATTTTTACTGACATTTAATTTTTTTTTAAGAAAATTTGAATAGTTTAATATAATAATAATCATAATAATTTTATGTAATTTTAGAAACGTTGAAAATTTCAGGAATTTATAAATTTATAAAAATTCAGATTTTGAAAGAATAAATTAAAATATTAAAATTCACTTACGTGTAACTAATGTAGAGTTCTTCTAGATTACTTTGATAATAAATCATAATAAACTTTTTAAAAAATTAAAATTTTTTAAATATATTTTTCTGTCTAACAGAAGATTATCATCCCTGTGAAGGAGTAAAAATTACAGCAACTCCTGGACACACTGGAGAGGATGTAACGGTATTAGTCAACACAAAAAATAATGGACGTGTTGCAATAACAGGTTTATAAATTTTCATTTTTAATTTTCGTCATTAAATGTATAAGGGATATTTGAAAGAATAAATAAAAATGTGTTTTCAGGAGATCTATTTGAAAAAGAAGAAGATATCGCGGATCCTTCAATTTGGAAAGAACAATGTGCTTCAGAATATCTCCAGAACCTGCAGGCAAAAATGCGTTGGTTAATAATAAATACGTCGGACTTTATTGTTCCTGGACACGGTCCAATGTTTCGTGTAACGGAATCTATGAAAAAGCTAGTCGAGTGTCCAGGTGTGTAAGAGACATGTAAACAAAGGAACAAATATCTTTATTTTTTATATGAATTTAAATCAAATTTATTCAGTCTTTTCTAAAAATTTTACGGTTTGACTGAATTGCACAAGGGTACGAATGATACTTAAATTTTATATTTAAAAAAAATATATATATATATAATATATAAATGCAAATATATTTACAAAGATTTTTATTAAACACTGCATCGATTATCGTGTATCACAATATTATTGCTAATTTATGATTACAGTATATTATTTGTATATATTAGTTCATGTATCTATGTATATGACAAAAACATTCGCTGCAAGGAGTACAAACTCCTTTTGGCATTATAATAAAAAAAATTAATTTATAAGTTATTTTACAACGAATCATCATTTTTACTTATGAAATAATATGAGGTCCTTAAAATCCCTTTCTATAGTGGAATACATATTTTGATAATTCAAATGCATATTATTATGATTGAATAACAGTTGCATAAGACAATCACAGCCAAAATTGAAACAGAAAATGTTAATTTACGGCAAAAGAAAGACTTGACTTGTGATGTTAAATTCTCAAAGAAGCAAAATAAATAAATGCGAGGAGTACATGTATGTTTTAAGTATTTATAAGTTGAATAATGTTCTTCTCACATTATAGCACACAAATTCAAATACATCAATTTTATAGTTAAAAATGTGAATAGTTTTTAAAAATTCCAAATACGTGATTTAGAAAACCAGTTTAAACAAATATTAAACTTGCATTTGCAACAGTCATTGTCAAATATGAAAGACAAAATATTAAAACAAGCAAAAGTAATTGTTTAAATTTATTTTACGCCCCTTGTTTCTTTTATTGTTTGTAAAATTTTGTTTATATAAGAAAAACCAAATAAACCTGATGAGAATAAAGATTGTCGAAACATGTAGTCTAAATAAAAAAATTCTTTTAAAACCTGAACAAAAGAAAAGTTTTCTTTTTGAAAACATCGTGAAATTGATAAGAAACACAACTCGCAGCAATTATAACTGTTTGAATTTGCAAATTTTATATAAGCGATTAAAGAATTCCTTAAAAATATGTATTGCTATTAAATTGTACTGTCATGGTTTTATCGACTTTCAATCTTTTTTGTTGTAGTAGAATATACACTGTGTAAATTGGTAAAATTTTAAAAATCTTATATTCATTGGCGAATGTCGCAGTTAACAAAATCAAAATTTAAGATAAATTTATAAGTGAACGGTCGAAACAAATAATATATCATACACTTGTTTTAATATCTAGCATTCTAAACTTAATTTTAAAAGAATATACATTGAATATTTTTTTTTTTTTTGAAAGATGATTATCAATAATTATAAGTGTCTGCCAATGAAACCTGGCAGGACGACGCGTGTATGTAGTTGTAGTGGTCCCAGACCAACTTCTCCTGTCACAGTTTCCAGCTGTTCCATGAATTATTAAATATGTAAAGAACCTACTTTATTAATGAATAATCATTTATATACACATAAGGTTCAAAACAAAAATATCTTTTAAGAATTGAACATAATGTTTTTCAAAATTATATGCAGACTATTTTGAAAAATTAGAATGTTATTCAAAAAATATTTTTTCTTTTAATTTAATATCTAGAATTTATTTGAAGTGAATTATCATTTGATCGAATTTTTCTATGCCAATAATTAAATTTATAATACTTATTATAATTGTGTTTCTTCTTAAAAATCAAATGATTAGATTATCATTTAATCTAATCTTCATCTTTATACTCTTTATTATTTATTTGTCCAAGTAGATTTCAATTTAGTTTAAATCTTATTTAAAATATACGAATGAATTCATAGTTTTTAAATTTTTTGCATGAAAACTTTTAAAAACTGTTATTTTCAAAATAACCTGCATTTACAAAGAAAATAAGAAAAACAATATAATGCATTAAATAAATTAAATATTAATATAATTATAAATTTTTCACTAAAACTAATAAAAACATTGTTCCAAAGTAGATATATGTACCGTATTTATCGCAACTACGCTTGGATATATATTTTTTTTAATACTGATCCATCTACCTGATTTAAGTCTGCTTGCTTGACACGAAACTAATTAAATGCTGTACATTAAAAAAAATACGTGATAACAAACTAACGATATTCTGAAAAGAAACTATTATATAAATCATGCGTCATCTTTTTTCTCTAATATTTATCTTATAACTGTATGCATTTGATTGTTCAAAATAAAAGCAAGCAACAAATAATAAGTGTACAAAATACAGAGGTAATTTAATGGTACATATATAAAAATCAAATAAAATTGAATAGGTTGTCACTCTTGTAATTATTGTAGACAAACACTAAAACACAAAACGAAGTATAATTCTGATAAAAAAGAACAAAAGCCCGCTTTCTATTATACATTTTCTTTTCTGCTACTCCATACTTCTGTCTGTGAAGAAATAAGACATAAACATAAAGAAAAATTCACAACATTAAAAATAAAAAACAATTCTACACCGTTCCTCAAATATTAATTTAAAAAACTAAATCTTAATTCAATAGTAAAATTTGTACTTATCGTGTTTACAAAATAGAAATTATTATATACATATTATTTCTCTAGAGATGCAAAATGATACGTAATAATGATTATAAACTTACAAGAATTTGAGAATGTAGAATCGCTTTACATAAATTACACATAATAACATAAATAAACAAAATTTTCTTAAAAAATGAAATAAGAAAGCAAGAGGAAAAAGTTTAGAAAATTATGAGGGCAACAGATTGCTATAAAAAAATACAATACCGCATCAAGCCAAAAAAAAAAGAATTCGCAAAAGCAAATGTGTAATATTCGCATGTTTATAACTAAAAAAGTTATATTAAACTTGAAAATTATATGGAATTACAAAAATTAATGAAAATTAAATGTAAAATATATATTTTTAAAAAAAGAATTCTAAAAAGAAAAGATTTAACTATATATTATAAAACAGACAATTTTTTACTTGTATGTACTTGCTCTAAATAAATGTATATAAAACAAAATTATACGAAAATAAAAAAAGATTATTAAATTTTCAATAACTACTTTACAAATTCTGAAAATCTTTTTCATTATTTTATTATCGTTAATAATGGTCTTTTAAAAAGTCTCTTTGCTAACAATAGTTGTTACTTTTGATGTCTCAGCATAAATAGTGATAAAAGAAAAATTTAATATAAGAATTAAAGTGATCGAGTCATACACCAAAAAGGTTTTTTTTAAAAAAAACTTCTCAAACGTCCCAGTCAAAAATTAAAAGTTATTGTATTTTGGTTTAATACTTTGGTATATTGTTGTTCTATATGAAAGTAAAAAATATTAACTTATTTTTAAAAATTTTGTAATTTGTAACTATCGTCAAAACTTTATGGATTTTAATTTTCAAATAAGCATTTATGGAGGATTTTTCACGTACTTCTCAATTCCCAAAAAATGTACTTTCTCACAAAATTAAACCTAATTTTTCAATTTTAACTTATTTGGTGATTTTATTGAAAAAAATTTATTTTTACTCGAAAACAGGTTTTTTCCAATAAACTATGTAAACATAAAAGTGGGATAACAATGGGCTTTCAAGAAAGTGTAAAAATCTTATTAAAAAAATTGTTGTTTAAATTCCCAAATGGGTTAAAAACTGAAAAATGAGGTTTAATTTTGAAAAAAACGAGGAAAAGTATTTAAGAAAATCCTTCAAAAAACAATTTACCAAAGTATCAAGCCGATACAAGAACTTTTAATTTTTTTCTGGGTCATTATTGTGGAGTAATCCCCCACACAGAAATAAAATGAAATAAGAAATACTAAAAGCTGAACTCTGAAATATTTACTTTGAAAAAATAGCAAAAATAAATTCGTTGCTTATACATAATATTATTAGTCAGTGAATAATGTACAGACTATGATGGAAAGAAAAGTATAATAGTAAGGAAGATGTTTCTTCTATTAAAATTTGTAATTAATCTTAATGTACACGAGCACTCTGCAAAAATCGTACAATGAAACTTGGATTTTAACGCGCCATTTACACCTACACATAATCTAATCATTATTATTATGAAATCAGTACAGATGCTACGCGAGGTAGTATTTTGAATAAACTTGTTAAAAAGACAAATGTTTGTTAATATATAAATAATAATGCTCTTGGCAGTCTGTTCGCAAACTCTCACATGTAGTCGTAAACCTGATTTAAGATCGGATCCTTTTGGCCGCATGCAAAAGCGATTTAATAATAACAATGTATCTCTTTAACAAGATCGTAACACAGTTATGTTATCCTTTCTGGATTATGTCACATTCAACGGAAACAATATATTAGGATTAGAACGGAAACATTGTTTGTTGTAAGTTTCAGTGGTGTTATATTCGCTTCATAATCTTTCAATACGTCTTCAATGTTCCCCTTTAAAAATTGTCTTTCGTGGAAAAAGTTGGAAAAATGAAAAGGCACTTATTAAAACTCATCATTTTTCGAACACAATTCACAATTTTTAAAGGGAAACACACATAAATATACTTGTAAATAATTAATTTTACACAAAACTAAAAATTAAAACAAGCCCTAAAAAGGTTTTAAAATCTCACTTTATTTAGAAAAATAAATCGTGTTTCAAACTAAATTAGTAAAAATTAAAACAAAACTAATGACAAAAGTTATTATATTAATTTGTTAATTGTGGGTATTGTTTATGATTTAATTATTCAAATGTTAATTAATTAAGAAAATATATTGACAAGCGTATGTAAGAAGATATTTAGTCAAGTTTCAAAACGTATTGAAAGATTCATGTTTCTTAAACATAATTAATAAAGTATTATGAGAAGTGAGAAATTGGAAAATTATGCTTAATTATCGCACCTTAAATAAAATAAATATATATATATTTTTTTTAATTTTATCAGCTGCATGAAACAATATCAATCCTACTGTTCATTTCTCTCTATCAATGATTATTATTCTTTGATTTCCATTCAATTGAAATATATTAATCAAAAACGAAGAATTTATTAAAAAAAAATTAGACTCACCAGGACAAAATAGTTTTAGCATTTAATTAAATTCTAATTTAATAATTTTCATTAAATGTTACATAAAATCATTTGCATTTACATTCAATTCTTAAATGTTTATATATTCAAACTTTCTTAATAATTTGTATGTTGTTTACATACTTGTATATTTTAATGATTTTAACTGTTTTTTTAATAAGTTCTGAAAAATTTATGTAATTAAGTATTTTAAATCGGAACTCTTTCTTGTAATAAATTAAATTCATATATTTTGCCCTGGCGATATTCTATTTAATCTTTTTAAAAAATTATCGTTTATAATCGATATAATTGTTAATAATTGTCTATGCGGTCGATAAAAAAAAATTTGATATTAATATTTATCAATACATGTAGGACATTTTATGTGAAATTTTACCTTAAAAATTATTTTTGATTGGAACCATTTTTTCATTTTTTTGAATTCTATATAATATGAAAAATAAAAAAACATATTTCTTTATTTTGATATTTGATTAAAATTATTATGGATAACATGATCTGTTTGAAACTTCACGTCTTTTTTCATTTTTTCTTATATTTTTTGGATAAATAGTAAAAAATAACTTTTTTTATTCATCAATTCATATTTTTAAAAGAAAAATTTTAAAATCTATAATTTTAGTTTGGAAAACATTTACTTTTTAAACTTAATTTCAGTTTCTTGGAGGTTTTCGTCACAGGGACGTTTTTTTATTATTATCTAAACGATGTTAAAGAAAGGGACAGGTGAAATTTCAACTCAATGAAATTAATATTGTTAAGGGGTGTCAATTTATATTCTGTCATTATTTGGGATCTAAAATTACTGTGAAGTATCAAAATTAAAAAAAAAATTTTGACTATTTTAGAAATTTTATTTTTTGAAAATATTAAAAATTTTAAAAATCCATACGATTGATTGTTTAGAATCATGAAAAAAGACTACAAAAAAAATTACCGATAAAAAATAATAAAAATTGTAGAAGTTGAATTTTTAAGGAATATAATTGATCAAATTTAAACTAAATATAATTGGTTTGGTTTAGGGGTAAAAATTTATTTTTATTTTTCCAAAATCCATACGATTGATTGTTCAGAATCATGAAAAAAGTGTATTAAAAAATCAGTAATGAAAAATAATAAAAATTGCGACAAAAGGTTAAATTTTCAGTTTTTGAAAATTTCGAGTTTTATTTAAAAAATTATTAATGAATTAATTGTTTTTCAATTTACCATAGTATATTACAGTTTTAAATATGCAATATTATAAAAAAAAATTGACAAACGTAAACAGCCTTAATTTCAAAAGGTTGAAATTTCAGCTGGCGATCCCTCCCCTTAAATTTAAATTAATCATAATTTTTGTAATTTTCACTAAATTCAATATTAAATGAAAATAAAAATGAATAAAAAATAGATAGGTATTTAAATCTTTATGAAAATTTGATAATAAAATATTAACTACTTGCATTTATTATAGAGATACTCCCAGTAATATTTTATCATAAAATTAAAATAATGTCTTTGTTGTAGCGCGTCCTGTATTTAAAATAAGCACCTTTGCATTTTATCAAGTGCGCGATAAAAAAATATTTCTATCAGTAAATGATGATTACGCTCTGAATAAAGAAACTCTATCTAATCTTTGTCTTTCAATAGCAACCTTTTAATCAATCATTCAAGATCAATGTCTATATAGGTATATATATATATATATACTTTGGTGCGAATCTAGCTTCTGAATAGAAACGATTAAACAATATCTGATTCTACGTTAATACTGACTCCAAATTTACGATTACGTTTTAACCCTTTAAAGCTCAATAATTAAATAATATTGATAAACATTAAAATATAAATTAATATCTGCATTTTTGAAATATTGAAATTTTTAAAATAAATTTTTGTTTCTAATATATATACATATATATTTAGATACAAAAACATAATTTTTTATTATTCAAAAATTGATCGTTAAAGGATTTTTTGCTTCAGTCAATATTATTTGAAAACTTTTTGAAAAATATCAAATTTTAGAAAACGTCGATATCGTGAAGAGAGAAAGAAGTTCTTTTAAAATGCTCCTGCTAAATCTTGTTATAAAGTTCTCAAAGGAATAAATCCATCCAAACCCATGATTCTCAGGTCCTCATCATCATCATTCCTTCTTGTCTAAAAAAACCGATTATCATTGAATGAAAATGCAAATGGATGATAATAATTGTCACAAATAGACGGACCACGAAAGCACAAATAAATGCCAAAGCAAAAATATTCTTCAATAATGAAGCTATATATTATAAATAATATTTTTTTAAAATTTCTTTTCCTGATTGAAATTTCAATAAATTCCCTGTGGTGCACATTAAACATAATTTTCAAAGTGTATTAAGTGTGTTGTTAGTTTTGAGTTACCATGTTATTGATGAGTCACAGATTAATACTTGTAGTTGGAAAGAAATTTTCCAACGTTTTTCTGCTGAATCCCAGATTATAAAAACTTTTTTTCCATTCAAACAGAATATTGAGAGAAATGCAAATATCACAAGCTCTCGTAGTAATTTGTGACACATGCGTTGTGAGCAGCATGAGGAAACATTAGTCCGAAAGGTTGTTTGCTTTAGGAGGTATCGATACACACAAAAAAATCATTACTTTAAAAACAAATGAACATTTTTTAACCGATAAAGACTCCACATTAAAGCTTTGAAAAATCATTAAAAAAAAAAAATCATTCATTTATTCAATCTTACAGACCATACAATTAATATAATAATATTATAATTTGTATTATGGAAGAAACATTATTACAATAATTAAAAATGTGAAATGTTTTTCTTTCTACCGTAAATAAATAAAAAGAAAGATGAAATTTATGATTTATTTAAATAGTTACAAGCAACATAAAATAAAAAAAAAAGTTTTTTCCTTAATTTCGAGATAATAAATGTTTCTAAAATTTATGAATTTTATTCTCCAATTTTGAAAAGAGATTTTTTTAAAATGATTATATTTATTTAACATATTAAGAGTTTAAATGTAATTTAGTAAAAAACAAAAATAGTTGCTTTTCCTTAGTAATTTTTTTGCTTTTAATTACATTTTGTGTGAATCGATCCCAATTTTCTAAAACTATTTATTACATGCAGTTTTCTTGGATTGCAATTTCGTACAAAGGATTATAAAAGTAATTAACAATATGTTAAAACAATTATTACTTATCAATAATAATAAATTATTTTTAACATCATCACAAATATTAATAAATTATAAGCGTAAAGAAAATATTAGAAACATTGACATTACCTTAGTACGAAATGCGAACATTAAAGGTATATAGTAAAGTTATACAATTTGGAAACGTTAAGGTATTAAAATTTTTGTTAAACGAGAACGAACTTAAAGTATTTTTTAACAGTAAAAATGATGAAGAAAAGAGGGGAAAATGTTAGTAAACGTATCAGTACATTAGTCTTTTGATTTGAAAATATATATGTATATATATATATATATGGAAAATCAAAAATTAATTCCTATCTTCGATTTAGATTGAGTATTACATAAGGTTCGTCTCGATTGTTGCCTAAATCCGTATTATTAGGATCATAACATGGATTGACTGTGTAATTCAAATTAGGTTGATGATAACTCACCGGTTGAATACTATTTGTTCTTCGTCTTTCAATCTCTCGATCATCAAGACAGAGATCTGAATCTGAATCCACTCTTCTTCCCAAGTCCTCCTGTTCATCATTTATCAATAATAAAAAATATTAAGATTAAAATTATTCATTTAATAAATCATTTAATTGCAAAAGTAAAATTTCAATGAAATTCTACGTTAATTGTAAGAAAAAAGAAAGGACCATAACAGATATATTGCACGACAATTAATCTTAAATATCTTAAATTAATGAATCTGAGATAATTAAACGATTATAGTCATGTCACAGTAAGCTAAAAAAACAGTTACAAATTTGAAACTAAAAATATTAATTACTTTTCAAGTTATTTGCATTATAACAAATTCATGATTTTTTTTTCATTTAGTTAAAAAAATATTTTATACGTAAAACATTTTTAACGTAAAAAAACAATAAATTTTAAGAAAAAGATTTTTTAAAAAAGAAATCGTAATTTTTTAATTATTTTAATTTAAAAAAATGTACTAACAAATATTTATTTAATAAATATGTACTCCATTGCCAGTACTTTGACATCTTGAAAAAGCGTCAATTGATACCGTAATGAATTTTTGATGGCCTACTAGTGATAAAAAGAAACGTTTATCAAAAAAAGAAAAATTTGAAAGAATAAAAAAACTAAAAAATATTTACACGATTTTTAGTTTGGGAAAAAGAAAATTTTTATAATTTAATTTTCTTTCGATGAGAAGAACAGAAAATAAATTTCATACCTGGGTCATTTGTTGCGTAGTAGTAAGAATCCTAGCTAGTGGACCACAGCAAACTGGTAAAGTTTCAAGAAGCGTAGGACGCGAATGCGTCAATAATGGTTTCATAAAACGGGTATCAAAATTACCCCAAACTCTTGCAAGAAGAGCTTTTTCATTTGGCTTTGACCCAGGCGTTGATGATGGTCCATCCTGCATAGAATTGTACTGTGAAATTTGAACAAGGCAATTTAACTATCCATCCTGTTTACTTCTTCGCCCTCGAGATATTTTTTTTTTTTAATAAAATAATAAATTTTCAGACAACTTAGTAATATGTATCTTCATTTTATATTTATTAATAAATTAAAATTATTATTATTATTAAAACTTTTATGTAAACGTGCTCGAAATTAATTTTTTAGGCAATTGTAATAGAATTTGTTTATGATATATTTAAAACTTAAATATTTTATGCATATATAAAAAGGCTTGTCTCTAATGATTTTCTTTACAGTAGCCGCATGCCTTTAATAATAACAAATAATTGAAAATAAAATTCTTATTCTTTAATGCATTTTCGACAATTATTCTTTATTCTATTAAGATACATCCATTTTATATTTGATAATATTTAAAGCTGCAAAATAATATATCTTACCGACTCAGAGCATACAGAATGGATAACCAAAAAGTAATAAAATCAATACACAAGCTGCACATGCAACAAGCAAAATCATAAAAGCCAACACAAAACTAATATGTTTACGTCAAGAACGAATGTTTTAACTTGACAAAAATATTTCTCTACAAAATTGTTTGTAATTTATAAAAAAAAATTAATTATTTTTCTCTATAGGATAAATTAAACCATTTTACTCATTCAACAAATTCAAATAAAGCAGCAGATGCATAAATTAATTATTCGAATCAAGTATCGTTAAATAAATTTATTATTAGAGAAATATTTTCTTTTGACACATGCACCGAAAGTACAACATTTCTTACCTGTGACGTAAATTTTGTTTAGTCAGTTTACCAACTTCTGATAATAAAGTATAAAATTGAATATTACATTTTTTGTTTACTATTTTTAATACCTTGAATATTATTGTACTTTCGGTATACGTGTATTAGAAAAAATGGTATGTGCAATAAGGGAGGAAAGTGATTCGTACATATTTATTTATAGCAATCAATCATTTTCCTCCCTTAATGCAGAATAAATTATTTTGGGGAAAAGTGTCAAAAATTAACGACATTAATCATTAATAAATAATATAAATGTGAAGATATATAACAATCGATGAAAATAAATGATGCGAATAAAAAAAAACAAATAAAATAAAAATAAGCACGACTGAAGCGTCGTTAGACTTTAACGATCAATTATCCGAGTGCACGAAATCAATTAATGATTAACTGACTCATATAATCACAAGAATTCTATGTGTCACTTTTGAAACTCTTTTGTAAACATACCGGGGGACTTCTCTCCCGTCGCATATCCAGATCGCCAAAGCCACCCTCGCCACCGGACTATTAACAATTATAATTTTTATTTTTACTATCTATATCAATTAATTTCTTTTTTTAAATAAAAAGATACATGCTTTAAACATATTAGTATATAATTATATTTTTCAAAAAACCAATTATGAAAAGATTCATTATTATTTTAATTAATTTATTTTATAAGTAAATATTTTACAAGCAACCTTTTTTCATTTCGAATAGAAGGGAATTTCAAGTTATAAAAAATTGTGATTCAAAATAAAAAATAGTTTTAAATATTTTACACTTTAAAAGTAAATTAAAATAAATTTAAAACTTTAAGTAAAAAGAGATGAGTCATTCTTGAAACAATCATCTTGATCGAGTTGCGTGACTTTTTGAAAAGTGCTATTTAACGCTTTATATAATTTAGTATTGTCTATTTTTAAATAAAGTAATTTTTAAAATAGGTTAAAAAATAGGGCAAATATGTATAATTATTCTAATGTTAAAAATAACATTTTTATTACTTTTTGCAATATACCATTTTCTACTTTATTTTAAAAACTATTTTATTTTACTATGTATATACAAAATATTAAGTAATATAAAGCGTAAAACAACACTTGAAATAAATCTTAAAACAATGTTCAATTTTTGTTTCAGGGAATGAAAAAAATTTGTTTAATTCTGTTTAAATTATTTGGATATTCATAGGTATTTCATTAATTATACTACTCATTATTATATTGATTCTTTGTTTTGAAATTATCCTCTTATATTCGAGATTTCATAATTAATTTTGTTAAACGTGAAAGCTTTTATTATCATTTTATGAACTTTAAATAAAGGAATTGATATTAGTGTATACACATAATTATCAAACTGTCAACAAAACGTACGCACTTCAGTAGTGTCCACGGTATTGTACATCTGGGTGTAAGCGATTAGACAGAAAGGGAAAACGTGTCAAGGTAATTAAACCATCAATTTACATTTTACATGCTCAAGAGTAATAGTCTCAGAATGATAAACAGTCAAAATGGCACATGAACGGGAAACGCATGATTGTCACCAAAAATCTACTTTATTCCCTATAAAATATTTAAATTATCTACATTTACTAGAATTATTATTTGTTATAATTATAATTTTTATTCATAAATTACAAGTTTACGTAATTTTTGAAAAAATAATAATTCTAAAAATTGTGAAAAATAATTTACTCAAATTATCAATATTTAACACAATAATAATTATATGAACATCCATACAAATCTTTGGGAATGATTCAATAATTTTGAAAAACCGATCATTTATAAATAAAAAAAATTAAATTTTGATTGTATGTGTAAAAAGAAATTGTAAATTTATTCGAATTTATGTAGGTATGATCTTAATGTTATAAAAAGCAGAATCATGCGCTCCCCTATAAACATTTAAATAATTATGACGATATTTAAAAATGTCTAATTTGATAAAAACTTAAGAAAACTTTTTCTTGGAGTGAAATTAAAATATCAATAAAAAGGTAAAATAGAGCGTTAGAGGGGGAAAGTATATAAATCAGTAAAGTGATCGCAAACCTGTTGCTGTTTCTGATTACAACAACTATCTAATCCATCTCTAAGACTTGACAAGAAAAAATGAGTCACCAAACTTTAATAAATAACAAGTGTCCATTTCACATAAGAAATAATTATTTTTTACTTATTTGTAAGAAAATAATAGTTCAAATTAAAATAAAATATGAAATTATTTTTTCATTTTTACGATTATTTATAATTGAAACAGTGTAAAATATTGGTTTTTTGTTTTCAGAGCCAAAGCTTTGTTAAATGTATCTATAAATCGAAGCATTAAACAAATTCTCAAAACAGCAAACACAAAGCGAATCATGTCCAAATTCTCATTAACAACTGATTTGCATTATATGTCGGATATTTTAGTCTCATAATCAACTCTTTTTCGTATGCAGAAATTTACTATCTGCTTTTAAACAGACGGACAAAACTTGATTAGAAACTTGCTTTAAATGTAAATGAAGTTGTGTCCTCAATTGATTGTTATATTTTAAAGCTAGAATCGTAACGTATGCGAAAAAAGGAGAGTGACACGCTGTTTTAATATTTCATTAAATACAATTAATTTAGCACCAAACCACTAAAATGTACACACAATAAACTAGAAGCAAAAAAAATTACTATTTTCTCAAAGTACTTACGCTCCTGACGCCATTATGCGATAAACCTTCTACTTCTTCATCTACACCGACTCTATAATAAAAAATTGGATTTATTAATTTAAAAATGTTATTAAACAATTGAAATAATTGACATTGATTACTTACGGTATTTTAAACCAGCTTAAAAATTGTGTTGTTGCTCCACCTTGGAAAATTACCGTCAATATGACGATGAGACTAGTGGTGGTTAGCATAGCTTGTCTGGCTTCTGAAACTGTATTTCTAATTGCCAGAGCGAAACTCATTGCACCGCGTAAACCAGCACAAAACAGCATGTGCTGATAGTTTAATGAAATTTTAGGCTTTCTCGCCAAATTCATTAGGAACGAGAGAGGATAAACATTGACTGCTCGTCCTAACATGGCACAAAACTAATTTCATTTTTTCGTTAAGGATATCGATTACTATTTATCAAAAAGTCATTCAATTTACATATTTAGTTATTTTTCAATAAAAAAAAAAAAATCGAAAAGGATACGAATCCTGCAAAACTGAATCCTGGATCGAATCGGTGTTTCGGGAACGTGAACATCGATACACCAATGTAACTGAATATAAAATTCTCTGCTAAAAAATTGAGTAACTCAAACAACTGTTTTGTCCTTTGACGAGAATCTGGACTGAGATTATTGTAGGTATAATGAGCTTGGCATATACCACAAAATAAAACAGCTACCACACCTGCAAAAAATAATATTTATGAATAACTTATGTGCTTAAAAAAAAAAAAATCTTTTTTAAAAAAACTTCAACTTACCAGTAAGATCTGATGCTTCAGCAATGAGGAAAGTACTATATGACATAAGAACAAATAAAGCCGATTCCAAAAGCGGAAAATCTCGAACTCTTGTAAATTTTGTAAGTAATGCTGTGATGCATCCCATGGTAGCTCCGATAAATAGAGATAAACTAAATATCCCGACGAAATCGCCGAGAGCTCGGAAGAAAGCAAAAGTTTCGAATCCACCCGATACAGATTGTGACCGATAATGCTGTATGGATCTGTAAATAAAAAAAATTATAAATTTACGAAAATGTTCATCGTTAACAGAATTTAAAAAAAATAAATAAAAAAAATCTTTTACCCGCTAAGTACAATGGCAACTGCATCATTCAAAACGCTTTCACCAAATACTAAAGCGTAAAGATTAACGTCGACGTGTAAATCATTAAAGATGGAAATTATTGTCAACGGATCCGTTGGAGAAATTAACGCTCCAAAATAGAGAGTATCCAAAAATGTGAAAGACGTAGACAAATGCGGTATAAGTTGTATAAATCCGTACATCAAAATTCTATAAAAAAAAAAAATTTACAACATTGAAATAAAAAAAAATAAATAAATAAATAACCACGTGCTTAGGAAAGAAAAAAAAAGTAAACAGGAATCGATAAGCGTAATCAATGAATGTTGACCTGTTGATTGAGTAGTTATCATTATTTTCAATATGACCTCTAAATAATAATTGCATCTGTCGATCATACAAGAAAACACGAAATACGGAAGAGAAAAATGTTATTCTTACCCAATAACGAATGACGATATGGTCGTACCAATTAGGGCATACGTTAAAATAGCTCCTAAATTGCGAAAAAAATATTTCTGAAATAAGCAAAAGAAAAATAGAAAATTATGATTGTAGATTAATTTACTTTCGTATAAAAAATAAATTTTTACCCTTTTTAAACTGTAACCTGCGTGGAAGATAATAGGAGGCAGGATTATATTGAAAAATATCTCGGGGTCGAAGGTCGCCTGAAATATTCATATTCTAATATAAAAAAAATATTCATATTAATCAATAATATTATTACACTTTTTTTCACTGCTATCGTTTTAATTACATTAAATTTAAAAAAGAAAACAATTTTTTCTAAACTATAAACCTTAGAAATGTTCTAGAAAAATTAAAAACAAAATAGGATAAAATGATATGCAAATTTTTATTTCAAAACCATTTGTAAAGTAATTCAATTACCTTCAGGTCAATATCATTACCCCGCTTGAAAATTTCACCGCGGAAATTGTAAGCAAACGTTTTATTTTTTATGACGCCTCCGCCTTTATCTTCGGGAAAGTGCAACCATAACGTGTCTGGTGGCACTGTATCATGATAATTATTTGGACTGCTAGGGTCAACATACATAGATAAATTTTTACTATTTGGTTTGAATCCAAATCGGATTATTGCTCCTACTATAAGACCTGTTAAAATTTAAAATAACGAGATTGTTAAATATTAAATACAAGATAAAAAAGACAAAACTTATATTTGGCAATCAAAGACTTTTTAATGGCTAGCATCCAAAAAGAGATTTCACAATTTTTTTTACAATTTCAATACGGAAAAAAAGTTCCTTCTCCTTTGAGAAAATAACATTTACTTTTTTTCAAATAAAATCCTTATTTTCTGGGTCATACTGTAAATGTGGAAAGGTAACAATTTGTTGAATTTTTCAATTCCACGAACAGTAATATAGTTCCAAAAGAAAAAGCTTCAACTATTTTTTTTTGATAAAAAAAAGAATTTATAAAACAAGAAAGAAAGTAAAATCTTTTTAACTATTAGAATATAAAAATTTCGAAATATATTTTTATTTTCACGTAAAATCTTTTCTACAAGAATTTTTTTTATTTGTCCTTATAAAGATAAAACATCTCAATGACAACATTACAGGTACTTTTATCGTTTAAAAAAATTATACCAATGATACGGGTTTTCCTCATTTTTTAAAATTAATATAAATTGTTATATGCACTGAAATAATCATTCAGTTTATAAAGAAAATGTTCTCAATTTCTGTATATCTATATATATTATTTATTCTATTTGTATATTTTATAGACCAAAAGTATTTATGGTTTACGTATACTGAATTTCGTTTGACAAAAAGTAATCACTTAATAAAGTTACTAATTTGAGAGAATAAATACGAACATTGATTTTCTATTATATAAAAATAATTACGAAATTTAATTTTAGATTAATTTAAAAAATATAACACAATATAAAATTAATATTAATTCCGTCTATACAATTATCAACATTACAATTCTTGTGAATTAACATTTTTAAAAACTTTTGCAAATCCTTATTAGCTCATTAACAAACGATTTTTTTAACAAGATTTGAGTATTGTTTCAAATCATATATTTTGCAAAAATTTGCTGAAAATTTTTGAGAACAATTCCATGTGGAAAGTTTTAAATATTCAAATAATATTTAAAACATTACAATTGCTATTCTATAACTGTATTTGTTAATATAATTCTATAATTCAATGGAGAAAATTACGTAAAGAAACTGTGAGTCAATGTTTTACGAAGACAGTTGTCAATTCTTTAAAATCGATTTTTATTATTCTTGTGCAAAATCATGTGTAGCAGACGATATATGTATACTCACCGTAAATGACAGCAAGACCTGTTTCATGAAGGAACCTTAAGCGGCGATGTTTAAATGTCCATATCGTTAATACCGTTAAAATTAATAACATTGTATACAATAAAAGATTTAAACTATCTAATATATGTAGAGCTTGTGCCTTTGCGTCCAATTCAATATCTGATGTCGCTCCATTGCAATATTTTACAAAAATTAGGCACAAGTACCCGAGAAGGAAGAATCGACCTAAGTCTGACATATTTTCTGGCTATTCAATTACAAACTAATAAAATCTTTCAAAGACAATTGTGAGCAATCACAAATGCAAGTGTAACACGCAACATGACACTGGTAGCAAAAATGACATTTCTACGTTGCAATTTGTATTTAGCATTTGCTTTGACATTGTATAATACAAACACACTTGAATCAATCAAATATCACACACTATGCATGTATTAAAGGTGAACGCAGAATAACTTCGCGAAACTTGTTCGCGAACATTGAGTATACGATAGAAAAGGACACAAATATGAAGTCGCATTAAGGTGAATTTTATTGCAGCGGGTTTTATACATATCTTACGTTACATACAGTAGAACGTTCCAAATGTGACAGCAATCAATTACACAGCCCTGAATTTGCACTTGAATTTGCATTTGATAACCACGGTGATAACCTAAAAACGCTAAAAACTCAAAAATCTTGTTTTGTTATTGTCGTTATTGTTACATTCTTTCAACTTTTTCAATTCTCTTGAGAATTGACAAAAATGTGCTAGTTATCTTTGATCTTTCATAACTTAAAAAAAATTATAATTCGTTTAGAATTTATTATGTCTGAAAGAATTTGTGAATTTTGTGAGTGATCAAATTTTGAAATTTTAAAAGCGAATATCATGAGTAGTGGAAAAGTCATCGGTTATTGGGTTTCAGAAAAAAAACGTCAAAAATTTAATTGGCAAGAATTTCACAATATTTGCAAAAAAGAAGGATTTTCTTTGAAAATTGTAAGTTTAAACTTGTTATTTATTTACAGCCAAAAACACCAATTTATAATATCTATTATATATTAATTAATTTGTGTAGATTGATGTCAATTCAAGTCTAGAATCTCAGGGTCCAATTCACGTTTTTTTGCATAAACTCACAGATGTTCTTGCTCATGCAGAAAATGAGGATCAAGCTGTAAGTAATTTTTTTTTTTTTTTTTTTTTTAAATTAAATATATTTAATGTTTTATTTTCATTTTAAAAAGGCCAAAGAAATTATTACCAAAGTACAAGGATATATACGAAATCATCCAGAATTACTAGTGATTGATCCCTTGGAAAATATTAAGAATTTGTATAATCGACACTTATCTTATGAAATTATAAGAAGTGAATTAAAATTTGATGGTAAATAGTTAAAATAATTAAATGCGGTATTATTGCTATTATTATATAATGATTAATTAAATTCATTTACTTTCTTTTAGGAGTTTTTGTTCCAAATTCTGTGGAAATACAAACCATTAATGAAGACCAAGTTTTATTTCTTATGAAAAAAAATGGAATTCAATTTCCATGTGTGTGTAAACCTTTACTCGCTCATGGATCAAGTGATGCTCATAAGGTAAAAATCACATTTGAGTTAACTTATCTTTTCCAATTTTGTCCAAATTAAGAGAAAAATTGCTTAAAAATTTAATTTTAATATGAATTCATCAAAATTCGGAGGAAAATTAACATTTTGAAACTGGAGTTTATCCTAAGCATGAAAACAAGTTTTGTGTTTAATAATTATTTTTGTTTTATTTTTCAGATGATGATTGTTTTTAACGAAGAGGGTTTAAGAGATTGTCAAACGCCTTATGTGGCTCAAAATTTTATAAATCACAATGCAATTTTATACAAACTATTTATAGTCGATGGTCGATTTCACGTAGTAGAGCGACCGAGTTTCAAAAACTTTTATCAACGTGATTGTGCTTCGCTTAAAACAATTTTTTTCAGTTCCCACGATATTTCAAAAAGTGGCTCAAACTCCAAGTGGTCCATCATTTCTGAAGAGGATTTTCATCTTGGCGTGAAACCTAAGGACGAAATTTTGCAAGAAATTGCTAAACAAATTGTGAAAATATTTGGACTCATCTTGGTAGGAGTTGATGTTGTCATTGAAAATCATACAGGAAAATATGCAATAATTGACGTTAATGTTTTTCCCGGATATGATGGTTATCCATCTTTTTTTGAACACTTGATTGAAAGTATAAAAAAACATCTTAAAGGGAAAAAAAGTTATAAACAAAATTTTAATGAACCAAGTTTCAGAAGTTATTGTAGCGAAGACCTTGACTCTGGATTTGAAAGCGATGAAAAAAAGAAACAATTTTCGTTCTCATGATTTTAAAATATTTCAAAAGGAACTGCATTTTATAATTTTTACTTTTATATTCAACTTTTGTAACTCAATTTTATGTTTATCAAAATTACATTATTTATGTGAATTTATATAATTTAAATATCATACATGAAGTTTGTTAAAATTTTATATTAAGTTGATTGAAAAGATTACATAATATATACTCGTTATTTATAATTATTTTTTTTAACAATATTAATAATCAGAATTATTTTCGTGAAAATTACATAAAATTTTCGAATTTCTATATATTCAGTGAATATCTTTTAAAAACATTCAAAAATTTTTAATTGGAGCAAACGTATTAAAAACTGAATCAAAATGTCAATAATAAAGTAATATTTTTACATCTAATTTATTGTTGCCAAAGAAAAATCAGCCTTCATAAAGATTATATTTTACTGCAAAAATATTTTTAAGAAAACTCAACGATAATTAAAGAATGAAAGTAATTTTGCAAAAAATGTTTCAATACTTTATTTACTCAGAAACAGTCTTCGAAAATATAATATATATTATTTAAAGTGATAAGAAACAATTTTCCGAACAAATGGTTTCAGAATAAATTAGGTCATTCGTAATTATTTAATAAACTTTTATTTTATATTTTTAGATTTATATAAATTTGTTGTAAGTTGATTATTTTTCAGATCCTAATTTATATATACACAATTTATATTTGCTTCGTTGTAAAACTGACAGTATTATCAGTAATAGCGATTAAATTGTCATGGAACATCGCTAAGTGATATTTTTCAATTTGTCATCAATTTTATTTGTAAATAAGATTATTAATTATTAAATTGTACATAAAAATATTATTTGTAAATAATTCTGAAGAACGTTCAAAACAAGTCTTAGCTAAACTCACTAAAATTTATTTTTATAAAAAAAAAGAGAAATAACATTCTTCAGTCTTTGTAAAGTTCGATTCATTTCTATTCTAGCTTGAGAATATTCTTGGATATGTACAAAATACAATTTAAGTTTTTTATTTATTAGTAATGAGTAGCTTTATTTACGAGGCTTTATAGATTTGTATAAGGTATTTCCTATAAATAAATTTTACAAAATTTAAGATAAAAAATTATTTTATTCATACCTTTTTCTTGATGGGTTTTACATTGTAAAACTTATTTACATATTTCAATTTCATTCAGAAATTTCTCAAGTTCTGAAACGATTAAATGACCAAAATGTAATTAAGTATTTTCAAAACCAACTTTTGAAAAAAAAATTAATAAATGGAAAGAATATTCTTTGTGTTAAGAAAATTAAATTAAATTTTTTTTTAATTTGTACGTTTAGTGCTTTTGAAACATTTTATTCATTTACATTTTTGCTATTTGTCAATTCCGTATCCTTATGATCAGTAGAATTTGTTATTTGATTTTCTACTTGTGAATCGGATGTGTTATCTTTTTCAGTTACTTCCTTCTGTTTCCAAGCTTTCGCCGCCGCCAAGAATTTTAAATCTGCTCTTTCATTATTAGATTCAATAATTGGAGCATTTGTTGATTCAGTGCTCTCATCAGTTTCTAAGGATTCTGAACTATTTTGATTGGCCAACAACATTGCTTTTTGTTTCCAAGCTTTCGCTGAAGCCAAAACTTTCAAATGTGGCCGTTGAGACTCATCTTCTGGGAAAATAAAATCGAAAACTTCCTCCCAACCATCGTCAGACTGAAAAACAGATAGAAAATTAAATTATACAATTTAACCATTTTTAGAATTAAGAAATCAACAAGTATGTGAATCCTTCGTTTAGTAAAATTGTTGTACATTTACCTTATCTTCTCCAATGACACGTCTTCGTCGTTTAACTCTACGCGGCATTTTCTCCAATATCTTAGATTGACTTTCTTCATCGCCGTGATTATTTTCAAAATCTCTCCAAGCTTCCAAAAGAAGAGCTCTACTTTCTTTATTTCCATTATCGCGCAAACAGTTATTACCGCGCTCAAATATTCGTCTTGCTAGAATAACGTTATTTAGTCCTTCCTCGGCAACAGGATTAGTCAGTTCAAATTTTGCATAGGAAATCCATACCTGAAAATTTTTATTTAATTTATCAATAATTATATTGAATGGTTAACATTCATTTGAAATTCAAATATTATATATAGAAATAATTACCTTTACATGTAAAGTTTTTTCTAGTAATCTTTCGTACAATTCTCTTGCTTTTTCTGGTTCATCTTGTCCTCTTTCAAAATCTACATATGCTTTCCACAAAACGTCTGGCATTTCTAAACTGATGTTTACAAAAGTATTCATTTTAATATCAGAGAAAGAATGTTGAGAAAAAAATTTAAAAATAATGTACGAATGAATTTGAGAACATAATATAATGATTACTTACACAGGTTGAGCGACTGCCAATTCATAAATACCACGAGCTCGATCAATGTCACCTAAAAGTGTTTCCAGTTCGGCAAACTTAAAAAAAAAGAAAAGAATTTTTTTTATAAAATATAAATATCTTTCTTAATTTTCCAATAAATAATTTAATGATCAATGTTAAAAAAAACAATTTCAAAAAAATATAATTAAAAATTTTAATATTAAACTTCATTTCACAAAAATTACCTTCATCCATGTTGTACAATTTTCCGGACCAAATTCAAGAAACTTTTGATATAAAATTCTGCACCTATCGAATTCTCTTAATTGAATTTCTAAATCGATATAACCACGATATAATTTATTTCTGGGGCATATTCCTAAAGCCATTCCCTAGAAAAAAAAATTAAGATTAATAGAAAAATATTTGAAAAAATTTAAGGGGGCATTCGTAAGTTGTAACTTTCAAAAAATCGATTTTTTTTGTCTTGCATTTTCTTAGAGTATATGTTGTCAGAAATGTGTCTACAAAATTTTAAAATGATCCGGTGAAAATTGAATGAGATATACTGGCTGAAAGGGAGGCGCGACAGGTCGGTCGAGAACAGGCTAACAGCCGTGTGGGTCTTTATACCTTTATATTTGAATTGAGATTTTGGAAGCAGCTTCATCTGCTGAAGAACTTTTATATGGCCCCGGAATTGATGATTCTATCTGACTTCCAAAAAAAATTTCATCTTTACGTAAATGTAAGTTAAAACTCTAAACACGATTTTCTCAAAACTATATTTTCAAAGTCGGTGACCACTCTTACTTAAAAACTACTGAACCGATTGTCCTGCAATTTAACATACTTTTTCAATATATAATAATCTAGTCTTCAATCGAAGGATTGATTTTTTTATGCAAAACTTTTCTTTTTACAGCTGAAAAACGACCGTTTTTTTTAAAGAAAATCTAACGTTTAACTTTGACAGGTCGCCATTTTGTCAAATATATATATTTTTTTAAATCTTTCGATTAAAGACTAGATAATTTTTCAATAAATGTATAACCGTTTCAATTTTTTATTTAAGACGAATCAGATTTCTATAGTGTTGGTCACCGTAAACCATGTTTTTCAGATGGACGTCACTTTGATGAGACATTTCATGAAAAATGTCTATTGTTTGGCGCTACAACTGCGAGTGCCCCCTTAACTTAATATTATGATTAATTCTTTAAAACGTACCAGAAATTTTCGAGCCCCTGTCAAATTCTTCTGTCGAATTTCAAATTGTGCGTACATTAACCAGATTTTCGAAAATGTGAACTTTTTATGGGGAATCAAATTTAAACATGCACTGAAAAAAATAGAATACTTGTTAAAATGATTATATTGAGGTAGTCGTTCTATGACAATCTCTGTCAAAAGTTAAATTAAATTGACCAAAGATTATCGCACAAAAAGCCACTTACAATTAAAAGCATTATCAAATTCTTTGTTGCTAAATTTAATGAGACTGAAAAAGTACCTGTAAACTTGTCGACATCGTTCTATATCCTCTGTTTCTAATTCTTCATAAAGAGCATAATTTATCCAAAGATAAATGTATCTTCTCCAGAATTGTTTATCCTAAAGCGAAAAAAAACATTTATTTCAAAAAATTAAACATTTTGAAACTAATAAAAAAGGAAGAATTTATTTTCTTTTTTTTAACTTATAAAATTATTATTACCGTTGTTGGTGGAACATTTGATATCGCACGCTCATAAGTTTCTCTAATAATTTCTACATCGCCTTCTGATTCTACTAATCGCAAATAATCAAACCACGCATCATAATTGGACGGATTTTCTTTAACTTCCTGTTCATATTGATGTTTTCGTTTACTGACAATTACATCTTCTATTCCTGTTAAAAAATTTAAAGACAAAAAAAGAAGGTTAATACTTTATTTATATTAATTACAAATTTGAGAAAGAGTATAGAAAAATTTACCTGAGCGATCTCCGTATTTCTTTTCATGAATTGTATAAGCTTTATAAATTTCTTGCGTTTTATCTTTTGAAAGATTGTCCAATGCATATTTGTAAATAACTCTAACTCTATCGTGCTGAAAAATAAAGAATCCAAAAAATTAAATTAAATTTAAAAATGTGAAACTAAGTAACAATAGTAAAAAAAAGTCAAGTTACCTCTCGTTGCCCTTCTTCAAATCTTGCAAATGCAATCACTAACTTGTCATCTAAGCTTTCGTCTCCAAAAAATACAAAAGCTCGTTCATAAACTTTACGAGAACCATTTATGAATCCATGATTTTCTTCAAAACGTGCATATTTTATCCAATGTTTAACATCAGGGTGAACCATAACAAATCGTTCAAAAATATCTCTCGCTCTTTGAATTTCTTTGTAACGTAATTCAAATTTTATATAAGTCTGCCAAGCCTGCTCATCAGGCTCCCATTCCATCCATCTTTCAAATACTTGTCGAGCACCTAAAATTCATTATATAAAGTTTGAATAAAATTCGCGCACATATGAAAAATAATAGATGCACTTCAAGAATTCTCAATATTATTATATACATAAAAAAAAATTGTAACCTGCAATATTTTCCAACATTTCTTCCATGTAGGTGTACTTGTACCAAAATTGACTGACTCTGGGTAAAATTGTAACAGCACGATCCCATAAATTGCGAGCATAATTCACTTGCCGATGTCGCATTTCCATTTCTGTGTACTTGAGCCATAATGTTACGTTTCTGTGATCAACGTCTAATGCTCGTTCGTAAATTGATCTATAATCATTTCAAAAATTAAAAATTTTAATCGCTTTTTTGTTAAGAATAAAAAAAAATTTAAGCGCCAATCACATCTTAAGACCAATTTTTTGTATAAAAATATCTGTTATATGTATTTAAAAATCATACCTAGCTCTTCGAATTTCGTTCTGACTTTCTTCCCACTGAGCGTACTTTATCCAATTAGAAATAACGATCCTATTTTTTCTAATATTATCCTCAAAAACTTTTCGTTTACGATGCTGATAATCAGCTAATTCATGTGGATCAGAGATTTTTTGTTTTGGAGGCTGTTTTCATAGAAAAATATAATTGTATTAAATATATATTTTTTAAGAACAAAAAACATAGGTAAGCATTTAGAACAAAATTTTTAAAAAATCTCACCGGTGGTAAAATTTCAAGATCTCTTTCTTTCGCTTCTCGAAGAAGTTGCTCTGCTGTAATTTGTATCTCCGCTGGAGCTTTATTTTTAACCTATAACGCAAGTGAGAAAATTAATTTTTAAAAAATAACATTAAACTTATTATGAATTATTTAAATTGATGTAAATTAATAATTTTAAAATTATATAAATTTAGAAGAATATTATGAAGAAAAACAAACGTATTTTCTCTATTATATTATTTTTTAGTTTTACTTACTTTTGCCACTTTGGGCATTTTTTGCGGTTTCTCCATAATGAACTTGTTAAATTGTGATTATAATTTGTGTTCAATTGTTTTAATATCAAAAAGATTTTTTTTTTTTATTACAAAACAGACATTATGTCGTGTTAGGACCGATTAAAATTAACCATAACCTCTAATTTTTGACGTTTTACTTTCATTTTGCGCATGCGTATAATTCCAAATTTCATTAACGCATGCGCAGGAATAGGCATATTTAAAATTGTTAAACTTGGTACCCAAAATTGTACAAAAGTGAAAATTAGAAATTATTTTTAAATTGTATCCCCCATCATGATAATTTTTCCATTTTTTTTCACATGTATATAGCGTCATATATTTTGCTAACATCCTCCTATCAATAAAGTATCAAATACTTTATGGATGACACCAAACAGAAATTTTTTTAAAACAGACAGATACGAGAGAACTAAAATATTAAATATGTATAAAAAAGGTAAAGAAATATTGAATCTTATGTGTAAAAACATTTATTCATTTTTATCAACATTTTTTACAGTTTTGTTAATAGATACATAATGATCTGTTTCGATTTTTATTAATTTTATTTTATACAAAGGTAGGTATAATTAGGTAGACAATAATGCGTACGAGCTTTCGCTTCGAGTGTCCACAAACAATTAGTTTACTTAATCATTTTCTATATTAAATATATATATTTATAAATATCGGACAATTCTTATATATCACTTTGTGAATGAATTTGAAAATTTATTTACCTACCGTGAAATTGTTTTTCTTTTTTTTTTTGGATAAAATTTTTGCTCTCACAATTAATATGGCTCATTCGTCATCAAATCAACGATTAGCCCCCCTCCTACCCACGATTCACATCATCATTATCGAATGTTCATTAAATTCTTACGACTAAAACAAACATTTAACCACTCGAGAATTTAGCTCGCATAAAAACTGTTTTAAACAAAAAAAAAAAAAAGAAAAAAAAAATTAATAAGAAATGTTTTTCAGACAATTTGTACATTTTTGACTAATAAAAGATTGAAATCTATTTATTAGTCACAATATTGTGAGCTCTCTTCGCCTATATAAAATTCCAAACTTGAAATCAAGTGCAAAACTCGAGAATGTTAAATCTCAATTTCCTTTTCTCTTTTCCAAGTTTTTCAAACAATTCAGTCGATTAGTTTCTTCTTTTAGTAGTGTGATTCTTAGCTGGTGACAGAATTGCCAAAGAGCTTATCTCCTTTCGAGATCAAATTACTAGTCCCTGCCATTTCATTCAACGCACAGCCAGGAGTTGTGAAACGATATTGTAATAATATCGAACAGAATTGGAGATATAACTTTTTTGGCATAAGCGTTTATTTTATTTATTTTTTTTGTTTGTTTTGTTTCTGTTTTTCGAAATCAAGTCCAGTGAGAGAGGACACTGTTATAGTCACCTCAAATTATTTAAGTTCCTATTGGCATAAACACGCAGTTGAATTTCACCTGAGCCATAATTTCAATCGCAAGGCATCGACACCATTCAAATAATACCGAAAAAGTCGTTTGTCTCGTACAAAGCCAAGATTTTCATATAACCGTAATGCTGGGCGATTGGTAATTTCAGTCTCTAAAACAACTTCATCGGCGTCATCTTCCACCATTGCCACAATTGCACGTCTCACCAAATTCGAGCCAATTTTACGTTTCCTGAATTTCACGTCTACCGCCAACATTGCAATGTAACCGCGTTTTATCACCTTTCTGTGAATATCCAGCTTGCAAACGATGGCACCTACGCATTCATTTCCGTGCATCGCCTTCAAACAAATTATTACTATTATTAATAATCTCTTTACGTTTAAGTGAATTTATGAATTTTTCAAAAATAGAAATAGATTAAAAGTGAAAACCAAAATCGTTCGACAAACTGTACAATATAGAAAATATTTTCATATATCTAGGTTGCCACAAAAATTTTATTCTGTTTTTCTCTGATTTTCAGTTAGAATTTCAATTTTTTCCCTTACCCTAATGAAAATATTTCAAAAGGTTTTCAATTAGAAAAAATTAAGACAATAATTTTTAGAAGCAAAAGTTTGAATTAAAAATTTTTTAAATTATCATTTTCGTAGCATTTTAAAAAAATTTGATATTTTTCCAGTACTTTTCATAAAATTCCCTGATTCGTGGCAACCATGTATATGGTAAAAATCACATGAATTAAAGTATATTTACCAAGAAGCATAATTTTGGCCAATTGTGAATGAAATATCTATAGGTATAAATAGAATAAGGTTCACTCAGATCCTTTTGAATTAATTTCATAATATCGGGCATTTGCAATTCACTAGTATAGCTCACATATTGAATGTCACTATCGTTATTTTCTGTAGATGTTTCTTCACTTTTCTCTGCAAATAAAAAATGAGTTAGTAAAAAGTAGATATATATTCTATTCTTGGAGATAAAGTGTAGACATCAATATTCATGTGAAAAAAAACTTTATGCTTGTTAAATCGATTGACGTAGTGCCGTAAGTTTATATACTAAATAATATAAAAGAGACTACATTCTCAACGTAAACTTTATACATGACAATATAATTACAAAATGTAAAATTCTGGTAAAATGAATAATACAAAATATAATGAGGTTGCTGGGGATTAAAAATAAAATAATAATTTAATACAGATCGTTGAATATTATTCTCTGTCGGTAAACATTAAGAGAAAATAAACAATTTTTGCAAAATTTTCATATTATGGGAAATTTGCCAAAAGAAATCTCTGACATTCAGAATGTCAAATGAAAATCCTCTTACCAGGTTGATTTAAATTTACATGACTAGTTTCCACATTTTGAGGTTGAACCTCAGAAGCAGTGGATTCAGAATTACTTTGGAGTGATTCACAAACGCCGTTCATCTGGTGCAAGCCATTGGTTTGTGGTTTTTCTTCGACCTTGTCATTTTCCAAATTAAGTCGAGACTTAATATTTAAGGTGCCAACGTCAGTCATCACACTACTTTTTCCAAGTTTTAGTTTTCCTTTTGTTGCCTCTGTCACAGGTACTTCCATGGAATCCATAATTGTGGTGCCCTCAATGTCATCCATTTTTCCTCCCGTAATTTTTCAAAAAACAATTAAAATTATATCAACAGTACCAAAGAGTACACAAAAATTCAGGACAGAGGAAAAACCTCCGTCACAGAGGCTAAATTTTGTTTTTTGTCGTGAGCCCCTTAATTAAGTGCTCAACTCGTACAGCACTTTTTATGAACAACAAATAACTTTTAATCTAATTTCCATAATTACTGAAAAGTCTTCAACTTGTTTAAAATGACTTTATTCCAAAATATGTACAGACGTTCAACGTAAACCGCTGAACGACAGACACCATATTGGATTCTACCCTCTACTAGCACTGAAATTGACTGAAATACTAACACCAAATATGTTTTTTCTCTGATTCAATAAAACTTGTCATATAAAGTCAAATTCACATGGTTTCATCAGATGATAAGCATTTCTATATTTTTCATCCCTTTTGCAAACAGCGGAAACTCTATTATCCACTATTTGAAGTATCAAAGAAAACTAATTTCATTTCAGAAATTAATAAAAAATGATATAAGTCAAATATAGATATTGATTTTTAACAAGTGAGGGACGGTATAAAATGTAATTAATAATGTAATTTTTTACTGTAAATTTATGTATCATTTGAATTATCAAGTTAATTCCCGCCAAAAAAATGAAAACACCTTCCTTAGTGATTTGAAAACGAACCTTAACTTCGGGCGTTTACCGGCATCCCCACTTCTCTCATTATTATCGAAAATGTCCGAAAGAAATAATGACGTAGGATTGTGAATTTACAAAAATTTAACTAAACTTTAGTGTTATTTAATCGTGAAACTCGCGAAAATATCATTATTATTAAAGTGCCAATAGGATTTAAATTCTATAAATAGTATTTCTTCTAGTTTCATGAAGGTAAAGTGTAAATCTGAATATTTTACTCCCTTTTAACAATAGCGACTACTAATTAACACTTTCATGAGAATTGGTATTCTACTTTTGTTTTCTATTCCAATAAAAATTATTCTATTTTATTTTCATCTTGTATTGAATTAATGATTTTTACGGAAGTAAAAAATATTAAGGAACAATAAACTTATTCTTTTATTGTAAGTATTATGAATATTACTCATGCAACAATGACTCATACCAAGAAAATGTCAAACTTGAGCCTATGGTTTGAGATGTTTGTTTTTCCATAAGTTTCGATAACTTAAAAAGATTTTGATTAATATTATTTAAGTATAAATTTTATCGACTAAACAAAAACGGAAATTCCAGATGAATTCCATTTTGTGGATAAACAGGAAAACGAAAATTCAATGCAAGTTTATTCTGATATTGGAATGTGAAAATAAAGTTAAATTTTCAACCTGAAATGAAAATAAGTTGTGGATCTGAATTTTTTTTAAACAAGAATGAAAAAAATTGTTTCAAGTTGACTTTATTTTTAGGTTTGAAATTGAATCAAACTGTAGCATGTCATTCTTTTAGTTTGGTCGATTCATTCCATAACAAAACTTTCGTGAGAATCACCGTTATAAATTATATTTGTCACTAAAGCTACGTTTTCATTTTACGTGCATATAATAATCGAAGGAAAAATTAAATAAAATAAAGTGAACGTAATTTTTAAATTATAGAATTCTGCACTTTAACGCACATGAAAATGTCAGACCAATTTGGACCTATTACCCTGAAATGGGATCCTAAGAATTTGGAAATTCGTACAATGTCCGTGGAGAAGACTTTGGAACCATTGGTACTGCAAGTAACCACATTGGTGAATACAAAAGGCCCAAGCAAAAAGAAGAAAGGAAAATCGAAAAGAGCTAGTGCTCTTGTGGGAACTGTAGAAAAAGCTACTGCAAATTTCATCGAAAAGGGAGAACAAATTGCTTACGAAAATCCTGATATTACCGCTGAAATGTTGAGCGCAGTTGAAGAAGTCAAAAAATCGGGTGATTCAATGAGTATTGCAGCTCGGTATGTTCATTTTTCTTCTACATTAAAAATACAACTTCAATTTTTCTCTGTATTATTTTGTTACATTTCATTTAATATTACTTTGTCGTAGAAAAAATTTCACATTTTTCATAAATATCTTAATAAGAAAAATAGATGTGAAGCTGAATTTCTTTTGCAATTTTAGATCTGACAAAGGGAGAAATTAATGATTTTTCTATTTTTTAAATTATTTAAAAAATCATCTAAAATGCCTGAAATAATAATTTTTTTCTCTTTTTTTCAATTCATATCTATTTTTTATGATTATATGGGAAAATCTCTGGAACTTTTAACTATTATGTCCCTCGCGTATATTTTGTTAATTCCAATGAAATTTTACCTGGTTTTTGTTGGAAAAATCAATACTTGATACGAGCAATCATTTCCAACAGGTTTCACATTAATTTATTAAATAAATAAATAATTATTTAATTTTCAATGCACGATTTTCAACAATTTCTACTTGTCCCTAACCATACTTTGTGGTGCTTTAAACGATAAAACTTTATTATTAAAAAAAATTACCAGTTCTAAGATACGTCATTTTAAAGTTAATTAAACGATGAACACATTTTCGCAAGAAAATTAACATTTTGTAAATTGTAAAAAAAGTTATAAGCTTTTAAAAGTTGTCCCTCACTTTTAACCTTTTTGACTGCAATCCTCTTATTTAGCATTTTTCTTTGATAAGACAATTGGCACACCAAAATAACTTATGAGAAATTAAAGTTCAAGTCATTAGAATTATTTTGAGACATATTAAATTGATGTGCCTCGTGTCTTAAAAAAATTATTGTAATTTTAATAACAGAAAACACGTGTGTACAAAATTTGAAAACGACCGAAATACGAGTGATACTCCACGAAAATCAATGTGAAGTTGACGATTTTCATTTTTTAAATAGAAACTGTCAATATAATTAAAACCTGAAGGTTAAGTTTAAATGTTTATTTTGAGATTTATATACAGACGAAAATGAATCCTTTGAAATTAATTACCAAAAGAGAAAAATTAAGACAGAAACAATTTTGTGTAAAATCTTAGAACCTCCAACATTTCACTTAAAATCACATTCTTTCAGCGAGAAGCAATACAAATTTATTGCTGAATTATTTAAGAAAAAAAAAGGAATTTAATTGATTTTTAATTTTATTTCTATTTTAGAAATGGTATTATGCATATTACAATATGTATTTCAATAATAAATAATTTATGTATATAATTATTTTATTATATTTGTTTTTATATCTACTACGTTATGAGAATTTTATTTTAAATAAATGTTGAAATTATTAACCAAATTTTATCATTTTTAAAAAATTGTAACTTCACAGTAATTTCCTTTCCATTGTTTTTCATTCCAAAATCAACCACCTGTTGAATACTTTTCTGTTTTAGGTTAACAATAATTTGCAATTTTAAATAATTAATAACTTTTTTAAGACAAAAAATTTTATCTGTCCACTTATATAATTTGAAATCTTCGTACTTGAAGTTTATGTTGACAGAGTTTCAATACTGTGCTCGAAAAAAAGAATTTTTTTTTTCCTTTATTGAAAAGTTAAAAGTTCCAGAGATATGCCCATATAAAAGCAAAAATTATTTTTCTATACAAATAATTTGAAAACAATTTCATTATTGGTATTTATTCAAAAAAGTTTAATTTATTGATAACTATTATCATTTTATGATAATTGAATAGAAGAGAGTCGGGTAAGTTCGATCAAAAAAAAGGATAGAGTAAAAAAATTAATTATATTGTTTAAGTATAAAAACTGTTTTATAGTAAGAAGACAACATTGAAAAATAAGGAAAAAAAAATTATTTTGAATTATTTATTAATGAAAACATAATACTTCATCCTTAAAAACAGTGGGATTTTATATTAATTTTTGATTAAGTTATTAATAAAAACGAACTTAGCCACCGTTTTTAAATTCAATGTTAATTAATGTCAATGATTTTTCAATTTTAATTTACAGAAATATGAAAACTTTTAACTTACATGTTGAAATTTCTTGAAATTTTTATGATTAATTGTATGAAGTTTTTTTGACTTTTTTTTAAATACGACTTTTTTTTACTAAATTCCGAATTTTTCGACTTATTTGATAAAATAAAAATGAAAATTAATTAATTTGTTGAATCACAAAAAAATATCTACAACTTTTTTTTAGTATAAAGTATAGCTCTTCCGAAATTCATTCATTTTGAAAATTTCTACATCTAAAAAGTCTTTACCGAATTAATTATTAACAACAATTTTAATAAAATTCCTTAAAAATTCAAGTAAATTTTAAATATTTTTCAGAATTAAAAATAACTCGACCGATGCTCGGACGAACGCTCTATTACCAGTCAAGTAGCAGTGACAGCCTGTGGGTGGCTCACTGCTTCCCGACTACCATTAGAGCGTGCGTCCGAGCGTCGGTCGAGTTATTTGATCGGGACCTTCAATTATTGAATAAAATTCTTTTGAAAATGTCTTAATTAATTCAAATTTATAAAATTTTCAATTCAAAATTATCTGAAATTTAATTAATTCTAAAAATCTGAACTGCTGAAATTCAATTATTTTTTTTAATTTCCATTTAAGATTTTTGTTAATTATTTTTAATAATTTTAATAAAGTTTTTCTTTACTTCAATAATTTAAAGAAATTTTAATATTATAATATTTTAATATTCAATTATTGTCTGAAATTTGAAAAAAAAACCTTTAGCAATTCAATTTTACAAAAATTCCAATTTAAAATTTCTGGAAATTCAATTATTTCCTATGAAATATTCAATTGTTTACATTATTTTTTAAATATAATAAATATTTTAATTATTTTGCAGTTAAAAAATTGTTAATACATGATAAAGTAATTAATTTTTCTTCATTTAATAAATTTAAAATTATTTAAATAAAATAAATTTTGTTTAAACAGGTAAAAAAAATTTATTTGAAATAAATTGTAGGTATTCATTAAAAATTAGAGTCAAATTTGATTGAAAACTAATACAGTTGAGTGAATTATTTTGATTTGAAGTAGACTTATTTAAAAGTACACATCGTGATTTGTCTTAATTAACCTTTCTTTTTTTTGTAACAGTGAATTTTCAGATGATCCTTGCTCATCTCTAAAACGTGGAAATATGATTCGCGCCGCAAGGAGTTTACTCTCATCAGTAACTCGTCTATTAATTTTAGCAGACATGGTTGACGTGCATTTACTTTTGAAATCGTTGCAAGTAGTTGAGGAGGATTTAAAAAAATTACAAAATGCATCATCACAAGGAGAATTGCTCGAAAATATCAAACAATTTGGTAGAAATGCAACAGAATTAATGAATCAAGCCGCAAAACGACAACAGGAATTAAAAGATCCTCAACTTCGTGATGATTTAGCAGCAGCTAGAGCCGTACTCAAGAAACATTCGACGATGTTGCTCACGGCCTCGAAAGTTTATGTCCGACATCCAGAGCTTGCGGCTGCTAAAGCAAATCGAGATTATGTTATGAAACAAGTTTGCGAAGCTGTCAATACTATTAATGATGTTGCTCAAGGGAAAACTTCTAATAATCAGCATCCTTACGATGGACCAGGTGAATTGGCTGCCGCTTTGGATGAGTTTGACGAGAGAATGGTCATGTCACCGCTTGCATATAATGAGGTTCGCACTCGTCCAAGTCTTGAAGAAAGATTAGAAAGTATTATTAGTGGAGCTGCACTCATGGCAGATTCCTCCTGCACTCGAGATGAACGCAGGGAACGCATCGTTGCCGAGTGCAATGCCGTGAGGCAGGCCCTTCAAGATTTGCTCAGCGAATACATGAATAATGTGAGTATCATTCAATTTCACTTTTTATTATTATTATATTAATTCAAAAAATTAATGCAGCAAATTGAAGAATTATTTAACTTCAAAATCTCAAGTTTATGTGCGGATTTTAAATAGTATGATTTATAGACTGATTAAATAGTCAGAAAACTTAATTGATTTTATTTTAAAATTTTTGCTGAAAATCTAAATTAGATTAATTATTATATATAGGTATATTAGACATAAAAACATTAAAAAAAAGAACTGCAATAGTTTTTTAAACATCTGATTTACTGAATTCAAGCTGGAATTTTTCACAAAGAATTATTATTTTATTTTCTTTAATTAAATTCACTGATAATTAAAAATAGCGAATTTTTGTGCCTTTTGTTAATAATGTAATGCATATACAACGACTTTTCTTCCGTTCTAAAATCGACTCGAGGTCATTTATTAATAAAAAAAATACATTTATGATGTTTTAAAAATATTTTCAACAAACGTTTTCTCATTATGTATTTTTTATTTTTATTTATTACTTATCAGCATTAACTTTCGGAAAAAAATATCTTACAAATAAAAACAACTCATATTAATTAAATTTTTTTTATGAAAGTGAGAATTCTGTAAATTTAATATATAATTTTTTCCAGTTTTTATTATAATTTTATAAATGGAGTAAAAACATTTTCAAGTTTTTAATTAAAACTTAATTTTTATTAATTTCTTTAGTTTATTTTTAATTTGTGCATTTTAATTTCTATACAATAAATGTGCATAATACATGAAATTTTTGAAAAACCTGTAAATGTTAAGAGATTTTTTGAATTTCAGTAGCATATTTTTTGTACTATATATAATTTCAATTATTAACACTTTAAAGATTATAAATTTTTTTTTAAATTTGATCTACAAAATTATATTACATATATTTCATATTTAAATATATTATGTCTATTATTCAAATTAATAGAAAAAAATAATTATTATTTTAATTTTACGTAATGTAAATCTTTTTTTAAAACTATAAATGAAAATAAAAATCGACTAAATCGTTAGATGACTCAAAGATCAAATTTGATTGTTATAATATTATTATTTTACATTTATTATCTTGGTTTCTTTTTGTTGACGAGGGCAGTTGCTGATTGCTCGGGGTGGTAAAAGGGTAAATATTGAAAATTTCCCTGAGTGTATTTTAAAAGTTTGTTTTTTTACTGTTTTTCTTTGTAGCATAACAATGAACTATCATAACCCACTAAATTCCTTACTACTCGCTTTTATTGTTAGAAGTTTTAATATTGCTCCTAACTTTAGTCAATATATTTTGTGAATAAAATTACACAATAAGATTTTTTAAATTAATAATAAAAAATAAAAATAGATAATCATCTTTAGCAAATTTATGTGCATATTATTAAATATTAATTCAATGAAAATTTGTTCTCAATCATTTAATTACCCTGTGCATATTTAAAAATTTGTATTTTTAGTTGTAAATATAGTAAGTTTTGCTTATGCTTTACTAATTCTTAAACTTACATTAATTACAGATGTGTTATTTAAAATCTTTGTATCAATTAATTACTTTTTAAAAATATGTTTTATTTAAGTAGGTACCTACTCACTTTTTCTTCATGAAAAATTTTAATGAACTAAAATGAAAACAGAATTTTTCTTTTTTGAAAAACGCTAAAATGTGTCAAAAATATATCTCGATTCTGTATACATGTAATTAAAATAAATTTTTTTCAATAGATGGGAGTGAAAGAACAATCAGAAGGCCTAGAACGTGCGATTGATCACATGTGCAGAAAAACTCGCGATCTCAGAAGACAATTGCGTAAAGCTGTTGTTGATCATGTTTCTGACAGTTTTCTCGAAACAAGTGTACCATTACTTGTTTTAATAGAAGCCGCTCGTAATGGTCGTGATAAAGAAGTGGAGGAATATGCTCTCGTATTTACTGAACATGCAAACAAATTAGTGGAGGTAAAAACAAATTTTAATAACAAAGAAAGCGAATAATTGTAAATATGTAATTTCTGTGAAATTTATCTTTTTTAAAGAAAAAAATGAAAATTTGTATTTATTTCTACTGATAGAAGAAAAAAAATGTTTCAGGTTGCAAATCTGGTTTGTAGCATGTCAGGAAATGAAGATGGAGTGAAGATGGTACGTTATGCAGCTGCTCAAATTGAAAATCTTTGTCCCCAAGTAATAAATGCTGCTCGTGTTTTGGCTGCTCGTCCTCGTTCTAAAGTTGCTCTCGATAATATGGAAGTTTTCCGTCAAGCATGGGAAAATCAAGTTCGAGTTCTCACTGAAGCAGTTGACGATATAACGACAATTGACGATTTTCTTGCCGTCTCTGAGAATCATATTCTTGAAGATGTTAATAAATGCGTTCTGGCACTTCAAGAAGGAGACGCAGACACATTGGACAGAACGGCTGGAGCAATTCGAGGACGTTCGGCTCGTGTTTGTAATGTCGTTCAAGCGGAAATGGACAACTACGAACCATGTATCTACACGAAGAGAGTTCTTGAAGCAGTAAAGGTATTGAGGGAACAAGTCATGCCGAAGTTTGCTCAAAGGGTGGAAATTGCTGTCGATGCTTTGGGCAGCAATCCAGCAAAGGACGTTGATGAAAATGATTTCATCGATGCATCTCGTCTCGTTTACGATGGAGTACGAGAAATTAGACGTGCCGTTTTAATGAATCGGGTAAGATTTAATTAATTTAATTTAATAAGAAATACGAAACTGATAGTTTTGTCCAGATTTAGATGTTTTTATTATTTAACAGGCTGACGAGGATTTGGATCCAGAAGATGTGGAATTGGATGAGCACTATACCCTTGAAACGAGAAGCAAGTCAAGTGCTCAAACCGGTGAACATGGCGTTGATGAATATCCTGAAATCAGTGGTATCACAACAGCACGTGAAGCAATGCGTAAGATGCCAGAGGAAGATAAGCAAAAAATTCTACAACAAGTTGAATTTTTCAGGAGTGAAAAATTGAAATTCGACAAAGAAGTTGCCAAGTGGGATGACGCAGGAAACGATATAATTGTTCTTGCAAAACACATGTGCATGATTATGATGGAAATGACAGATTTCACTCGTGGTCGTGGTCCATTGAAGACTACAATGGACGTTATTAATGCGGCTAAAAAAATTTCCGAGGCCGGTACGAAACTTGATAAATTAACGAGACAAATTGCTGATCAATGTCCTGAGAGTTCAACGAAAAAAGATTTACTTGCTTATTTACAACGCATTGCCCTCTATTGCCATCAAATGAACATTACAAGTAAAGTAAAGGCCGACGTTCAAAATATTAGTGGGGAATTGATCGTTTCCGGCTTGGATAGTGCCACATCATTAATTCAAGCAGCTAAAAATTTAATGAACGCTGTCGTTCTCACGGTTAAGGCGTCTTATGTCGCATCAACCAAGTATCCAAGACAATCGACTGTAACGGTAAGTGAACATTTCTTTTCTTTAGCAAAATATTTGGGAAATTGGTAAGTGAAAGAAGAGGAAATTATAGAAAGTCAAATTTTCATTTATTTATTTTGTATTTTTTAATGAAAAACTGGGATTCTTTCATTTTGTTGTTATCTATCGTTTGCTCTAATTTTGTTAATCTTGTTGATTAAACAAAAACATGCAGGTTGAAAGGTTTATGGACATTATTGATTAATAAGAGGCGACGCCACTTCTGCAACTTTTAAATCATGTGTAAATTAATTTTTGTTTAAATAACTTGATGTCTCTGACCCAGAAGTGGACTTAAAAATTTTTATCCTTCGATACTCATACTCAAACCTTAAATTCACGTTTTATATTTTTTTTGTATTTACAAATTATCTCCTAATTCCTTACACCATACTCTCGCTATCTCCTAATCATGTACAGTATTTAAAGAAGTCCAATATATTTATTATAATTTTCAAAATTTCCAAATTTCACCTTTGCTTTTAATTCATGTTCTCTTTTTCTTCACTTACAAAAATTCTAGTTCCTTTTCTATATTTCCCCTCCTGTTTTAATTGTTTATGACTAAAGTGAATTGAGATTAATTATTACAATTTATATATTTATTTAATTTTACATTTTTATTTATTTCAAAGAGAAGTATAAATAATTAGAAAAGCAAAATTTTGTTTAATATCTCAATAATGGTGTTACCCTTTCGAAAAAAGGGGATTTAAGTGAAAACGAATATTTTACTTAGAAACTAATCTTTGTAGACAGTTGAGGATAATGGATGTGAAAGAAAATGGGGACAATCGGTTCTGATCTTCTTACCCGTATCCCACAGCCTATCTATTCTCTACTCCGTTTCATCGGTATTTTTCTGACCGCAAAAATATTAGAGCTGCATTAATTATTATTAAAAGTAGTGATTTATCTAGTTATAACATCCAAATTTTCTTTTATCCAAAGAAATTTATCATTTTCGTTATGCTTCTTCCCCTTGGTTATTCACCTTTAAACACAAACAGTATTTTTTTGCGTTGGCGTCAGTGAAATGTAGTTTGTTTCTTTTAATTGTAGGCAAAATATTCTGATTTCATCAAGAATTTTTAAATTAGATGTTATTCATTACTTTAGGGAAAGTAATTAGACTGCACTTACTCACAAAAATAGTTTCAATCATTTGGCTAGTTTGAAGTTTTGAAAAGTAAAATATAACAATATTTTTTGTGTATCTGAAAAAAAACGGTTCATTTTATCAATTTTTTTTAAGTAGGTATGTGTTAATTTAATGCTTATTGAAAATTGACAAAACGAATAATTTTTATGCAGGCGTTTAAAAATAGACAGTACGTTTCTTTACACTTTTTTCCAAGTGTGATTGTTAAATTTTTTACTTAAGAATTAATTTCTAATACAAGCTGGCCAATTGATTCGTAAACTATTGTTTCACAAAATAAGGATGCTTTTAAAATAGTTATAACACGACAGATTTTGTCAAAAGTGAAAATTGTAAATTGTTTTTATTTAAAGCAAAATACATTTATTTTTTATTAATTACTATTCATTAATTGCTTTTTCTAATAAAAGATGATTTGTTCATCACAAAAATGATAAACAATAAAAAGGAATTATTAACGTATTATTAACGTTGTTCACTTCACGTAGAATGGCCCATAGCGATGTTTTTTCTATTTAACATTTTTTGAAAACTTCTCTCTATATTCCAAACTTTTTAGATATCACTGAAATATGCTAATTTGTTTTAAAAATGAAAATGTTTAATTCTAAACGAGTGATGTGTTTTACTTTTTTGAAAATTTAAAATATAGAAGATGAACCAGAAAAGTTTTTCTCAACAAAATGAGTTATTATAATTAATTATAAAATATTAATAAAAATTTGATATATGAAAAAATGAGTTTTTAACCATTCTAAAATAAAACTTTGCTAAGCACATAAATTTGCTTCTTTTTATTAGAATGCTATCATTATGAAAATTTTAAAAGTAAAATGATAAATTTATGTTGCTCATAATAAATCCAATTTACAGAATTATTTTTTGAGATATTGTTGCGTGAAACAACTATTTTAAACCATAAATGTGACTCAATGAAAAAAAAATATTGAAATATTTTTATCTATACTATACATACGTATGCAAAATTATTATATTGAAGTAAGTTTAATAATTTCGTGTTCTATAGAAAGAAAAATGATTTATTTTCATAAATTTAAAATACTTGTCAAATTTCGAATTGGTTGTTGTAAATTTCAACTTATTTCATAATTTTCAATTTTAATTTAAACTTTTTTAATTTTAATACAATAATTTTTAAATTATCAATAATAAACTTCTCTTTTGATTGTGTGAGCCACATTTATATGTAGAAATTAATATTGAATTAACTCAATTTGCTAATATAAGTTTTTTTTATTCCCGTTAACAAACCATATTGGACTTTTCAGTATGTAAGTACTAAACTAGATTTGACATTTTGTTATAAATAACTGTTTAATTATTGTCATTATTTATTATGGCCTTTTTAATTATAAGCGAATTAAATATAGACATAGAATTGCTAAAAGTAAAAATCTACATATATAGGTTTTTAAAATTTTCCGTATAAAATTTATGAATAAAATATTTATATCTAAAATGAAATAACAACGGATATTTAAAAAGAAAGAATTACATTTTTTCTAATATAAATAAAAAATGTATGTATTTAACCATTCTTTTCTAAGAATTTCAGAGAACCTTTCGATCACCCTTAAATAAAATAGTGATAATTAATTTTTTTAACTGTAATCTGTAGAGAAATTTTAATATTTGTTAAATTCTGCCACGTTCTGTTACATGAATATATAAATTAGTTTTTCTTTACAAATAATCACCCCTATAAGTTGATATAGTTTTTGAATGACTCCTAATTTGATATTTAATTTTATTTAATCAGGCTCAATATTAAAGGTGACGAAATTTAAAAAAATAATTTATTTTTCAGTCTCCAATCGTAGTTTGGAAAATGAAAGCACCCGAGAAGAAACCTTTAGTTCGACCTGAACGTCCTGAGGAAGTGAGAGCAAAAGTTCGTAAAGGTTCACAGAAAAAGGTTCAAAACCCAATTCATGCTCTTTCTGAATTCCAGAGTCCAACAGAAAGCGTATAAAAATTTACAAGTAAAAAAAGAACAAAAACTTGCTGAAAGTTTACGCAATCTTAAATCCAAATACAAGGTAACATATCGTTTTATGTTTTAAAAATACCTAAGATAATATGTACGTCTTTATTAAGTTTTTTAAAGATGTTTTCCATATGGCAGTAAAGATTAAAATAAAATGCAAGTATTGTGAGGAAATAAAAGAATAAGTATTCAAATTTTACTTTTTAGTTTCTATATATATAAACATTTTTGTTAGTTTTTTATTTTTCTTTTTTTTTGAAAAAGAGAAAATTTCTGATATGTTTTTAAAAAATATTATTATTACCTATATGACTTTCCAAAATGAAATGTTTTACAATTTTTGTAACAATTTTACAAATTTCAATTATATACACAGACTGATGTTTTTTTACAATTGTTAGTTTATCAGTCCTAGAAATAATTATTATGAATCTATCCAATGGTAAGTTTTTGCAGTAAAACTAAATTAAATTAAAATATTAATTTAATTTGAGTTTGCGAGAAATTAAAATTTTATTCAATTTTAAAACTTATCTTTTTTTTAACAAAAATATGCTTAAACGTTTAAAAATATTCAATTAAAATTATCGATTAAAAGATATGATTTTTGTTTCTTAATACCTGCATTCTATATTAATCTTAAACTCATTTCATTTCTCTATTTACTATTTTTTCAACAAAGAATGATTTTTTCAAATGAATTTATTATGGAATGATTTATTTGAGGATTTTTTCTCTTGAATGTTTTTAATAATTGAAATCATGATCAGCATAATATCGAAAAAGGTTTTTTCAATTAACTCGCAAGCTTAAATTTTTAATTATCTTTTTGTTTTTATTTAAATAAACATTTGAATTATTTTTTTTACTGAAACTTTCATCAAGTTGTACAGAATCATAGTTAAATGCATATAAACTTATGTTACTTTAAAAAAATGGTTAAATAGATTTAATTAACTATTTTCAATTCAATAATTGATTAATCGTATTTACAATTTTATGGGAATCTTACTTTTATCAAATAACATTTTACTAATAAAACAAATTGTATGCAATAGTATATTTCAGTTAGTTTACATATAGTCATAATTTTTTAGAATTTTAAAGTAGTATTGGAGTTTGTCAGCAGTAAAAAAAGCATTAAAAGACAATTTTTTTCTCGTTAAGAACTTTATTTTCAGGAATAAAACTTCTTACATTTTACTTTTTATATTTTAATTTAAAATTTAAAAAATTAAAAAAACAGATTGTGACCTAAAATTTTAAGAGATAATTTAAAATACAAAAATAAAAGAATGGATTTTTTTCATCACAAACTGTAATACTACCTTCAGTTAATTACTACTGTATAATGAAAACATTCATGACTAATAATATTTAAAAATTTTTATTTATTCTATATTTCTTTAATTTTTGAAAAAAAGAATAATTTTTCTCTTTAGTGGGCAGTATTAAACTTTGTATGAGACTAATTGATTGAGTACTTAATGCGGTTGTATATAATTGAAACTATTTTTTATATTTATTTTTTAAGATTTTTTACAAAATAATTGTCGAAATGAAAGTTGAACAGCTAATAAAATTTATTTTTAAATAAAAATAATTTAAAAATTAATTTTTATATCTAATTGGGAAATAATTTTGTCAACTTTTATAAGTACGTAGTAAAATTTACACTAAAACTCTATTTGTATATACATATTCATCAGGTTTGGAAAAAGTATAATGAAATGAAAAAATTGTATGAAAAATACGTAATTTGATGTGTAAGTGATTAGGTTTCAGTTTATCAATTTTTTTATTATCAGAAATTTTCTCAATAAGAAAAGTCAAAAACTCTAAATTAATAATAAATTAATTTAAAGAAATTTTACTAGTTTAAATGAATTAATTTGAAAATGTTTTTTACTTTATATCATTTATTTACCGAAGTAATTGTTTTGGACTTTTCTCTTTTCATTGTAATAACACATTTTTATCATTGTTGTAATGAACTACAACTTTTTTTTAGAATTAGATATGTATTTATATCGTTTAACAATTTATAAAAATTTAACTTCATATAAGATATATCCAAATTAAGTTATTAATATTTTATTGTAGTAAAGAAAACAAAGTATTACTATATCTTCTTTTTTTTATATATATTATATTATAAAGTAATGATTTTAATAAATGATTGTAAACATTTTTAAACAAATCGATATACATACAATAATTAATTATGTAGTATAGAATTTTTGCTTTTATACGCATTTTGTTGCGAAATTAAGAGCATCACAGTATTTTCTGATGCATTTAAATTATTTGACGAATTTTTATACTTGAAATACTGTAATGTTGCAATTTATTACATATATTATTAAATCGACTGTATACAACGTTGTACACGTATTCACCTGGGTTAATAAAGTTTATAAAAACATACCATTTCTATGAAAACTTTGTCTTTTTAAATGTTTTAATTTATTTAATAAGTGATTTGAGAACAAAAAATATAAAAAATTTCATAAATCAGTTGCATAAAAAAGGATTGGAAAATTCTGTAACATGTTTCATTAAATTTAGTACAATAGATTTAAGTCAACAATTATGTTTTTCCAATACCTAGTTAACAAAAATACAAATTAAAAATAAAATAAAAATTCATTTCCCTCAACAAGGTTGTTATAAAAAAATGATTTTTAATTTGCATGACTTTTCCAGACTATTTGTAAAAAATCCCAGATTTGAATATAAAATTGTTTTGATAAATTTTCAGCCTCTTTCAACGAAAAATAAAGAATATATTAATTAAATTACCAACGATACATTAAGTTTGTTATTAATTAATAAATTTACAATTCACAAAATATTCCATGTTATTTCGAAATTTTCATTTTCAGGTTGTCTGATGAAGTAGATAAAAACAGATTTTTTCTCCTTGTTTCCTTAATATGTATGATTTTCTGCCTGACAATAAACTTTGTTATTTGTAGTCCTATATTATTTACGTAAACTTACGAAACGGATGGAAATTCAGGAATTGAATGGAATTGATTTTTTTTAATTCCATTTTATTCCACGCTTGTTGCCGGGTATTAAAATTTCATTTCAGTCCTTCAGATTTTTGTTATTTATGTTAAATAGAAGCAGATTGTTAATTGAAAATAATTTTTTTAATATAAATTTATTAAATAATAGTCCAAAGTATAAATATATGTCGTGCTAGTGCTCCTGGTCCCTGTAATAAATTTTTTTTAAATTTCATCTTATTCAATTATTGAAACTAGTCATTTGAGGATTTTTTTCGCTGATTACGAATTTTAAGTTAGTTTTCTAATATTCAATATGGTGGATTCAATATGTCGGACGATTTTGTAAAGGCCAACGCACAATAGCTTCGTGAAGATCCTTCTCGAACGAGGTGCATTATGAGATAGAAAAGGACACGAATATATCTCTATCCTTTTATAACTCATGGTTTCTTATATATTTCTTTCTTTTTTCAAAAACTTACAAAAAAACAAAATTATCTCAAAAAATAATCTATTAAATTTTTTACTTTAAATCCGTATTTAAAATAAAAAATTTAATAGATTAAAGACTTAAGATTTTTCTTAATCAAATACAGAAAATTAATATTTAAGAACCTATTTCATAAAATTCCTTGAAATTTCAAGGGGTTTTACATGACTGAAAAAAAATTCCATGAATCCAACAGAACTAAAAGATTGTGCTAATTTTTAACATGATATGAAATATTCAATATGTTGATAATAGATAAAGGTAAGTAAACAAATAACTCATTTTTATGTCACATACATATGTATTACACTTTTATTCTACATGATAAATGCTATATGTATAAAGAAAAAAGTCGAAGGGAAAAATTACAAATGCTGGAATTGATTATTAATCTTAAACTGCGGAACATTGCAAAATTCGTGGAGCGACATGATTAATTATTATTATTAGAAGCCAAGTTTTCAAATTTCAAGCCCATCGAAGAATGAAATATCAGCAGATTTCCTCCTGCTATTTTTGTTTCGTTTTTTTCAAGCTTATGTATATATGTATGTATTTTTTTCTTTAATAAAACGCACAAATATATGACTGTCAAAATTATTAGAAATAACAGAACATTTTTTTTTGTATTGTTCGAATATAAAAAAGTTTGAAATTATTGTAACTTGGAGACTTGAAAACAGAACAGAAAATAATAAAAAAAAACCATCTCTTGGACGACATGAAGACAGGGCAAGTGTTTTGTGTGACGATTTTTGGTATTACAAAAAAGCATCCGATTGTAGATCCATTGCCAAAACTAAAATCTAACAATAATTTAAAACCAATACCCGAAAGTATGTTTAATATTAACAAGTTATATTAGAGTAAAAGGAAAAAAAATTGTCAAATATAGTCAAAAGTATGATACATTTTCACACCGAAAACTGTTTTACAATACATTTTTTTTAGCTTGAAAGATATATTTATATATTTTTTTGTGATGTTAGTAGAATATTTTCCATAGTCATCTGCATCTCCTTCAATCTACAAGGGGATGTAGAAATACCTTTTTTTATATTACAGATTTGAGTCATGCTCATCTACCCGAAAACGAAACAAAGCAAAATAGTTATAACAGGATTTGATACATATCGGACAATCGCGAAATTTTTAACATGATTAAGTGTCACCTGCTGCAAGTATGTAACCTCAACTTCCACATACAATATCTGTTTTCTCTTTTCATTAGATTATAGTATCATTTACATACTCACTGTAGGATATGATTTAAACACATTTGGTGCCTATTAATTAATCATCGCAAATTGCGATCACAGAATGTAGGCTCTTTTTAAACGTAAAATATAATTTATAATAAAATATTTACCTACAATTATAACATATAATATTGGTGAAGAAAAACAAGTTGATCTTTATACACTCAATTATTCGACACTGATTGTGTTTCTATCATTACCTACGTCTTGAATCGCAAAGCTTTCTTTTTTTTTGCATATTCTTCTTTTCTATATTTCCCTCGACAAGTGAAGAAGGCAACTGAAAGATGACGGAAGACTATGAATGAGACTCAATATTTTAAAACGCAATGCAAAAGTAGAGAAATGCACCTTCCTTAAGTGAGTATTGTACAAAAAAAAATAAGTAAAAAAACTTACCAGTAAATCCAAAAATAATATACGCTGCGATTCAAGAGGTTTTAAAGTACACACATCATTTATTCTATTTCACGACATGATAATATTCTGTTGTAAGAACCTATGACCTATGCGAAATTTCCTCATTAAGATTTCTTTTTTTTTTTTTTATAGAAACTATTCTACAATGTAAGTAAGCGATGAAGTGACTCAATAAATATTCAAAGAGCCACTGAGAGAGTCCCTCACAGCCTGAGTTAGACTTTCGTTTGAGATCTTTTAAGTCTATTTAAAACAATAGGCAAATCAGAACCCAGAATCCACATTCGAACAATTCCAATTTACATGTTTGATATATGAAAAATTACTAAGATTCGTTTAACTTAAAATATACCAATTATCAAAATTTTGTCAATTGTAATATTGTATTTGAATTTTTTTTTCAAGTAGGAGAGAAACTTAAAAATATATTGACTCTTAACATAAGTTCGTATTTAATTAGATTATTCTAAAATATTATGCATAGTTGAAGGAAATTAAAACGAACTGATTGGACCGTTACGTCAGATTTGGAAAAGTTAATGCTAGAGAAAAATATTAAATTTCATATTTGCACTCTTTATGATTAAGTTAACCGTCTTGTTTATCTTTGTACAAAAAAATGCATATGGTTTTTCGTAAACCAATTAAGTTAAATATTAAAGTTTTTCAAAATCATATGCTACCAGATGTTAACCATTTCACTTAAATTATATAGATTCTGCACACTTTCATTTGTACGCACATCATGTTGGCATGTAAAAATCTAGTAAGATAATAAGATTCAGTTAAAATAAACGTTTAACTGTGCTTCAGGGATTCCGGACATTTCTGCAGCCCATATTATTTTTGCTGTAATCAGACATTAGAGGGCCTCCTCTACGACGACTTGGCATTAACCTCAGGTGTCGAACTCGTTGATACGGTTGTCTTAAACGACGGCACAAATTCTGCTGCGTCAGGATTTAACGTACTCTATAACAAATTACAATTTCCAATGAACAATCTTTTCATTTCTACAAAATTTTAATTATTCGACAACAATAAGTATTCACAGCAATTTCATGTCATTCTTTTAAAAATAAAGTTTGCGAGGAAATGCATTTTAGGATATGTTTATAATTTTAACTAATTAAAGAGCCGAATAATATTAAAAAGGATATCCAAAATCAATGCAACGAACAACGAAGTAGTTTCTCCTGCAATTTACTTTCGCCACTGTATTCAGAAGGGTTGATCGTCACACTTTTTAACCTCAAAACTTGTAGTTTCAGAGAAGGCGTTAGAGAAAAAATATAGTAATAAACATAATAAAATTGTTTTTACACTACTGTCGGAAATTGTGCGACCTCAGATTTTTCGATGGCTATAAAACGGTTTAAATTTGCAAAAATATTAAAACTAAATTTTTTTCCTTTTTATTTTCTAAAAGCTAATAAAATTCTGAAAGAAATGACACCTTGACAAAAAGAATATGTTAATTTTTCAATTAGATATCTAAGAAAAACACAATTTTCAATGTTTTACTATTTTTTTTATTTATCTGGCAAAAAGTAATATTTTCAACGTATTTTGTTATAAAATTCAAATTATTTAAAACAATTTATGTCCAACTTTCACAGTTGGCATACGCTAAGGATGAATGTGGACATAAATTGTATTAAATAATTTGAATTGTATAACAAAATACCATTCCAATGAGCCCAAGAACGTTGATAACTATTAATTTTTGCCAGAGAAATAGAAAAAATAGTAAAAACATTGAAAATTGGGTTTTTCTTATATATATATAATAGAAAAATTAACATATTCTCTTTGTCAAGATGTCATTTCTTTCATAATTTTATTAGCTTTTAGAAAATAAAGAGAAAAAAAATTTTAGTTTTAATATTTTTAAAGATTTAAACCGTTTTATAGTAATCGAAAAAGCAGTTGTCGCACAATTTCCGACGGTAGTGTATTTTGAGCTGAATATTTTTTAAATAATTTATTTTCAAAATTGTTGTTGTTTCCTTTTCTGTATAAAAATGTTTAAAGGTTTTTATACCTGATATATTTTAAAACTGCATGAAGTTGGCATGAAATTATTGTGATCACTTACATTGAAATTGTTCAAAAGTTAAGACAAACCAATCTCAAAAGTTAAGGCTTCATAGAAGCCTAAAAAAATTATGAAAACAAAACTACGTATTAACCTTATTTTGTTTTCATTCAAGTTGTTAAAATCAGTTTTTAAAAATGAATCCTAAAATAATTTTAATGAAAAATGTACAATTATCTTGTCAATGTTCTCACATCAAGTTATTGAATTCAAGAAGCAATACTCTATTAAAATTTGAAATTGAAAAAGAACTGAATAAATTTTATTTTAACGTTTAAAATTTGAAAAAATCAACTAAATATTAATGTTTGAGATATCTTAGAAATTTGGAAAAATATGATAAACAAAAGTTTAAAATTACTCGTTTCGCAAGGTCGTCATGAACTCTAAGACTGCTCAGTTGTTGACTTAATTCGGCCCCGTTGTTTTCAAGAGTGCTAGTAGCAGTCGACCAAGCTGCAGAATTTAAATTTCTCTGTTGCCTTTCTTCTTCTAACATAGCTTCTAAGCACTCTTCCATGAGTTCTTCCTCTTCAAGTTGTTGAAGAACCTATGAGTTGAAATTTTCCAAAATTACAATTTTTCCCGTAAAAAATCAAATCAAAAAATTGTAATTCATTCTGCTCGTTTTTATTTTCTATCTCAAGGAAACCTAAATTTTCTTTTTATTATAATTTCGCGTGAAAACAAATAAGATAAAATAAAAAAATGTACATTTCATTCGTACTGACTGTCTATAATTATTAAAAATAAATGAAATTTAAATGAAATAAGAAATGGGAGAAAAGAAATTTTTTTAAATGAAAACATAAGTATTTTACTTGTTTATCGAATTCTTCTTCATTTTCCATCCACATGTACTCCGAAAAATCTCCATCACCTCCTGCTTGAACGTCAGCTTCTGCTTCTACATTATCCAGGTAAGATATTACGCCATTATCATGGCCATAAAATCCGTTACCGGATCCACTATTTGGTATCTTCATTATCATACCAGCTTCCTAATCAACGCTAAAAATAATTTTATTAAATTTTTTTAGATCCCTTTACAAATATTTACTTATATTAATTCTTACATTTGGGGACATTTGAAATTGAGACTGTTATTAATAAAACAAAAAATACTTTTAATGTAAATATTTGTACATAAAAATTCTTTATCATCTTTTCATATCTAATCAAAAGAAGCTTTCGATATGAAACACAGATAATAAAATGAAGAAGCCTTTCTTTTGCATAAAATATCCTTATAGGAAAATAAAACATTACAAAGAAAATTTTAGTAAATAAAAAAAATCTGGTATAATATTCATGTATAACATTTTTTTGCAAATCATAAAATATTCGTTAAGTGGTTAAAACCAACAAACATAAGTAAATGTAAAATTAAAGTACAATGTACAAGTGTCACATAAATCAAAACAATAAACATATACAGTATTACATTTCAGTATTTAAATTCTCTGACACACGAAAAGTAAACTTAACACTGTTTACAAGTTTGCACATCCCCACTCATTCAAATTATACCCCACTTTCAAATCAAAGAAATCGGTAATAAAGCTTGATCTAATTATGGACTATGTATAAGATAATACAACAAATATGTCTAAAAAAACTTTTTTCTTAATGTATAATTAATGTAATCTGTATTTAGTTTATTCCAATAATTTTAAGTCATTTTTTTTTATTATATTTTCTCTACACGTAAATAAAACGATATTCTTGCTCCGAAGCAGTTCTACGAGCACAAAAGAATAATTTTTGCAAAGGTCAAAATTCATTAATGTTAATGTTTTCCCGAAAGAAGAAAATTATTATTTAAAAATAAAAACTATTATATACACATATATATACCACAATGGGCTGCAAATTTGTTGAAAAAGAGGAAAAATATTTGAATTCACGATATTAGAAACTTTCCTTCCAAAAAAGGATCCGATTAATTATCTTTTATGCGTCGTTTCTGACGACCTAGAAATTAAACTGAATAGGCGATCAGAAAATAATTTGTAAAGCACCACAACAGACGAGGCGAGACTGAAGGCTTTGAAAGGTTGCTGACCAAATAAAACCTTGGAACTTCTCAAATTGCCTTGAAACGATCAACCAATAAATACTTGAATCGTCTCGTCATAAATTTTGTACATATGGGAGTTGCACGATTTGCCTTTTGATATTTTACTTTTTTTTTTTTTTTAAATCACTTAGGAAGAGCAAAATTTACCTTGAATTTTGAGCCGGAATAAAGAAAATAACTGAAAATTTTGCTTCTTTAAGTTCACCGATTCATATGAATCGAAGAAAGTAGAACGAAACTAAATGACAGATCACACAAGAGGCGACCATTTTTTTCTCTATCTCGCTCGCGATATCACCGAGAATATTTTTGTTAATCGAAATTCACACTGTACTTCATAAAATAAAAAGAATTTATTATATCATCAAGTTAAAATGTAGATTTACTGTAATAAATACATACCTTATTGCAGATTTTATAAGATGATTCGCTCACAAAGTTCGATTTACGCAGTTGTAACAAGTAAAAATATGTCGCACAAAACACAAATTAATTCTCAGCGTTTTCATATAGTGCTGCCATCTGTCATTCTTTTCCTCAGAAAGAATTATTAATCATTTTTTATATATATATTTTTTTTTATTTTACATATTTATTTTTAACACACTAGAACAGCTCTTTAAATATTCCATTAATAATCAACAAAAAATATTAATTAATCTAATCGTATACATGTAAAGGTTATAATTTTGTTAACTCTATAACAGTTATATTAAATATTTCAATATATAAATATTATTTGAAAATTATTATATTAAAAAATTTAATTATAACAAATTGAATTTTTAAATTGAATTTTTAAATTTTTTATAAATTAAAAAAAAATAATTTTGAATTTGTATGCACAAAACGAGCTCTCCTAGCGGAAGAAATTGGTACTCATTGTTGAAGTCATATGAGTCAAACTAATGTCTTTTTGCTATAATTGTATAATTATAGCACTATAATGCTACAATTTTTGCTATAAATCAACAATTAAGGAAGTTTTATTTGTTTATTGATAACTAAGGTGATTTACTGTTGTATATAGCCAAATAACAGAAACTACATCAGAATATTAATACTTGTTTTGACTGTATTTACATTTATTTAGTCACACGATCCCTGATTGGCTGAATTTTCTGGCATTCTAGTGTTGATGTTTCATCAAAACAAAGCATTGTCTGAAAACTTGCATTTTATCCCGGCAATTTGTGGGGAGTGCATCTTCTCTGAGTGCTCTGCATTTTAGTGTATTATTTTCAGTGCGATAGAAGAACTGGTTTAGCAGCCAGAGATAGGAAGTTGCTGGACAATCAGCAAGTATGTCGTCAAAGGGAAAGTTTACCGCGGACGAGCTGCTTGGAGGTGAGTAAAAGTCCTTTTTACATACATCAGCAGCTGTCACTCTGACATAGCGGCCATTTCGCGTGGCCTCGCACCCAATACGTAAACAAACGCAGGAAGAAGCTTTTTGCGTCGCAGGCGCTCTTTTGGTCATTGACATGACTTCACTTTGTTGCATTTTTTCTTCCATTACAAAGTATTTTTTAATTATGCATAAAGTTAATGGATAAAATCAACTCTTTTATGATTTAAAGAATCGACATCTTTTTCTGCGACTTTTCGCGCCTCGGCGAAGCAAGAGTCTGCAAAAACCCTGTTGCTGTTCAGCATTTGGCGTCGCTTATTTTGTCATACTATGACATATACATATATCTACTGTTGCATTTTTCCAAGAGTTTAATGATCTCACTTGAATTTTACAAGTAACAAATGATAGTAATATTATTGTTACAAGTTGATAATATGAAAAAACTATTTCATTATAGGTTTAAAAGTGAACGTATACAAGTTAAAATTCGCGTATATAATAATGATGGAAAAGAAACATTTCAAATTAATTCATTTTCCACTTTTCATATTATTTATATTTCTGTAGAAAATAATAAACCACTATTTTTTAATAGCTTGATAAATTTAAATTTTGGTGTAAAAATTTTTGTATTTTTTAAATGGATATTGTTTTTTTTAAAAATAAGATCCTACTTTTATCGATCTAACTTTATTCCCGGCATTTTATAAAATTTAAATGTAGAATTTTTTTTAAATTTGTTAAATTGTTATTCATTAAAGTTTTGATTTTGTAAATTCCAAATCTTAGTTTTTGAACTAAATTATTACAATCTTATTCACATGTTTTTTGAGTTATTTGTGACTTTTTTTTAAATTCAGTCAATAAATTTTATTTACAAAATTAAAGAAAATTTTTTTTTTATTTGTATTTTTTAAAATAATAAAACTTTTCGAGATACTTATTAATTAATTATAATTGTTTAATAATATTAACAATTATTGTAATTGCTTTAATCGTAGAAGAACGGGGTATTTTTAATTAAAAATAAAGCTTTTATAATATTTGTCGTTAATTTGTATAATTTCCATGTAATAAACAATAATAATAAGCAAAAAAAATTTAATGCACTCTTCCTTGAACGTAATTTCAATAAAAAAAAAGTGAAAGAAATTATAATTGAGGAAAGTTTATTCATCAACTAGTTAATTTTAATGAGAGATGAATCTATTATATTCAAGAAATTTGAAGTAAAAAAATTATAAGCTATTGATTTATTTTATATAAATAATAATAATTTTTCATGTATATAGATTTATATCTATTAATTCAATCTTGATACATATAAGTATACAATTACTGGACCATGTGCTAGTCTCGTTTACTCATTTATCTCACATCAAATAAGTATCTATATTCAATTGTTTTCGTTTGATGTTTTATGACCTTGTGAACACGTTTATTATGAAAATCCGATATAAGATGTAAATTTTTGTAAGACTTAGAAAATTGTTCATTTATTTTTCACAAAAAATTTGTTTTTCATTACTAAACAGAAAATATTATAATATATTTTGAAGAAAGAAAGAATAATTGAAAAATAATTATGCGGTACTGTTTACGTTTATGAAATAACATTCTTATTTATTCAAATATATTGTAATTTTAATTTTTCTTGACTTTACACAAAAATGGCAATGGTTTGCATTGATTTTTGCTTTTTTCAAAAGTTTTTAATATTCTATGTGGGAATGCTTCCATTTTCTGAAACATCTATTTATTCTTTGACAACTTTCATAAAAGTGGGCGAAGGTGAATGCATGAACTTATTTAAATAGTGTCTGATGTTAATGCAATGCAAGTCGTCGTGTAGGAGTCTAATTTAAAAAAGAATTAACATTACGTTCAATCAAATTTACAACACATTGAATAATAACTAAAAGTTAATAGGGGAGGATTGTTCAAAAAGGGCACCATTCATCATACAAACTTGTTTTAACACCAAAAGACGTCAGGAAAAATTTGATCTTGATGCAATATCATTTGTTAAAGTTACGTGTTTATTTGTGAAAATCCTGTTTTTTCTAAAATGTCTCAGATCTGTTTAAAACACTGTTTTAAATATTTATTTATGTCCAAACAAATTTTTTGGTGGTGCTTTGAAGTGTTTTGAGGTGCTTTTATTCAATGAAATTAAAAAACCCCAAATTTAATGTCTTTTTTTTTATTATTTTTCGTAAAAAGAATTTTGATTCTTTTTACTTTTTTAATTTTTTTTTTAATTTTCCGCTAATATCTCGAAGGCATTGCATTCCACAGCAAAATAATGTATTACAAAATTGTAGCTAAATAAACAGGCTTTCGAACGATACTATTCTTTTTACGATGCCTTTTGAATTTTAGCTGCTAGATCCAAAAATGTCTTACGAAACTATCCTTGCCCCATCCTCCCCTAATGTTTTTATTATATTTAGGGGAAAGTGGGGTAAATCCAATTGATAATTTCTCTATACCTCGATTAGTAAAACTATTGTTAAATATCTAGTTTTTAAATTTGAAACAGTATAAATTCTGTCGTAGTTTTGAAAGGTGCTCACCTCACTTGCCTCAGCTAAATTTACCCGTATTTATTTTTGTAATTTAACGAATCATTTTTCTTAGGTGTTAATTGTCAAAATGTATCTGTGCGGAATGAATTAGTTACTTTTTTGTGTTTTGTTTGCAAACAACATTTTTTTATTCATATTGTTTATTCATTTTTAGATGACTTTATTTGAATATTATTAAATATATGTAAAAATTTGAAAATTAAACAGATAATGATTTGTACAATTTATATATAATTATATCCTTTTCCTTTTCTTAAAAAAGACAGTGCATGCAAAGCACATGAAAATGTATCGAAATATCTCGATGGTCGAAAAAATCGAATGTAAGAAAAAATGAACTTTGCTTTTCAGAGCATCTAAATCAATATTCATTTTATGAAAATCACCTTAAATTATTGTTCCACATATATATTTTGCATAACTTACTTATTTGTAATAAATATACACTTGCAAAGCATTTATTTGTTGTAAATGATTGCAGCTGTTATGAATCAGAAAAGAACATAACCTACATTTAGTTGAAATCACCTGATTGGCCCACACGCTAAAAAAACTTTGTATAAACTAGCGAAAATAATCTCTGGAATAGTTATAAGTATAGTTAATATCGCCTTAGCGATAATCCATTTTCGCTAGAATAGAGAAAATAAAATTTTCTATGAGATTTAACTATACTAAATATATATTATGAATAGAATATAAATACAGTATCTCTAAAACAGTATTTATTTTAACTATCATAGGAGATATTCAATTTCCTTAAGAAAATGAAAATAGTGACTATTTTAGATTAAACATGTATTTAAACTTGTTAAACGTTATAATTAATCTATTAAATAGATTTCCTTATTCTATAAATATTGCACTTTTGTTATGTCACTGTTCATAAATTTTTTAGCGTGCAAGACAAAATAACGCGCGCTTTATTAAAATAATGAAATTTATTAAATTATAATAAAATAATTGTAATAAATTAAATTATTATGAAAATAATATTACCTTAAATAAAAAAGTGTTTTCAGTTTAAAAAAAAATTATTCAACAATTATTATTATTTTCAGACAAATTTTACAAATATAGTATGCTATCGATGCAGAAAAGTTTCACATGAATCGATTGATAAAAAACGACTCATTTTTTCATAAAAACTGTTCAAGATTTCATTTCTTTATATTTTTTTTTTAATTTGTAAATCAGGTAAAATGCCTTCATTCCACAGATTTATAATTATAGAAATTTCATTGCCTAGTTTGTAAGAATTTAATGAACATTTGTGGAAAATGAAATATGTATGAATTTCTGGAATAACGCTGCATGGCCATATATATAGTTGAAGGAATATATGTTTCATGTGTGGTTGCGGTGAGGATGCAGCTTTGTTATGCTCCAACTTTGTATTATATAGATTTTTGTACTGCGGGAACAATATATTTTTAATTTAATACCATTTTAATAGAAATAATCTTAAATATTATAAAAATGCAGGTGGAAATTTTTTCAAATTTTATTATCGTTTTATAAAAACGGAAAATATTGAAAAATCATTTATAAAACTGAAGTTTACTAAAGAAAAATTAGTTTTTTAAAAATATTTTAGTTTTTTGAGAAGTGCTGCTGATAGCATTTTTATGTAGCATTAATCGCATTTGAAAGTTATATATACCTATAGTTTTTACGAGAGACTGTTCAGAACGTAAATTGCATTCGGTCTATTTTTGGTATTTTTCATTTTTTGATATATATTGAATTGAAAAATTTATTTCTCTTTTTTTAATTAGCAATAAATTATAATTACTTATTTAAGTTAATTTTTTTAATATAGTTTGGGGTTAGAAATTATTAGATATCTGTAATTTTTAAACAATTTGTTCTTTTTTTATAAATTTTATTTTGTAAACATGAATATTAAATTGTTTGAATCAAGTAGTCGTTTTATCATAATTAAAGTAAACTTATTTATAATAAGTATAACTTTTCTTATCAACTTAACTTGCTTAATGAATGTTATATAATTTTTTTTTTAAATGCAATTATTCTCAAAATAAGTAGGTTGTAATTTAGGTATTATTTAGGAAAAAGGTATTTTTACAAATTATGGTTAAAAAAGTAAGCATAAGTTAGTACATTTTTGCGTGTAAAATGGAGGGAAAAATATTGATAAATTGTGCTTTCATGACCAAGAGGTCGACTACGTGGAAATATCGCTGCACGTTTCCTTATTATAGTCTTTATCTTTTTTGTTCATTTAGTCCAACTAAGTTTTTTCACGAAATAAATCAAATAAAAGAAAAAAATATACTACTGCCATATATATACTCCTCAATTTAAGTTGTATACTCTTTTAAATACTTTTTTAATTGTAATCTATATAAAAACTGAAATATTTCATATAGAACCATGACAAT